CCAGCAATTGAAACTCCTCATCCCATCTAATAGAGGTTCCCGATATATGAATACCTTGCTCTCTATCGGACGCAGTATCATCACATCTGCACCTCGAATAGTATCAGCCCGTCAAACAATGGTGACAGTTCGTACGATGGCTTCAGTTTCTACCATCAACATGCCACGTGATCCAAACACCTTGTCGAATTACAACAATTGGAGAACGAAGCATACAATCGCCGATTTAGCTATTGATTTCACGAAACAGCGAGTTCATGGCACAGTTACACTACAGCTTGAATCTATTACAGATAAGGAATCTGAAGAGATAATCCTTGATACTAGTTTCGTTGATGTGCAAAATGTTGCCGTTGACGGGAATAAAACTGGTGAATGGACTCTCGAAAAACGCATTGAACCATTCGGCAGTCCTCTTTCTGTGAAGATCCCCGGCGGAGCAGCAAAGGGTACTATCATTGCACTCGCAATCACGCTATCAACTACCGATAAATGCACAGCTCTCCAATGGCTCACTCCCGCTCAGACCTCGAACAAAAAGTTCCCATACATGTTTTCTCAATGCCAAGCCATTCATAACCGCTCGATCTTCCCATGTCAAGACACTCCTGATGTAAAGAGCACATATGATTTCCGAATTCGCTCTCCTCTTCCCGTTCTTGCCAGTGGCTTGCCCCGCGGTGCAACTTCATTTGTTCATGGCGAAAATGGGGAATCCGGAACCCTTCTCTATTCCTTTTACCAGGAAATCCCTATGCCATCTTATCTCTTTGCCCTTGCATCAGGTGATATTGCTACTGCATCTATCGGTCCACGTTCCCTCGTTTCCACTGGTCCAGAAGAGCTCATCGGTGCTAAATGGGAACTCGAGAGAGATACCGAGAAGTTTATTGAGACTATAGAGAAAATTGTCTACCCTTACGAATGGACCCAATACAATGTTTTGGTCTTACCACCAAGTTTCCCTTATGGTGGCATGGAAAATCCAGTATTTACTTTTGCTACTCCTACTATCATTAGTGGAGATAGAGAGAATGTTGATGTGATTGCTCATGAGTTGGCTCATAGTTGGAGTGGTAACTTGGTCTCCAATGCTAGTTGGGAACATTTGTAGGTTTTGAGAATTTCACAAATCCCTTCACTTGTTATCAACCTCCGAAAATGGAGAATTTCTTGCAGACGAAGATCATTCGACTAACATTTATGTAGCTGGTTGAACGAGGGATGGACAGTCTATTTAGAAAGAAGAATCATTGCTGCCGTTCATGGTGAAGCATATAGAGACTTTTCTTCCATTATTGGATGGAAAGCTCTTGGTAAGTCATACTTTTGGCTGCAAAATTTCGAAAGCTAATATCTACATATAGAGGATTCTGTCAAACTCTATGGCGAAGATCATGAATTCACCAAACTGGTTGTTGATCTGAAGGGTAAGGACCCAGATGATGCCTTCAGCAGTGTTCCATATGAGAAGGTAGGTAATTTCAATGACTTAAATATAGGGCTAGAATTCTAACGTATCTAGGGTTTCCATTTCCTCTACTATCTTGAGAGACTTGTAGGTAAACCATTCTGGGATAAATTCATCCCACATTATTTCACCACTTGGAAGAAAAAGTCTCTCGACTCTTATGATTTCAAGGCCACGCTTCTCGATTTCTTTGCTTCCGATTCAGCTGCTTCTAAAGCTCTCGAGTCAGTTGATTGGGATTCTTGGTTCTACAAGCCAGGTCTTCCCCCGAAGCCAGATTTTGACACTAGCTTGGTCGACAAATGCTATGCTCTAGCAAAGAAATGGGAGTCAAAGGTAAATCATGTGTTAAACTACATCACTGAACATAAACTAATTCGTTTTAGGATTTTACACCTTCCCCATCCGACATTGAAGGTTGGGCCGCAAACCAAGTAGTTGTCTTCCTGCAACAAGTCCAACTCTTCGACACCCCTCTCACCCCAGCTCAAAGTCAAGCAATGGGTAAAGCTTATGATCTTGTCAACACCAAGAACGTCGAACTTAGCTCCCGCTATTTCGGCGTTGGCTTAGCTGCAAAGGATGAATCAGTATATCAACCTACTGCAGAGTTGTTGGGTAAGGTCGGTAGAATGAAGTTCGTTAGAACACTTTACAGAAAATTGGTCGTAGTTGATAGAAAGTTGGCCGTGCAAACATTTGAGAAGAACAAGGATTTCTATCATCCCATCTGTAGGGATCAAGTAGAGAAGGATTTGAAAGAGTAAAAAAAGCGAAATGTGGCAAGGGGAATGTGCATGAGCATGCAGAAAAGCGGATATCCTGTGCTGCGAGTTCCTGATAATTATGCGAACAATCAATACATAGCATAGCATAGCATAGCTCGTGATTGCTCAAAATACAGTTGATATATGATAAGCTTTACTACTTGTGTGAGGTCTCCAAAATATCTTGTGGATGTAGGAAGTGCACCACGTGGTATCAAATGAAGTCTAAAGCCACTTTAACTTGGCTTTACTACAAGGGAGCTAGCCATTAGATACCCCATGTTATCAAACATACATGCTAGTTGGCCCTCCTATTGTAAATGTTTTTGTCTTCTTGCTTGTAAGTTCTTGTTGCATGTCGCATAAATGTATAGATACCTAAGCATCTGTACTTATACGACAATCCCGTGCTATAAACGGCCCAAAGGTGAATTTTCGTAGTTTTCTCTTAAGTACTGAAAACTGAGATATAGCGTGTGAGTGCGTTCACTTCAATTTGAATTCTGATTAGAATCTAGGAAAGATGGGGTAGCTGGTAAGTATTTAAGGAGAGCTATGGATTTCAACTATACTCCAAATCCAACAGCTGAAGGCACGATATCGATAATCAGGTGTACCACCAGAGCTATCAAACACGCTTTACGATAGGGTTATTTGCATTCTTAAGAGAAACTTCCTGCTTTGAGCTGGGGACGGGTAAGTGTGTAAGAGGGACTTCATTTGAAGGGATGAGGTGACGAAAATAAGACGTATTGACGGCCACATTTTGTAATGACGATGATGAGTCTAGAGTCAGTGATACGTTCATGTGGAGAATAAAATTTGTTGTTTCTTTCGTTGTTCGACATAGAGATCTGAAACATACATGAATACCTACCTACATACCCGTAATATCCCCCTCGCTAGAAGCTCAAGATGGTAGTAAATCAAGGTAGTGTGTGAGTTCATTTCAGAGCTCGTCTCATATGTAATGTGCAGCAGACACCGAAGTTCAAGATTATGTTGAAAATTTTTAGCAGAGTTGAATGGTGAAGGCGATACTCTGGAATGTGAGTTGAAAGAAAAGCGTCAAATGGTGAGGTCGTGTAAGACTTTGATTTTGGGCTATTCACTACCGTATCCATGGCTGTGAAGCTTGCGTGGAAGGTTATTTAAGCTCTTCTCCCGACCTCGTTGTAAATGGGCAACACCTGAGCATACAACTCAAGCCTGAATGGGCAAGCGAATGTGGCTGCGCCGTTTCCAAACTACATAATAGTATAATTTTTTACTGATTATTTTGATTTCTGCTAGTAGATAGACTGGTAGTAGCTTGATGTGCAAGTATTTAGAAGTATCATCTGATTGTTTGACGGAATTTCAAGGAAACGACAATGATAAACATCAATCTTTTCAGAAGATAAGAAGATTTTAGTGATTGTAAAATAACACAATTGACTTTTCATGTTGAGGATGAAAGCACGAAGTGGTCTGAATGAATCCTAGCGTATAAGTCTTCATTGAACGCTATGTTGTCCGCCTCAGACTTTAATCTCTCCTCCTTGCTTTTTATGGATAGATGAATTACAGCTCCTGTGTCTCCCTTTATATACCAGTTGTTGACTTTGCACAGCTATCCATTGATGGAACTGATTTCAAGGAAATCTAGTGGGCCAGTGAATCCGAGGTGAACCATTTGCAAGGAGAAGTGGATGCAGAACATTCAGAGCAAATAGTCTTGTAGTATAAAGTCCTCTCATTCTCCTCCAGATTTATAGCCATAAACGAATCTTTCTGGACGACTGCAATTCCCAATGGGCTGCAGATATTCTTGCGATTGTGCTTTTCGTGCCATCTATATCGTCGTACTAGTAGGTAGTGATCTTGGACGCAAGTGCATGCTGTAGAATTGATAAATGTAGCATGCTGACCAACCCTCGCTCAAACTTATCCAAAGCGATGATAAATATCAGAACAATAACAACGATAATTCCATACATGTTCGAAATTTATTAGATGGGGTAGTATTAACCTGTCAAATTAAGTGGTCCCATGTATCATCGTCGCCAACTCGTATTCTCCGTGAGTGTAACCCTTCCAAGGCATCCGGAATTAGTTGTTTACCATGATACACCACTTAGGATGTGACTTCAATGTAGACCTATCAAGCCAAGCTTGAACGGAATCTCAGAAAGCGATTGCTTTCCAGAGACAGCGCTCAATATCATGTAAAAATCTTCCCCGAAAGATGACAGCATATAATTATTATTGTGTATCAATAGCGAATTTTGACCAAAAGATTTTCAGCGATCTCTCCGTGCTGTCTCCTCGGGATTTGGGACGGGATCTGACAATCGATACGGGTTGATTATGAATTGTTGCATATGTCATAGCCTATTGATATCACCACCACCTCATTGTCCTGGCCGCCCATGTTCAATTGGTACTGACACCTATGAGGTAAAACTTTTAATTCGTTGAAAAGTATGTTTCATGGTGAATTTGCGATGGCAATTGATGGTACGTCGACTACCCCCGCACTTCTCTCTTTTATCCGCCTCCGCATGCGGGAATGTGCAACATTATGATGGGTTCATCACTTGGTAAGTAATCACACCGCATAAGTTGTAGAACCATGAAGTTTATGTCATTTGAAGAAATCAATTTAGAAGTGATCTCGTAGTTTAACAAGTAAAGCTTATATAGCACACCAATCTTCCACTGTTTGTTGATAATTAATTCTCTTTGGCGGTGTATTAAGGACCTCAAGTCATTCAACCAAAATGACTCAACCAAGCGCAGCCTGTTGCAAAGGTACTCCGATATCATTACATGGACCAGAATATAAACTCTCCGGCGAGTTTATTGACATTGACGGGACAAAATATTGTAAATTCCTCTCTTCCATGAAAGGAACTTGCTAAAAAATATTATACAGACGTCACTGGACCCGAGAATGCCACATCGGCCATTCTTTTAGTCTATGACATCTTCGGTTTTTGGACTCAGACGCTCCTAGGCGCTGATATTCTCGCCATCACCAAGACTTCATCATCTCCTCAAGGTATTAAAGTATTTGTACCCGATTTCTTTGGACCGGGCAATGAAGCAAACATTGCTTATTGGCCTGCGGATACGAACGATAAATGGGATTACATCTTCAAGGTATTTGAAGAGCAAGCTGAAAAGAAAAAGAACCTAAAGAAACTCTGGGATTTTATGAATGTATTGAAGAAAAGAGATGAAGTCAAGAATGTAAAGAGTTGGGGGGTTGCTGGATATTGTTGGGGCGCAAAGGTTCGTAGATTTCATTTCGGACGTTAATTGGGTGCATATAGTGATGATAAAGTCCTGACCATTATGAACAGATAGCGACAATGGCTTCGCAAGAAGGAACTGTCTTCAAGGCAGGAGCTCAAACACATCCATCTTTGGTAGATCCTGAAGATGCCAAATTGGTGACGATCCCACAAATTGTTCTACTTAGTAAGGATGAAAATAAAGAGGTCTGTGTCATTGTCTAAAAGATAATAGGATGAAGCTGATGAAACTCTGTAGCAATGTAAAGCATATGAGAACAATGTAAAGGTCGAAAAGTACTTTGAGGCTTTCAATGATCAAGTGCACGGCTGGATGTCTTCAATGTGAGTAGCTTGGCTTAAAAGCTTAGTATAACCTTTTGCTGACCAAAATTTCCTTCAAAGGGGCGACTTGGAGACCCCAAGGACTCGTGAAGAATACTATCGTGGATACAAATTATGGAGTAACTTTTTTGCAAAGTATCTATGAATTCTTGGGCAAGTCTATTGAAGGAATGGTTCAAGGGATTTCTTCTATGGCAACAGAAAAGAACCAATACTGATATGTATCTAAATATCTCTGAAAAAGTTAGATATTAGAGTTTCGAGAAGATCTGGTAGATCGTCGTCCGAGATTGCCATGTGATATGATTCACTTGAAACCAGCTTCCCCGCACTCGTCATGACATTAATCGCCACTTCACGTTTGAGCTTTCATTCGTTGGACATCACAATCAAGATTGCATTCAAATCATACGTACAGCCATAAGAGTAAGGTGCTTCTTGAATATGCAGAGGCAATGGACAAACGTACTGTTCGGCGAGACTGTCTTCAGTTTTTATAATAGCCCATCGAGCGTTCTAGAATATGAATCCATGGGGTTCATGGAAAATCTTGAGGGTGAATTCCCATCAGCAGAGGAACTGGCAAAGAGTGGACTTGGCGCAAAGAAGGGTAAACATTTGCAGGCATTTTGGAAGGCTCAGTGCGCCTTTCGAGGCCTTGATGTGAATGGTAGCGTAGACGAACTTGTCGATAGGCTTCGCACCAACGAGCATAAACCAGTTTTCCCAGAGCTAGTGAAAATGCAGAAGGATCTTAGACAAAAGGCAGCAGATGAGCTTGAGGGTGCATGGAGGAATAGGCTCACGGATAGCGAAAAGTCAGAAGAAGACGTGAAGCGGTTTCTGCGAGAAACATTCCCAATTAATTCGAACGAAGACAAAGCAGTTCTACTCAAGCTTCGACTCCGTCGTGATCGGAGAGGGCCGCGCAAAGGGCCGCGCAAACAATGGTTCAAACAGTTGCTCAGACAGTGGCGCAAAGAGCCGACTTTTGATAATTATATTCTTCCCCACGTCTCCGAATCTGGCCTTGATTATGAATACGTTCCTGGATCAAGATTCGAAGACCCACCGAATAAATGGCAAGACATTATGTTGATGGTTGTAGGCAGGAGTCGATCTACCATCAGTGAAAAGTAAAGGATATCGGCAGATCCGGACATATGGCAAAACAGAGAGCCGAGGAAGCACGGGCATCGAAGAAGCAAGAATGGCATGTTACAGGCGAATGGCACATCTCTTGCCCAGCTTTTGAGAAGAAATTCGAAGTAGAGGGGATGATGAAACTCACGATATATACTTCAACAACATCGAGCTGTTTGCAGATATTCTCAGAGTTTGATTTTGGCATAGTAGCAGGGGTCTTCCGTTTCGAGGAACAGTCCGCAAGTGAGCCCAGGACCGAAGCAGATAGTTCAACTATAGCGAAACTTCAAGTGGCACAGAACAACAGGCTAAACGAAATCCAAGCGGGGGGAAATGAGTTCGGGGCTAAGATATATAATACTGAGAATAAATTGGCCGAGAGAAGGGCTAAGAGAAAATTTGTAGAGCTCAAGAGGAACCAACACGAAGAGGTAAGCGAAAGTGAGAACGGAGATGAAAGTGAAAAGGAAAGCGAGATGGAGGATGACACCAATTATTGGCGTACCGATACAAATGTCGAACCCAGAAAAGTTCTTGAGAGAAACATTCCTGAAAGTCTTAGATTCCAAAACAGAAAACGCTGTTTTCATGACGATTGACTCATCAGCAGCTGAGATTCGAAAAGCTGCTCTGTCACTCGGTCTCGTTAACAAATCATTGGAAGTTTCAAAATTCGACGAGTCGCCACTCTAAAGAGACCTTTGCTCACTTATCCATATAGCCGTAGGAAGAACTGTACCGGCTGTCAAGGATAGACTTCAGGAGATACATCAGTCCGAGGTAAAGCAATACGAAAGGCCCGGGAAGCTATGAAAAATTCTCGAGACATTATTAGCGAAGCTCATGATGATGTAATCCGCGCATCAGACGAAAAAAACTGGGAAGTCACTGGAGATTGGCATATATCTTGCTTGGAGATGGAAAAGAGATAGTCTACTCCTCTCACACTTGGGATTTGTAGTCAAGAATCTGATGGTCAATGCCAACTGTTTGGCGAGTTTGATTTCGGTGGGGTATCAGTTCTATTTTGGTTTGAACAACGACTTCCAACTGTCGAGAAAAAGTCGGCTAGACTAGCTGATCCGAATGTCAAGCGAGAAAAGATCACCTTCGGGAAGGCTGAGAAAGAGAAGAAAAATGACAATGATAAGGATAATAAATGTGCAAGTCCCAACGCCAAACGTCTTGGGTACAAATTTACGGCGGAAGCATTCTCATTTCCCTCCCCAGAGAAGCCCTCTCTCCACAATCCAACGTGGAATTATCGATGGCGCGGGGAATATAAAATAGATAGCGAGCCGGTCCCAGGTCAATATCTCTGTTCGACTACTTTCAGTGAACCCTTGGGCACAACTTTAACTGGAACCTTCGGAGGCCACCTTTACAAAACTTGGAAGGAGGATATGGTCTTCACAGTTGTTAAGTTCGGTGTTGGAGGTGCGCCTTCTATTGATATCGAAAAGGAATGGCATAATAAACAAAACATAATATACGATAGTGATATACAGGACTAAAGGGTTGCATCGGGACGAAAGGCGATGAAATTTTTGAGAGCCTGATAAGAGAAGCATAAGGATTTATCACTGTAGAACTCAATTCAGATGATGCAGATGCAGAATAAGATAGAAGCAAAGCAAGCATGGGTTAATTTCGAGCCCGTAGCGACGGAGGAAAAGCCATCTCGATTCATTGATTTGGTAGTTGCATCTACGATCTAGATACAATATCACAACAACCTAAACTCTTCGATTCTCAAATATGTATCTTCGATGAAACATTATCACAGTACTGATCAAAATATATCGGTATTGCTATATTCTTGATGTAAAGAATTTATTCTCGTCGTAACAATCGATTTACCCTCGAAAATCCCCAACCTTGCCCCAAAGAAACACTGCAACAATTAACCTCTCAATGCGAGAGGAATATTTCATCACCTTCTCAGCCGCAAGCCCCATCTCCATCACGTTTCATCCCCTCGCAAACTTCCCGTCCCCTTGGCCCCCGAACCCTTCCCCAAATTCGGCCTAACAAAAAGCCATACACAATGGTCTCCAAAAAGGTCATTGTGGCACAGAAACCCACCACCATCAAATCCCATCCATTCATTACTCACAAACAAATTTCCATTGGCCACAAATCCCCCACGTTCTGCGCTGAATATGCAGTGTAGCTTGTCGATGTCGCACAGCTGGGCGCACAGGTCGTACAGGGGCGGGGAGGGATGAATGGGGATTTGCGTCACTTGCTTTCTTTCTTGATGATATATTGTATTACATATCTTCTGTATTTATTATCGTTTTGATTTATCCATATCTTTAAATTGAAGTCAAAATTCCGATCTTCTACGATTAATTAAATGCCTCGCACGCGCAGTCGTCATGCAACCCGCATATCCCGACGCAGTCCACCCCGCGAAACACATTCCGGGGTCGGTATTCGTCCAAATTTGAAGAAAAACGATGTTTGTGTCGGTTGTATAGTATGGCTTCCGTCCAAATTGGAAAGCGATGGAGATTTACTTTGTAATCGTGGGAAAACTTGTTGTAATGGAAAATGCTTGAATGATGAGGGGTATAATCATCCGGTGGTCATTTTGGAGCATGAGGGAGATATTTGTTCCGTTGCTATGGTAGAGATTCTCCTTTTTATTTGTTCAATGTTGTTACTTATGAGAAAGAAGGTGGATGTCGTTTAGAAGCTAACAGCATATCGTCCGCTAGATGACATCCAAACCCCGTCAAAAATACAACCAGAAATCACGCATCGCCATATCACAAACCCCTCAAGATCTAAAAACCCCAGATACCGATCTCGAAATAAAACTCTATCTCGAAGAGGGAAAAAAATTGAAACAACCATCCTTCATCGTCACTGAGCATATACACCCAATCCCCTTGTCAACGCTCCGTGCTTATGGCTTTAAGTCAAATTCTAGAGCTTTTGATAAAAGACTTTGTAAAACTAGTTATCTGGATTTGATTGGGATATTTGATATGGATAAGGATAGAGCGGAATGGATAGATACGGTGGTTGTGAAGGAGAAGGAAGGAAATGTAAATGCTGAAAGGAGAAGGGGACAAAAGGGACCGAGAGTTACATTCAGGGACCCATGGGAGGAAATCAGAGTGAATTCATCGGCTTCCAATCAAATCTCTGAAAGCACAAGACGACCTCTGGATCAGAGAAGTCTTTCCGAAGCAACCCGATCTACGGACTTCCCCCATCTTCCCCAAACAACTCCACAAATACACACTGTTCCCACAAACCCGTCACCAGGATGGTACACCTATAGCCGTGCAACTAGTCTCTCGAACGAACGTCAATCTCTCATCCAAAACTCTTATCCTATCCCCTCTCATCTTCCGCCCTCACCATCACCTTCTCCACCTTTGCCAACAGGAAATCAACAATACCATACTGATGTCTCATCTTGTCCTTCACGTCCAACTTACCACGTTGCGCTTCCGTCAGTGGACCGCTATGATCGTTCGCACTGGGATGCAAGGATACACAACAGTAATACTCGGACTCATGATTTGGAGGGAGGAAGATTCGATGGTAGGAGCGGGAATGGGAATGGGAATGGAGAAGAGGGTGGTTTGTTTGTGGTTGTATTTTTGGGATTGGTTGGGTTTGTTTGGTGGTTGTATGGGAAGTGATCTCTGAATAAGAGGTCAGACAACATGGTTGCTGAGGCAAATGCGACGATGCATTCAGATTTGGAAAGAAGTAATTGATTTAGCGAGGTGTTTTGAGGGGTATCCGTATATGAGGCGTTTGGGTTTGAATATTTATTGGAATTATTTTCTTTAGCGAAGCCGACTTATGAAGGGGGATGAAACGGTCCACGTTGAATAGTTCGAAGCATGGTATTGTATAGCATAGTTTCCCATGGGCTCATTTCTTGATACTAAAACAATATTTGAACCATATTACGATATGATTCAGGTAAATAAAGAGACCCCACGCCATGCAAAAAGTGTCCGCAAAAATATCGGTACAGTGAGTCTCTCACAGGCTTCAAACATAACAAGGCAGCGGCCTTGAAAACTCAATACATCAGCGGTCTTCGGAACAAAGAAATTTCGCTAATTTAAGAATCGAAATCACATCGCATGCCTTGGAGTTGAGACTTGATTCAGCCATACATCTTGGACTTCTTTGTGTACCTGCAGTGGCTAACAATTGTTTCAAAAGTTTCTTTCGTATATACAATAATGTATCATAATAGTATTGTGACAGTTTCTATATCGACAGCGCCATTGCATGTGTTGTTTTAGGACATTAATAGATTCCAAAGGAAGAATTTCTGGGTATATATAACCCACTCTGCGACTAGACTTTTGTCAGATTCCCAAAATATCTCCATTCAATCTCAGAGTTTTATGAATCTTCGATAGATATCGACTTCGCATCCTGTATATCTTTCGTTTCACGCCCATTCAGTCAAACGGAAGTTCAGGCCTCATATCTATTATTACCTATTCTGAATCACAGAAAATTCCTAGGTCATCACAATAGTGCTCAAACAAAACATGCCGAACACACCTCCCACAGCGAGAACAAAACCCGCGGTTGTCCTGGACATCGATCCTGGCTGTATTTTATGGCTCCCATTTCTCAAACACACCCCTCCTTTCCCTTGCGAGCAACACTCGCGTCTGTGTCAGCCTAAGTGTGAATTAAACAAAGGAGCATGCAATCACCCCATACTAGTCACCAACACTGAGTCTCACGGAAAGGAACTTAAAGTAACCTTTATCACAGTAATACTTCTCAACACGACCAAGCTCCATTGGATAACTGCTGACCCAAGAATAGATGACGAGTACACCCATGAGTGATGATGGCTATTCACATTATTCACCTATTGGACATACATTCGCGAATAACTTCATGTCCGAAGCTCGATCGAGGTACTGGTTGAAAGGAGGGCAAAATATGGAAAAACTTACCTATTTGCGCTTGTTCCACAGATACACAAAGATTATTACACAGGATCAACCATGTTTTTACGTATCTGGACAGCAAATAAATTCAAAAACTAGCGATCATTGTTTGGATGGAGCATCAATGACAAGATTGCGAGATAGATTGTCAAAACCACCTGCTCTTCCATGGCATTGCACACCGACGGCGGAAACAAATGGAGTTGCTAAAAGGCCCAGGGCAAGCTCAGAAGCAACTCATGATCGCAACTGAACTCGATCCTCGGGTATCGGCAAGGTCTTCAAAAAGATATGCTGCTAATTGTCAGTCCCAGTAAGTTTACAATATTCAAATTCCACTCATGCTTGAAAGCCCTGAATGGACGTTCGACTAATCGATGGCACATCGTCTTTCTCGTGATCATAATGAGCGCGTTCCTTGATAAGATGCTGTTTCGTTAATAGACGTGAGCGAGCATTAGTACGAGTAATTTTCCTTAGGGTAGTGTAGATGTGGTTGTGGTAGTTAAAGTTTGAAGGACCGAGTGATTTGAGAAGAACCCGCCGGGCGAGTTCATCTACAAGTCTTTGACTTGAAGCAAGCACAATTGAAATAGTATAAATATCTGGAGAGTTATACAGCTGAAAGTCGCGTCCCGATGTTTCTATTGTCTGTATGTGAGATCGTGGTGGCAGTTAGCTAGGAGTTTGTTGAACGTCTATCCGATTTATAGAAGAATCTTTTAATTATGTACGAGTATGAAAATCAAAAACAACATATAATTCATATTCTATTTCATAAACTGGAAGCATCATGATCCGTGCGCGCTAGCATTTTAGCGTTGCCGAGTATCACGTTATCTCACGCTAACTTTCGCTTAGTTTTCGATTTTCGCGCTAACGTTATACTTACTATCGGCTTCCTAACCTCAATTCCTAATCCTATACAACATTTTACCAATCGATCCCGCCGAGAACGGCTAACCTTGCTCTGGCATGGTCTTCTTGAAATCAAAACTTTCCTCCAACTGAGAATACCTACCTTTGCCTTGGCAAGGTTACATTCAATACATTCAATGTATGTTCACCTCTACCTTGTATTCATTATTCACATTGATTTCAGGTCAAGCTTGTCTGCCAAGCTTACCTAACTGACCAATAACTTTAACATTTCATTTGAAGTATAAGCTAATCATGCCTAGCAAGCTTTCCCTTCGAAAAATCAAAATGCCACCCAAGCTTCCACTCAAAGCTGAGCCTGCTGCCAAAGCCGTACCCGCTCCTAAAGCTGTCAAAAGAAAATCTCGCACGGTTGATGATGATTCCGTTGAATTTGAAAAAATTCAAACAAGAATTCAGGGATTTGCCACCTGATATAAGAAATGCAGTATTGGGGGATCCAGAGGTATGCATTTCTTTTGGGACTATTAAAATCACAATTGCTAATTGTTCTAGGTCATCAAGAGAATTACTAGCAAACTCGGAAAGGGAGCAGGAGGAGAAATCAAGACGGCTTTTGGCAAATTTAAGGATGGAAAATGGTTCCCCAAAGTTGAATCAGGAAGTCCCCCTACAAAGAAGAGAAGAAAGTCCAAGACGTCGGCGACTAAACAACGTACCAACAAATCTGAAGAAATCGTTATCGGCAGTGACAAGTCGTCGGAGGCAGATCCTGATTCCGATGAAGATATTCCGGAATTGACTGAAGATTATCTCCGTATCCGAGTGCAAAGATTTGGCTACCAAGGAGATGCTGATGCCTTTGTGAAGGAACTCCTCACGCAAGCCGAAAATGACGATACCTTTCAAGATTTGTCCGAGGAGGATTCGTGGGAAAAAATCGATAACCTCATACGTGAGACCCACGAAAGAAATGAAAACTTGGAGGAAAATGGCGAAGGATCTCTCCAACTCCAACCTCGCAAGCCTGAGGCAGACGTCACAAAGTGGTCGCTTGTTGTTCCGGACGAAGAAGAAGACATTGTTAAGGAAATCTCAAAGATGAGATTGGATCAGTATGACTGCGAAGATACGGTAGTTGCAAGATTGCTTGTTCTTCTATCCTGGACTGGAACTGAAATTATGGAATCTGCTACAAAGGCTGCAACTGCGTACTTGATCAACAAGATTAAATCTTTTCGGATTTCCGCACTTGTGCCCATCATAGTTCGAAAAATTCAAGCTCATCGTCCATTAAAGGTGAAGCCAACTGGATCAAAGTATGATGGAATCATTGATTTTTTGACCAAAGGAGAGCCCGAGATGATTCTGACAAGGCAACTCTTAGCATACTACTACATTCATCTTGAAGTGGAGAAATATTCTCAAAACGAGGATCAGCCAGTAACAAGTCGCAAAGGAAAAGGTGTTACTAAGAACAAAATTGCTAAAGGGTCGGCATATCTTCGTTTTGCCAGAACTTTCGCTGGTGAAGATACATGGAAGATTTTACCTGATGCTAAAAAAGTAAGTACTTCCTGCCTTGCAAGGTTACCCCAATTTCAAAGTAGTTGACTAATCACATGAATAGGATGAATTCGTGAAGAAATTCCAGCTATTCAAAGCCTACGGAAAGAAATTATCAGTTTTGGTTGACGCTTTCGGTGTTGGCATTTTATTATCTCTCAACGCAGAAGACACCGTCAAAGTTGGTAACTTGGCCGTCACCAAATGGTCTAGTGCGGTCCCAAAAGCACTCGTAGAGATGGCTCGTCGCTTTCCTGACGCTGAAGAGTTTAAGAAGATTAACGGAATCGTGTCGAGCATAGTACACCAATTGGTTACCGATGAGATTGATTCAAAGGAAGCGCTTGAGCCAGTTTTGAGTTACATTATGGAGAACCAACACAATCCAGTCTACAAGTCAATCGTGGACAGTTTGAATCCCAATCCAAAGTAACTCGCGCCGCCACCTCTCACCCCAAAAGGAGTTGATCACGAATCAAAGACAAAGGAACCCAGGAAGTAGTAGTCAACAGAAACTCAATATTAGAGTAAATTGATCAAAAGGATAATAGACCAATTCAATGTTTAATGCTCGGGTGGGGGGAGATAAAAGCGAGCGGGTGAAGGAAGGGATAGTTAATGCTTTTTAATACTTTGATTTAACGCATCGCAACGCGAGCAAAATCGTTCAAACCAATGAATTTAACTTTATTTCTCCGCTTTGTGCTTACTGTTGGTGATTTTTTGAACTTGTATGTGACATTGTCAGGCGAGGCTACCTGTTGAGGAATCTTCTCAAATGATTTAAAATGCTGTTTCAATTGAAGGGGGAGGAAGGTGCAACTTCCTCGGAGGGTTTTCCCTCAACTTCGCACTTTCCTCCCTTAGAAATCAACATGTAAACATACGATTTCTTCTCAGAGAAGAGATGAAAATGTTTTTACCATCATTGAAAGCGTCGCTCAAGATGAAACAGGTCAGCATTAAGAACTTCTTCGTTACGAATACTCGAATTGAAAATCAATCAACACAAAAGTCAACAACTACCTCAACGAGTGCTCTTTCAAGCACCTCCACCAAAAAAACATACCAGCTCGACATCTCAATCTCCCACATCAACAACCACTCAATCCAAACCGTAGAGTAAGAAGTCCACAATTTCATCTATAAGATCGCCAGATTGTTGTGCTAACTGCTATATAGTATTTGACAGATGGGGTCCGAACGGCTATTTCCTCAGAGACGAGGCCACTCAGACTCGTCAACAATACTAGACGGTACCGCGAGGCTCTATGCGGACGAGGCAAAAACAGGAACACTTGGATAGACGCAAGGAACTTAAGGGACAATGGACCGAGGAGAAAGGCAGAGAGAAAAGGACAAACGAGAGGTGCGGGACGCGAAGCCGGGAGTCAAGGGACACCAAGATCAGCTGCGTAGAGAAAAAAGAGCAACTGCCCGGAGTGGAAATTGGAAGCGAACAAGAAGAGAAGGGTTCGCGACGCCAGAAAGAAAAAGGAAAAGGGTGATGCGGAGGCTGCGGAACAGGCTGAGAATGGTTTCGTGAAAAATTGTCTAGGGAGATCGTAAGACTCTTCGTCTCCCTAGAGCTATCAAGGGTTGATAGTGAAAGGATAGATGATGATATCGAACAATTAAATAATGAATTGGTCAAAAATTTCGAAAGTCGAGAAGTATTACATCATTTCATACATCCACTGGTGATTCAAGGCACACGGTTGTACAACAAGTTGATATAGTGATATCAGAGCATGAGAGTGCAGTCCAACAATGTAAACTTTTGAATTTGTAAAAGCAATTGGAAGCTTGAGAATAGTTCAATGTTCCAATCAAATTCAACGTCTCAAATGTTTTGAATATTCTAATTGATTATGGGAAATTTGATAGTCTTCATTGTTGGACTATAGTCCAGACTATTGGACACTCTGGTAGGGAGCCACGAGAAGTTTCCTTCCATACCTAGATCTGCACTCCCACTCTCACACCCACCTGCAGACACAAAATCTCTAACAGCACGAGCGCCAGCCAGCTCATCCACAAGACATCTGATCCAAGTACGGTAGGTTCTTCACATTGTACATATGTAATTTAGAAACGCGTTTTGACCATGCCATCCACGATTTAAACTTCAATTCCCCCCAAGAAGCCAGCTGGACTTTAATCAAATTGGCCGATAGTAGAAATGCGGTATACTATTAAAGACAGGAAGTACGTAGTAGTAAACGAAAGAAAGGTTGAAAAATATGCGCTACCCCGGTTTTTATAATGCAAACTGTTGCAGGATAATACTATTTATCAAGACCTCCAAGATCGCAAAACGTTAATCGTCAAACCGCAATTGAATGGAGTTTCACCTCTAGAGTGTAAACTATACACCTTACCCTGCCCTCCACCATTTCACCGTCCACTCTCCAGATCAGATTATCCTTAGCAATTCTCCTTCACATCCCTTCACATTCTCTCGAAACCCTTCAAATCACCCCCTCATAGATCTAAATAGGATCACAAAAACCCCTCCAACCATCCACTCACAACATCCATCCCACCACCAACCTACACATTTCCACACTCCCTTCCACACCCTCAAATCCCGAAACCATCACCATCACCATCACCAACAGATGACAAAGCACCTGCCTGCCAGCAACTTCAATGGGCCCACAAAATCCCGATTGCAAATTGTCGCTGATCATACAAATGACCTCGCCGGGCGAAGTCATAACTAGATCTCTAATTTGAGAAATCTGCTTTAAAGATTGTGAACAGCACGAATAAAACATCAGTGTAAATATCAAATCCGAAAGAACATAGAATTGCAAATAACCTCGCCCAGCGAGGTTATCACGAAATCGATCTCCGACTTCAGAGATTTTTTTTAGAAAATTGTGAGCAGCAGCCTGAGACTTTAATACAAACACCAAATTCCAAAATATCCCGGAGAATAAATAACCTCGCCCAGCGAGGTCATCACCAGAACTTCGACTCCGCTCTTCGACTGTACTCTTCGACTCTATGCCTTCCCCTCCACCATGCAAGCAGATATTCAACCCCAGGTATCAAATTCAACACCATCCTATCATCTCCCCATCTCCCCATCTCACTACCTCACCATCCAACTCACACAATATACATATACACATACATACATACATACATACATCCTCGAAATCGTCTTCTCAAAAAAAAAAGTTCTTGTGCTCTGAGTCAAAGTCCATTGGGAAAAACATCAAGACAAAGAAAAAGAGATAAGTTTACAGACGAGAATTTCCCTAAATTTAATCGCCCTATAGTCATGCCCTGATGATAATAGCCGTTTAGGATAGCAATATAAACATCTGCTGCCCGGAGGTGAAGTAACATAACAGTAATGTGCTGATTCAATAGAGTCCAGGTAACTACTAAATAACCAAGGTAATTTCAACGTTCCTTTAACAAAACTCGAGACAGCACTAAAACATTGTATAAGCCCATGGCAAAGATTGGGTAGGATGAGACGGTGGACCTTATAAGGCACCAAAAGAAAAATTTGCTTTGAGTGTTGCTGAAGTTCGTTTCCTGTTTCTTTACTTATTTATGACAACGGTGATGACAAGATGGACAGAAAGGGAATAAAGGGACATCAGTGTCACATGAACATAATCATAATCACATCATGCGGGACAGAAACAAATTACTTTTGAAGTGCATTCTAGACGACTATGTTCTATGTATGATACCAGAACGCGGAAGAGCTAAACCATTACGCGTAAACCCAAACCCAATCATCTTATCGTAAACCGAGGAGGTAAAAGGAAATGGTGTTTTGCATCCTGGCCATAAATCATCGTGAACCCGAAACAAAGCAAAGATGGAGAAATTTTTTGTTTCATTCCCATCATTGCATTTATTTCTTTGCACCAGCCTTGACGGCAGCCTTGGTAACCTTACCGGCCTTTTCTTGCTTCTCCACAGATTTGATCACACCTACTGCCACTGTCTGTCTCATATCACGGACAGCGAAACGTCCGAGAGGTGGGTACTCAGTGAAGGCCTCAACACACATAGGCTTGGATGGAACCATCTTGACGATAGCAGCATCACCAGACTTGATGAATTTTGGAGAGTCTTCAATGGATTTACCGGTACGACGATCAATCTTTTGGAGGAGCTCAGAGAACTTGCAAGCAATGTGGGCAGTGTGGCAATCCAAGACTGGAGCGTAACCGGCACCGACTTGACCAGGGTGGTTAAGAACAATGACTTGAGCGTTGAAGGACTCAGCACCCTTAGGTGGGTCTTGCTTGGAGTCACCAGCAACGTTACCACGTCTAATTTCCTTAACGGAAACGTTCTTGACGTTGAAACCGACGTTGTCACCTGGAACACCCTCAACGAGTTGTTCGTGGTGCATCTCGACGGACTTGACTTCAGTGGTGACACCAGCTGGGGCGAAGGTAACGACCATACCGGCCTTGATGATACCGGTCTCAACACGACCGACTGGCACCGTTCCAATACCACCAATCTTGTAAACATCTTGGAGTGGGAGACGGAGGGGCTTGTCAGTTGGGCGGGAAGGTGGGTCGATAGCATCGATGGCCTCAAGAAGAGTCTTTCCGGTGGACTTGCCAGCCTTGGATTCCTTCTCCCAACCCTTGTACCATGGGCAGTTGGTGGAGTTGTCGATCATGTTATCACCGTTGAAACCGGAGATAGGAACGAAAGGAACGGTCTTTGGGTTGTATCCGACCTTCTTGATGAAGTTGGAGGTCTCCTTGATAATTTCTTGGTAACGATCCTCGGACCACTTGGTGGTGTCCATCTTGTTGATGGCAACAATGAGTTGCTTAACACCAAGGGTGTAGGCAAGAAGAGCGTGCTCACGGGTTTGACCATCCTTGGAGATACCAGCCTCGAACTCACCAGTACCAGCAGCAATGATGAGAACAGCGCAATCAGCTTGGGAAGTACCAGTAATCATGTTCTTGATGAAATCACGATGACCAGGGGCATCTGGAAAGGATGTTAGAAAATTGAAAGACAGAAGGCGAAGCAGTAAACAACGTACCAATGACAGTAACATAGTACTTAGGAGTCTCGAACTTCCAGAGAGCAATGTCGATGGTGATACCACGTTCACGCTCAGCCTTGAGCTTGTCCAAAACCCATGCGTACTTGAAGGAACCCTTTCCGAGTTCGGCAGCTTCCTATATGATTGTTAGATACTGTTGAAGGGGTATGTGATGGACGTTGATGTGGTCCAAACATGACATAATTTGGACGTGCCGCACTATGCCACTACTCGCAGATAATTCTTTCGTGCCAAACAAAAAAGTCCGAGCGCACGAATAAAATTCTGCAAGTGGTACAAGAAAAAATCTTTACCCCACCAAGAGGCACAGTGCGATAAGCTTGGGCATTGAGCACCCAGCCTGTACACGAACAAAGAATGCGTAGAAAGAAAGAATGCTCACCTTCTCGAACTTCTCGATGGTACGCTTGTCAATTCCTCCGCACTTGTAGATCAAGTGACCTGTATGTAATGTAAGTTGTTGTTCGTAAGATTCATAGATCGAGTTGGCAGATCTGCAGGCGGGTTTGCTTACCAGTGGTGGTGGACTTTCCGGAGTCGACGTGTCCGATGACAACGACGTTAATATGTGTCTTTTCCTTTCTGCAAAGAAGAAACAAATCAGTAAAGAGTTCATGAGGATATAGATCGAAGAACGAGAGATAATCCTGATGGAAAACTCTGATGGATTGAAAGACTTACCCCATTTTGAAGGTTGTGTTTGGTTATTTGTGGAAGTTTTGTCTTCTTAAATTGAATCTATTGAAAGAAGATAATATTAGTTGATCGATCTTCAAGAAGGTTGATGAAGAAGAAGAAGGAGAAGAAGAAGAGACCGATAGATGGACGGATGGAAAGAATTTAAACTTACTGCACAGGTATGATTACTTGAATCCAGGTATGTGCGACGAAGAAGGAAGAAGAAGAGTCTCGAGAGGATGGCGGGGTTTATAAAAAAAAAGTTCAAGTGTGCGGTAGGCTAAGCGATAGAATTTGAACGCTAGTTAGTGGGGTATAATCATGTGACTCCAATCAAAAGCACAATTTTCAGTCATTTACGGCGGTCTGACTGGTTCGGTGAATATTGAAAGTGGATTGATTTTAATCTACTAAATTCACTCTTTTAATTTATATCTACTGCATCACTACTGTATGACTAGACTACCTAGCTTACTAGGTATTGTATTATGATACTCGAGTAGCTCATGAAAATCATACAAAAAAATCAAAACCTTGAAAGTCAAATAAAGAGGTTCCCAGCAGAAAAAAAGTGAAAAAAGATTCAAAAACGGGCCACAAAATGAAAGTTTTGCACAAAGACAATGAGGTAAATGTGGCGATTGGGATCATTGGGCTCCCAGGATGGCTCAGGCTTACAAGTTACAAGACCATTTCGTTGCTCGAGTACATTAGGTTTTATCTTGACGATACGAAAACCAATCAGTTCCATTCAATTTTGCTCCTTCATGCATCCGAGTGGATTCATTGAAATCAATGTGGATTATTTGGCGGCAACGATCTTTACAAGCGGTTAGTGAATTGCTATCTTGATTGAATCCTTGACTCAAATTTTCATTCATTTTCATATCTTTGGTGGAGGGGCATCCAAATTTAGTGAGGGGCAATCTTGATATCATGCAACTTGATGCAAGAACGGTCTTCATGGCCTCAAGATTTGATCTATTTTGATGAAGTGTCACCGTGTTCTTACTACGAGTGGGTTTTGTTGCATCACCTGCATCCATTCACTTGCAAATTTTCATGGTACGTGAGGAGAAGTATGGAATATCAGTGGATAAATGGGAATTGAAACCGAAGATTATGATGTGAGTTTCGAAAAGAAAAAGAAAAAGTATTCATTCTCCCCACTTATCACCAATCAATCTTATATCTCTTGACATTTCCTGCACAACGAGGCTGGCGTCAGATTATTGAATGGAACTACATATTGCATCCTTGATACGGTGATGGATGTTTTATTTTTCTTTGGACGAACGGTCTGAATCAGTTTTGGAAGTCGAGTATCATCCAAACGCAGTCAAGTCGACGGTAAGCTTATTCGTTCTCTTCAAAGGTGTGCATTGAATGCTGCATTATCTCACAGCAAGCACGAGACAAGATGAAACGAACAAGAAGTGCTGTTTATTGGTGGGGCATGAGTCAAATTACTTACCCCTCAACCTCCCCAATTGTTATCACGATACATTATGAAAAGAACGGGGGAAGAAAACTTGAGGCTGGAAAGATATCCAGTTTTAGGATGAGCTGAACGACGGCAATTCGATGTTTTCTTAATGGATGAAAATGAACCGAATCCATCCACTCAACCCTTTCACTTGGGTGAGCGGGATCTTCCTTTTTACAGATGGGAGCAAAGGTGGGAAAACCAATGCACTTGAAGGTTACTCGGCAGATACAGTCCTGTGACGGTTTCCTCGAGATTCAAATCTCTCGACACAATGACTAGGGAGTAAGTCGACAGGTGAGAGAACACGAGATTAGAGAGATACTTCATATGGTGCTGAGCAGGTAAAGAACGATTTAACGAATTTACATGTGACTAAGACGAAAATGAAGCTACAACCTCAACACCCTCTAGACTGGTTCGGAAATATACAACCTTGACAGGTCTGTCCGATCAAATCATGATGCTTTCAAACACATCTAAGCGGAGCTCGAAATTGTTTGTACTCATCACGAGTCTGCGAACTCGCCATCGCGACTTTGGGTCTGATTGGGTCAACGTAAGTAAATTTGGGACTGCAGATGTACAGATTCCACAGCACTCAACAGAGGATGTTTTAATAAATAGATTTGGAAACAATCGATATGTGGGAAGGCGCAACGCGGAGAGGTGCCCGAGTTCGCGGACGACAGTTCAATGATGGAATTCTCATGAGCTGGGCGTTCGATCTCACCGTCGACGACCCGGATACAATAATAAGTCTGCAGCGAGCTATAGATTAGCTAATTCGAGCTTATGGAGATACCAAATCTTGGAAGGGTCGACAGATGACAATCTGACCACCTTATTATCGTGTCGAGCTTGAGGCTGACAGTTCATGCAATTTCTGGATGGGCTGGCAGATGAGCTTCTAATAATTTACCTCTTCCGAATCTAGATACCAGGGGTTTGAAGAAATCAACAAGAAATCAACAAGTAGTGGTTCGGTGTATACCCATTCCATGAAATGAACACGAATTTACGATTTCGAGGCGAATTCCCGCCCGCTGCGAACACGACTAGCTTCGAAACGAGTTGGCAGCAAAAAACGAATCCACGTCGAAAAATTCTCGAGTCCCCAGATGGCACCTATTGGCACAAAGCAGGGCCCCACGATGCCAACCTCGATTTAAACATGCATATTCATGTCAACAAAACATGGAATAACAGAAATTGCACCAGGAAGCATACCCCGCAGCTGAGAGAGAAATGCATCCAACAGCGCAGGTGCAATGCAGGTGGCAATAAGGAGAACAAAATTCTCACTGGTGTTGTAAAGGGCCTTGGCAGTGTGCGAATGCTACATCCATGATACCGGGCACAGTCTTAAACACGGCATTAATACATCAGGTCCCTACGACATTACATACGAACGTTGACGAACTGCCCCTTCTCCTCAATCCTACGGAGTGCCGAGTCAGCATCTGGATCTTTCATACTAGTTTATCAGCCTTTCAGCCTGAATTTGGAAGAAGAGAGGACTGTGGTTCTCATGGCCTGCTATTGGTGAGCCGCAGCAACAACACCGGCAGTGGCTAGGATGAAAACCAACGACTCGAAGAAACAGCCAATGTCTTGAGATATCAAGTCAGCTTGCTGATATACACAATATTGTTCAAGTGTCTAAGCTAGGTGGTTTCTTCACTTCTTTATGCTAGCCTCACCAGTCTTGTTTTTCAACTTGTCGATTCAGTTTTGTCTTCGCTCTCCACTCGTCATTCTACTTATTCATGAGCCTCCATTTTACATGCCATATTCGCACTGTTTTTTTGAGCTCGAATCTTTCGTTGCATATCTGCTTCAGGGTTTCACGCTTGGGAACTGCTGAGGATTAGGTTTGCGAAGAGAAGGAAGCACGATTCTGGGGGGTTTTGCTACGCTCTCATACATGCGGAATTACAATGTGGTGGGTCTGGGAATGAGAATTCTGGTATAGTATCTGGCCTACACAATGACATGTATTGTCTCGATTCAGATCACTCCTTCGCTAGGTCTTGTTGCTACATGAGGATTATTGCAGTGGAGCCCACTTGTTAAGATGCGGGTTGAACTGCTACAAATTCCAACGTCGCAAATGACAGAACCGTATACATAGTCTTTCATATAGCAAAACGGCAGTTACAATGATATGAGAATTACAATTCGATAATCTCTGGCACGCAGCTGAGGGCTTCTCATGGCCGTAATACGGGATTCCTCAAAACAATATATGAGACGGAACCGGAAGATAGGTATACTCATCCACTGGGTAGATAACTAAATTGAAAACATATCGGGACACGTACAAATACTTTGTTTAGTGACAGGATCTTTCCTGCGCCTCTCAATGCGAGTACATACACCTTGAATGTTCATGTGAGTACCTAGTAGTCTCCTAGCAACACAAGCGCAGAGTACAGAGTAAGCAATTCTCCGATACAATCCAATTTCCCATTCATCAACAGCTGGTCTTATCAAGAAGTAAGTAAGGAACATGTAGAAGCACCGCCGATCCCCTCCTCTCTAGCTAAGTACTCTCACTATTTCTTCTCCATGACTCCTTTTCCGGCTTCTCTCCACCGATCCGAACTCTCCCTTTCTGTGAACTATCTTAAATGGTTAAAAGTTCGTGTTTATTTATTCTATTCTATGCTATCCAATCACTTATCCATACCATACACTGTCGTGGAAGATATGTGGAGGGTACGATGAATTACATTAGCTTACCAGACCAAACTTCCCCAACAGCGCAGCGTGTTCAAGCTTCGAGTGATGAGTGAGATCCACAGAGTAATCGCGAATTCGAGTGTGTACAAACTGCCTTTGAGCTACAGCTCAACTTTCACTGCTGTGTATGGAGACGCTATGGTTTTGTGAAACGGAATGCGGTATCTTGGAGTTTAGTATGGGTGATATGAATGATATGAGTAGTGATATTCCATCCCATTTCCACACAACACAACATAACACAATATCTATAAAACTAACCTCTCATATTTTTAATATATTTCACGACCAGGAAAACTAACTCATAGAATATCTCTGCTCCTGTACCATGGTCACCGATTCTGCATTAATAATTTCCTCGCTATTTCTGGGGGAGGGGTTCAGAATAAATAAATACATCGGGTTCTCCACTTTGAGATTTTCGATATGATGAGGGGTTTTGGCGCATGTCATTTTATATACATCTTTTGGAGTCGATCGCTTTGGATGGGGGAGGGAGGAGTGAGATGTATTGAAGTTTTCGGAATGGGAGGAGAAGGATTTTGCGTGGATGAAAAAAAGGGGGGGGAGAGATGGATTCTTTTGGTGGGATGGAAAGGGTGATAAGGTGGGTGTATAGGGTTGGGATGTGAGATGTGTGGAGGTGAAGATGATGGGGGAATTATGGAGAGTGCGAGTTTTTAATGGATTTGTGGATGGTGATTGCTTGTTGGATTTGGGATTTGGAATTCGAAATTTGCTTGATGGGCGGGATGGGCGGTTCAGTGGGATTCATAGATATAGAGAAGAGAGATGTTCGTTTTCATTTTCATTTGCAGGTGATGTTTATTGGAAAACTGCGGGTGGAGCTAGAAAGATGTTTGAGGTGTAGACTATTATTTTAAGTTATAGTGTCATCATGACACGAATTAATCATCACTTCTTTCTTTTTCCTCAAAAACTCAAGGCTGGGGTTTGGAGAGTGAGTGTGCGAGAAGTTGTATTTTCTGAAGTGGATTTGTACTCTTCATTGTGGGCTTGGATTTGCTGTTTTGGGAGGGCGGTAGATATGAAACGATGCGATGCGAACCCAAGTGTTTTAGAATCTGTAATGGTTTTCGAGGTAGAACATGGCTCTTTCGGAATCTAAATGGAAAATGTCAGCTAAACGCTTTGTGAACTTGGATAGTAGAGATAGAGATAAAAGATGTACCTCAAAGAATTCACCACCAACATCCTGTTGGTCATGATGAGTATAACACCCTGAATGATAGTTGTGGACGGGCAATCAGCGGAGCAAAGCAAGCTGGAACTATAAATCTATGAGTACTCATCTCTCGGTTCTGAAAATTATTAAACTTACCATCACTACCATCTCCCAGCCTTTCCTGGTATAAAGAACGTATTTGCTGGTGTTGATCGTGGTAGACTATTCCAGAAATGTCGCTGGCAAGGTTCCGCAAGGGAAGACATGCCTTGGAAGAATGATCAACGCCGACGCCCCAGCTGGACTGTCAATAACAGCAATAGTAAAAGTTTGCATGAATGCTCGCTGAGCCCATGAGCTGGTGCTCTGAGAGCGGCGTCGGCGTTGCTCGGCGTTGCTCGGCGCAGAGATGTTGTGTCCTGGTTTATGTTAGCATAGGTGCAGAATCATATATCATTATTTGATAACTTGCCAACATCCCGAGCCTTCTCCTGCTTCCCCGTAGGGGAATTATCAGTTAGGATATTTTGACGGTTTGGAAGTCGTCGATGATTGCTAGAGGGCTTGCTGGTGTTGATCGTGGTATGTCGTTCCATTTGACTTGGGACTTCTATGGCGGGAGAAACTTGTGCGGTGTTTTCCTGGCCTTCCATTCCGATTGTGCTTGCTGGTGTTGATTGTGGTATGAGGTAGTTCTGTAGTATGCCAAGATAAGGATGTCAAGATTCGGAAGTTTGACATCGCGATTGATGGCAGATCAGTGATGACCCTTTTACCTGTTCATGGATCAGTATTGCAGTTCTCTAGACCCACTGGTATTGATGACTCACCTCCAACTTAATCGTTCAAAGCTATTTAGATATAGCCAACCTTGAACACGTAGCAGGTAAACGTCATTCATAAAGCTTTCAAAGTACCAAGCACATCCTCTACCAATGAGCCAGGGAGCTTTATTTTTTGACTTCACACAAGATCTAGCACATCCTTCAGACCAATGCAACCATTGAGGGGTTGTACATTGTTCACACGAAGCAATGAATGTGCACACAAAATTCACATTTTGATATGAGAGGAAGCAACACCATCTCAAACATAGTCCAAGTATTTGCTATCCACAGCGCGCATTACGGAACATAATGGCAGTTGGCTTCATATAAAATAAGGAACTGCCATTAAAGATGAATGTACTGTATATTAACCACCTGTGAGACACTTATTCGTAAGGAAAGACCAGCACTGTACATTCTCTCATGATATGGGCGCAACAATTCATGAAACTTCATGGAGTATATTCATACATCAAAAGAGAAGAACGTCCATCGTGATATCAATAACACTTACATGCCACAGTGGATGTATATGCATCACCAATATATAACCACCCGAATGCATGATCATCAAGTCAAAATTTTTGAGAAGGAGTTTGATATTAGTTCTTGTGTAGACTTCTGCTTCCTTCGAATTATTACATTCCTGCTCCCATATCTCACTCCTTCTGGCGGCAGAGATAGGTCTGGAAGTTGTCGAGATATTGCTGATTTCGTCCACACATTCGAGGTAGGGTACTGTAAGCAGGTGGTCAGCAGCTACTCAAATCAGTATTTGATGAGATCGAGGATCAGCGCTTGATAAATTTCTCTTGAACACAGACTAGGATGAAAGATGACCTACACAGAAATTCTGCTGATATAGTGTTCGTATCTTGCTTCTGGCTTGATTTTGCATCTTGAAGGAGAAGTAGAGTTGAAATGGAAAAAGCTTATGAATGCCATTGATATGACAGAAGAATTGCCCTCAAGAATCATTGCAGACCTTCACATGTTATCTGATACGATTAGCTGAGCGCATGGCGAAGAAGGTATCAAATATGCTCACCTGAAACCGCAGATAACTCAAGAATTTGTGATTCGATGGTGGCCTGGTCTGCCATTAAATCAGCTGCTCCATAAAACTACCATAGTCCATACGAAGATGAAGATGATCAAAGTGCGCAAGATCAGAAGAATATCTAACGCATATTCTGGTGGTTGAAGTCTTCGAATTATTGCAATCGACTCCATGATGAAGAGAAGAGGGTTCGAAAAGAGTTTTCAAGTATAGAAGGTAGGTGGACAAAAGTGTTGCGACTATATAGGTCGTCCTCTGAATCATGTAAAGAAGAGAGAACTTGACAATAAAATAAAAAAAGCAATTGAAAAATGAACACAAACTTCAGAGTTAGGGCAGGAGGAGTAGAAGATTAAGATTTTCAGAATTACGCGAGGCTGAGAGGCATAGCTCTATTCTATTGTACTTGGCGGCTGTCAGTCTTTTTTTGTAACTGAGGACTAGAGGCCTGGATTTGGATTATATAAATAAATGAAGATGCTCAAACATCTGCCCAAAGAATCCTCTGCCACTTGAAAGTCCATGTGCCATTTTTCCCCCGATGAATAAATCATCAAGACCATTTTCCCTAATGTGAGAGTTCAAAAAAAAGAGAATTAGAGAGCCTTTTGCTAACCAGGTAGTTTGGAACAAACATGATGAGGCGATATTACCCTTGGAAGTCGAAGTTCGACAGGGGCCTTTTCAAGATTAAAATTAGAAGCTGAAGGCTGGAGGATTCAAGGTCAGTTATAACATTGACACGTTTGAAATTCGCTTCCAAGCAATGGGAAACAGACAATAGATGAACCGCAGTCTGAAAAGTCAATAGATGGGTAGATAAGGTGAGGATAGCCCCCAACAACCCTAGGTCCTCTGATCACATCAAAATGTTAGCTATTATCCAAACGATATCAGACAAGAGAAGCCTACTGGGTAGGTGAGTGTTGATTTTGCTAATTATCTATTGGAAGGCAATAGGAGAGTGTTTACAGGATTCAGTAATATTAGATAAATAAAGCAAAAAAACAGAAGAACGATTCCTTTCTAACTCATGGGTCCTTCCTGGCGATGTCTGATCTTACTCCTGGTGATAATGTATACAGCTGAAAGGCCCTTGACTAGATTATCAATCACATCACTAATGTTGAAATAATTCAATCAAAGTATTGAGATACATTAGTCCATCATCAACTAACTCATTGGTAGATGTCAAACAGCCAATAATGTTGACAAGAGAGCCCAAGAGTTACAGTGTATCCTACAAACTTCAGACAAAACAACTAACAGCATATAACAAAGATCAAACTTTCATTTTGAAAACTTTATCTCTGTACTTTGCCTAGAATACAAGCATGATTATCAGTGTTTTGACGTTCTTGAACTTTTCAGTGAGGCAAACGAGTTGTTGAAGCAAGAGTTTACCCCTATTTGAGAACATGCATATAACAGCAAATTCAAGAATTTTATGAAACTTAGCTTGATCTTTCTGAGGAGTTAGTATCTTTAACTTCTCACTTCTAAAGAGATCATCCAACTAGTCAGTGGGTTCATGTTCATGAAGGGTTCATGCTAGAAGTAACATTCACATGAAAATAAGCTCTTCTCGTTTAATTGTTTCCCCGAGCCCCGATCATTCACACGTGATATATCTCTCCACATTCGCTACATCATTGTCAATCCATGTTAACTACAATGTTTTGGCCAGAACAACTACATAATCTAATTGATAATTGCTTCCTCGAGAGATTTTAGGGAGTATTTGTACCTTCCCTTGAGGACTCGAAATTTCAATCTCAATTTTTCAACTTTTCTTTCGCTCTCTCACAAATCTGAGCCCCACCTCTTTCCAACCAAAGTTCTTGAAACTTGGGCGGGAAGGTACTGTCGGGCATTCGAGCTTGGCCAGAAAGTTGGCATTTACCCCCGAAGGACTTGCTCGTTGGCACACAACTCGACACTGTGACTGACGCAGCAGAAAATTGAGCTTGGGATAACAGAAAAACGCCGACAATGACGGACCCCATTGAGTCAACGTAAGTAGGAATTATTAAATTTGATCATGCCGCGGGAAGCGCTACCCCCTCTTTCTAGGTCTCGAATGACTTCGGGCGTTATTGTGAACAGTGGCAACCTGCTAATACTTATATTCTTAGTCACAAACGGAGTAAATCATCTGCTTTATCCCTTCTGCGCAGCAGGAGAGAGGGAAAGGATGACGAGAATTTAGAATATCAACCCCCGATGTCTCCCGCGACCACGGCACACTCTCCCACGCTTCCAGCTGCGCCATTCCAGCCCACTCTCGGACATTCTTCGAAAAAGTCGACCAGTGCGACAGGACTCATGAGATCAGCTTCTAATGTCCATCCGCGGAGCACGGCTACTTTGTCACCCGACAAGACGATGTCCATCGAGCAGACTGTTCGAAAGTTCAAGATATTTGAGGCATTAAAGAATGGCGATACAGCAGCGATATCAAAGGCAATCCGTGAGTCCGACGGTAGTCGAATGAGCATCTCTAGTTTCGCAACCGTTTCAACCAATTTGGAAGACACCACCATCCTGCACTTAGCTATCCAATGTGCCGAACAACAAGTAATCGAGTATGTGTTATCTGATGGAGCGGGAACAATCGATGTCAATGCGAAGGATCGTGATGGGAACACGGCTCTTCACCTTGCTGCAAGCTTAGGTCGTGGCCCTATTGTACGCTTGCTTCTTGGACAGCCCGGTATCAACGATTCTTTACCAAATTATGCGGGTCGCCTACCTCTTGACCTTGCTCGAACACCCGATATTTTCCAGCAACTACAGCTTTCTCGTTCAATGTTTGTGGATGGTAAAATAAAGCAAATACATGAACTGGTTGCGCACGGAGACTACAAGACATTGGGTGAAATCTTGGAGGAACCTCGAGTCAAAACAGTCTTGGATATCAATGGTGGAGAATTCACTTCTGACCCAATCACGGTACAAGCTGGTGGCACTTTACTGCATGAAGCGTCCAGAAAAAAGAATATTGAGCTCATACAAGTGTTGCTGTTACATGGTGCTGATCCGTTCCGTCGCGACCGAAAAGGAAAATTGCCGCAAGATTACACAAAAGATGATGCAACCAAAGCTATGTTGAAGAAGTCTCCTGCTGCAGTTGCCGCTCAAAGAGGAATTCAGGAGAAAGCTGTTCTCGGGAATGTATCTCAGCAAGGAGCAGTCAATGCCAACCCGTCAGATGCACTAGCTGGAAAGGAGGGTCGAGAAATGCAAGGCTATCTAAAAAAGTGGACAAATTATCGTAAAGGTTATCAATTACGTTGGTTTACCTTGGAAGATGGCATTCTAAGTTATTCCAAACACCAGGACGATGCCGGGTCTGCTTGTCGAGGTGCAATTAATATGCGCATCGCGAAGCTCAACATGGATCCTACAGAGAAGACCAAGTTCGAAATCATTGGAAAATCATCCGTCAAATATCATCTTAAAGCAAACCATGAAGTTGAAGCTAAAAGGTGGTTTTGGGCGCTGAACAATTCTATACAATGGACTAAAGATCAGGCCAAGGAAGAGGAAAAACAAGAGGCAAAGAGACTAGAACTGCTACAGCAAGCGAAAGATCAATCTGGCAGTGGATCCAAGGAAGCCTTTGACAGCAACGGTCTCAACGAGCCATCTCTTGTCTATACGGACTCACGCCGTGAGAGCATTCAAGGTAGCAGACTTCTACCACAGACTAGCCTCAGCAGGATTACAAGTCCACGAGTCGCATTCACTAGTATTGCCGGTAGTGTTGGCGATGAAGAAGAAACTAATTATGGATCATACAACCCAAGCTTCATCGGCGATGGAAGTAGAATACCAAGTCACATTGGAACAGGACCTGTTGATGGAGATGATGATGATGAATATGGAGATGGTTCTAGTGAGCACGAGATGCCGGCAAGTAAGGATGCTTTTGAAATCACGGCTCAATCTGCTCGACTGCAACTCGAACTCATGGGACAAGTCAATGCAGCTTTACAAGTAGAGCAATCCAGAAATCCAAACCTCGTCATCTCTGACCCAGTTGCAAACCAAGCAACTGCGACATATGATTCGGCCATTCGTAATCTCAAGGGTCTTGTTGGCGATCTTTTAAAAATTTCCAAAGATAGAGATGCATATTGGCAACAACGTCTTGATCGGGAAGAGCATATGCGAAGGATGTGGGAAGAAAGTATGGCTCAAGTCGCCCGTGAACAGGATGAATTAATGGCTCGTATGGGCGAATCTGAGGAAAAGAGAAAGATGACAAAACGAGCACTTCGGGAAGTCACTCGATCAGCATCTAGACCAGCTAGCAGAGGCGAATTAGCAGCAAGAGCTGAGATAGATGAGGCTCTTGATGATGTTTCTCTCAATGATGACGGGACCGCTCCCTTAAGACATGTAGCGACTAGCAAAAGCTCATTACGACAGAAATCGATGGCTGAAGGTATCCCTGATATGTCTGATTCGGACTCGGATGAAGACGACGAATTCTTCGACGCCGTTGATGCCGGCCAGGTCGAAGTTGTCAAAGCTCTACCGCTTTCGAGCCCTGCTGTAGGTGAAACTGAAAAGGTAGAGGAGGGTAAACTTGTGAAGGCTGGGGGTCTAGACATCAGTTCTGCTTTCAAGGGATACGAAAATGGCGTAAGAACTCGTCTAAAGATGGATGCTGATGATCGTCCAAAGATCTCTCTATGGGTATGTATTTGAGCTCGTCTTATTCCGACATCACTAATATTTTTCAAGGGTATTCTTAAATCTATGATTGGCAAGGACATGACTAAAATGACACTTCCTGTGTCTTTCAACGAACCGACGTCATTACTGTATCGATGTGGTGAAGATATGGAATATGCAGATCTTTTAGATATTGCAGCAGATCGAGCAGACTCCATAGAGCGCATGGTATATGTTGCTGCTTTCGCCTCAAGTGAGTATGCATCGACCATTGACAGAGTTGCAAAACCCTTCAATCCCCTTCTTGGCGAAACTTTCGAATATGTTCGTCCTGATAAGAATTATCGCTTCTTCATCGAGCAAGTCAGTCATCATCCACCAGTTGGTGCTGCTTGGGCCGAGTCTCCTAAATGGACCTATTATGGAGAATCAGCTGTGAAGTCTAAGTTTTATGGAAAGTCTTTCGATATTAATCCTCTCGGCACTTGGTTCCTTAAGCTTCGTCCTACATCTGGGGGGCCAGAAGAATTGTATACCTGGAAGAAAGTCACATCTTCCGTCGTTGGAATTATAACCGGTAACCCTGTGGTCGACAATTATGGGCCAATGGAAATCAAGAACTGGACAACAGGTGAAGTTTGCAACGTTGAATTTAAGGCTCGAGGTTGGAAGGCTTCTAGTGCTTATCATATCACTGGTAGAGTCAATGATGCGAACGGACAAACTCGTTTCAGTCTTGGTGGTCGCTGGAACAGTAAAATTTATGCTCGTTTCACACCTGGTTATGAGGCAACTGTCGAGGAACCTAAATCCGGTTCTTCTCACCGCAGAGGCAGTGTCAATGATCCAAGCCAAGCATTTTTGGTCTGGGAAGCTAATCCACGCCCAGCTGGTATCCCATTCAATCTGACTCCTTTCGTTCTCACATTCAATGACATCAATGACAACCTTCGTCCTTGGTTGCCACCAACGGATTCTCGATTGAGACCTGATCAGCGTGCTATGGAAGATGGCGAGTACGATTTAGCTGCTACTGAGAAGAATCGCCTTGAAGAGAAACAACGTGCTAGACGATGTGAGCGTGAACAGCTCGGTGAAGCTTTCGTTCCTCAATGGTTCGAGAAATCGAAATGTCCAATAACTGGAGAGGAATACTGGGCTTTCAACGATAAATATTGGAACGAACGAGAGAAGGCTGCTACTGGAGAAGCATGGACAGGCGTTGAAGATATTTTTAATGATGTAAAGGAAGAGGAGTGATCGTGATTAGATGAAAAGATAGGGAAGGGTGTAGGATATCTGAATGTAAAGTATAAATCTTCTTCATAGCTTTTGCTTTTGGCAGGCCAAACTTTTGGCGATGAGCTGGGCGGTTTACCATGAGATGCAACGATACACAAGAGAACACGTACATAAATACCTAGAAGTTAGCGGGCTATCAGCCAGCCAGCCAGTTAGTCATACACCATACATATCATTCAAATCAGGTCAAGAAGTCTTGGCACGTGTGAACATGGTGTAAGAGCGGAGAAATAATATGATTTAAGCATGCAGCTCGCAGGATTCGATCTACAGTATGTTGTTAGCTTTCCATTGTTTGGATTGATTTGGGGAATTGAATTGCACTTACCAAACAAGTCCAGATATTGCGCCCTCCGGCAGCTTTACGAAGAGCCTGATTTTCAACACATTAGCTTGATTTCTCGAAAGGGTAGCGTTGATTGTCCGTCAAGATTAGGATAGTTGAGGGGTATTGTACTTACCCGAAGGCAAAGGAGAGGCGAAAAGCACGACAGCAGAGGAAGCAAGCTAAATCAGAGTTTAGCGTTGATCAGTATATCTTCCCAGTTGTTCATATAGATCGGGATAGTCGTAAGTCGTTGTACTGACCAGATGGACCAGGAGTGGCGCAAAGTCTAACGACAGCTTAATAAACCTACACGGGAGGTTAGATTTGAGATCCAAGTCCGCGGTCTACTACTTGATTGAACTAGCCACTGGAGGATATCGTACTAACCAGAAGGAACGACAGAACGGCGGCAGCAGCGACAGTCTCAACTACTTATATTAGTGGTCAGCCTTTATCTTTCCACACCTGTTGATTGTTCGAACAGATTGAGGTAGTTTGGGGTATCAAACTGACCCAAGGTAAACAGAGTGGGGCAGGGTGGCACCGGAGATCTAAATTTTCTAGATTGGAGGTTAGCGCTGCTCTGTATACCTGGTCCGTTGTTCAAATCTATTACGGACATTGGGGTCTAGCGTACTTACTCGAAGACCGCAGAGCACCGGAGAAGGCGACGGCAGTCTAAACGCGCTATATTGAGAGTCAGTATCGAGCGCTGTATATCTGTTGATTGTCCAGGTAGAGGTGGTGGTTTAATACGTACTTGGCGAGGAATGGAATAGCTCATATACCGTTTGGTATAATCCCCGCTGGGGTCGTCTTTGTCATCGTCTTTGTCTTCCCGGCGGCGTTTCTTGATTGCTAGACAATCGTTTAGTCTTATTGTTCCATATTACATCATACATTCAACGGAGGTTGTGGTTTGACGACTTACTTGGCTCGTCGTCTGGGAGAGAGAAAGGCAATTCCTCCTCCTCCTCCTCCTCCTCCTCCTCCTCCTCGGTGGGATCCGAGGCTCCTGCGGTGCCGTAAATCGGACAGCCCTCTCTCCAAAGAAAGTTATCGCCCTTGGCCCGAAAGCCCATATTTCTTGCCGCCTCTCGCCAATCAAGGCTTTTGTCTCTCCTATATCATGCGCATTAGCTTTTACTTGTCAATCTCTGATTGATTTTTGTTGAATACGTACTCTTCTTGCTCCTTTTTGGAGCGCGCAGCCTGGACCATTGCTTTTTTCTTAGCAGGATTGGCGGCCTGCCACTCCTTGCTACTCTTGACGCTCTTCTCTGTACGGCAGAGGGCTTGATTGAGATTTCCCGCATGGTTCCGATAAACCACGGAATGCCTTTGGCTTCGCACTCTAACGTGCGATTGGATATGTTACGGGGCTCGCAACTGGCGACAACTGTGGTGGTAGCGGTGGTGCTGCTGCTGCTGCTGCTGCTGCTGCTGCTGCTCGCGGCGGCGGCGACAAGGTGAGTAGACGCCTTTTTGCCCTTGGCAGGGGCTTTTACAACCTTCTTTGGTGGCATGGTGGCTTTAATGGCGATGGTGTCTTTCTTTGATTATAAAATGCTCGATTGATGGTATTGATTGCAGAAAGTATTTCTGCTGTTGATCCGTTTGACGAGAGGAAAGGAAGCGCAGAGAAGGCACAAATTTGGACGAGACATTACTTACCTACATGTGGGCCAACAAGGCTGCATTTCCGTCTATCTAAAAAGCGGCTATTTCTGGCAGTGGAAAGATACTTGACAGTGAAGGCTCAAGATCAAGAAGTGAATACTTGAAAATTAAAATTCTTAACTCTTGAATTTTATTTCTATCTATTGTGCGATGGTCAAGGCCTAATGAGTAATCTTTGACAATAATACACCTAGCATCAGTCCATTGTTTAGATGCCGGCCTCGTTCAATACTCGTGGGTAGAGGACGATCGAGACTGAGCATAGGGTGGCTTTTATTCTCTATATCTTCCATGTACTTGCCGCACCACACGAACAGTTGTACCCCTTAGCAAAAGCAAAAGGTTTGCCAGCATCTACGTTCACATATATTCACCTATCCTGGCTATCGAATTTTTGAATGCTTGAGCTCTATAACCTCGAATTCGAAACTGGTGAGCTAGAAGAGTTACGTTCTAGGAGGAAATAGACAGTCTGAAGTTCGAACCTCGAAGGCGGGCTGCTGCTATGTAGGATACCTGCGTTATTTACATCTCGGTCTATTCGCAAACGATGTGAGTTGTTCACTGGCTGGAGGATTGATTACAAGGACTGAAGCTGCGGCGTTCCAGTATTTTATTCAAACGCATAAAGGATCAGAACCGCGGTGCAGGGGACATGCAGAATAACGACACGAGAACCGATCTCTTATTTACTATTAGAAGACTCCTGGGGTTTTCGAGGTCACAAAGGAAGGCAAGAAAACTGCAAAGACGGCACAAAAAGGACAGAGGAAAATCCGAGGGAAGAGGCGGCAAACTGTCCAATTTTACAGCGATGTTAAAGGCGCAATTAGTAGGGCGATGAATATCCTAGAAGAGGGTATAAAGAATTGCGATTTTGAAAGACTCATGACTTTTACAATTTGAGTGGCACCGGAAGCAAGTCATCGATACTGGGTAAGTGGTGGTCTGATAGGAGCATTTTTGGGGAAGGTGCAGTTGTAATGAAGTAGCGGCGGAGTAGAATCATGAAGATTGGAGCATAAGATGGCATCGTTCAATATGTTGATGAGCACAAAATCAAGAGAGCGTGGTTATGCATTATGAACATATATCCATTGAAAGTTTGTGCTATCGACATGATACCTTTATTGATAGGAGCTGAGTTGATGGGCGTCAAAAGCGCTATAACAGGACCTGATTCTTTCCATCCATTCTATCGATCAGCATAAGTATGAGATCGAAACTTTGAGCGTTTTCCTGCTCTCGAGTTCATCATTAACATAGTGTATACATTCTTTGAAGATTCATAGTATACATAGCCTAATTTCTTGCCCCGGATACAAGTAATACTACACTTCCCAATTGCCTTCTAATATCTTCCCTCTCAACATCATGTGTATCTTCAACAGCTCCCCACATACCGGTCTGCCAGTCTACCTCTAAACTTGCAGCTTTGGCCGCCTCCTCTACACCAAATTTCTTCTCAGCAGCTTCATCTCGTAAATGCGCCAACTCAGCACTCCATTCTACTACTAATCGTGCAGCTCCAAGTAAACTCTTTCCAGCCAACACACCTCTCTCCAATCCTGCAAGCTCGAATGGAGGTAATCCAGAAACCCATCCTCTTACTATATCCTTGGTCATTTGGGGTTGACTCTTAGGTACGATACTATCCGCATCTAAGACTGGAATAAGTTCTACCCCAGGCCATACCTTCTCAGACAAGAACTGAATAATAGGCTCTGCAGATTTCCTTTGAATGCTTCGCAGACTCTCTACTCTATCAACATGTGTTTCATATCCTGGTGGATCTTCAGGTGCTTCAGGCGCCCAGCACAAAAGTGAATCGGTATCGAGATATCGCATTACGGTTGTAACAATATGAGTCCTGATTAAGTCTCCCCCCTCCTTTTCTTCATCTATAATATCGAGAGCGCGGTTCACGAGTGAAGTCATCGGTATAAGGTGAGTCTTCAAAGCTTGTTGTGCAGATACAAGTAGATCCCATTCAAGGGCGATGGCAGATGCCAAATGTGGTTTATGATGTGGTACTGTGAGGATATCTTTGGAAGGTCTTCGGAGAGCTCGTTTGTCAAGGAATATTTGTAAACCCTCTGCGTTCTCAACGCTGATTAGCGGATTTGTTATTTAAGATGAAATAGGGAATTGACAAATGTTACCTTCCGTATCCTGTACATTAACATCCTTCCAGAACCTCTTGAGTTTCGCAGTTCCACCACCTTTACCATTAGCTACAGCTCTCATATCTTGGCCCTTCTTAAGTAGCTCTGCTTGCTTCCTCTTCCTTGCGACCCTAATATCGACATGCTCGGCACTGGGAGTTGGCGCGGCTGGTGGCGGGCCAGATGCTGTGAATGCCGCAGGCGCAACTGTTGCGGGCGAAGGTGGTGTTGTGTGGATACATCGTTTGCTCAATGGAGCTAAACTTTGACCACGAGAGATTCGTAGGCCTTTCAAGCCATTTACCACCGGTAGTTGACTAATGCGCTTCATTTTTACAGAGTGCTCACAGGGAGTGAGGATTGCTTAGAAAATAAGTCGATATTGAGCTTGATGCGGCTATGCGGCCGCTTATTGCATTTTTGCCGCATCACGTGTTAATGAATCCCAAGATCAATCTTTCACTCTTGCTATCTCTGCATCAGAAATCAATCATTACCTCAATCGAGATTTAGATGATAGTTAGCATTTCGGAGTACCATAATCAGAGCAAGCTATCTGGATGTCAAGAGGGAAAGCGTACAGGTCGAGATTATGTATTGGGTCTTGCGAGTTTTTCAATTGTTTTCCCCGTACAAATTGGGTCGGGGCAATCATTCACCCCTTCCTCAGACTCGATTAGTTTCGAGCCCATCTATGGGCAGCTCTTGCCAAATCTCATGAACTTGTCGCTTTGATACCAGTCGAAGTTGCTTAACGAGTAATCTATCACAGATACTCTTTGCCAGATGCAAGTGCCCTCTCATGAATGTGGCTTCGTGCTTGCGACAACTTCCCGCCATTGATTCGATGCTCTCAATCTCACAATGACTTACATCCTGTATTTTCTATGATATTTTGTTGCCCATATACATATGTAATGATGTCGATAGTGAGCTATTAAAGTCTAGGTAATTCCGACCATGATGCGGAATAGGACTTAGACTTTCGACTATTGAACCTTAAAGTTCATCTTCTCGTCTCCTCCAGTATGGAAGGCTTTTGTTGCAAGTCTGTTCCAGAGTACAGGGGTTTCCCAATGCTCTTCCTTTACCACTTATCAAATCCAGCTTATTGTCAGATATTGTTAACGATTGCGAGCCTTTATGCTACCTGAGGAATCAGAAATTATACATAACCATTAGGCTAAAACCACAACTCAAATTATTTCTAGCTATATTCCACGAATCGTATAATAACTCTTCCCCTGCATTTCCAGATGAAACAAAAAAATAAATATATTTTGAGGTTCGGTCATATTGGACCTATACTTCCCGTTGGGTGAACTGAATACTCTAAAGAAACCTTACCATAAGACTATTATCGAATTCTACTAATTACTGCGATACATCTTTTAATCCCCTAGTCCTCCGACACCTGATTACTTGGAGTCTATATACCAGTAACAACGATTTCATTGCTTGAATGAGATATGCCATTCCTCTCCGATATTTCACACTCTACTATTCCAATCATCAGCTATTCCGAACCAATCTAAAAGACATGGAGAAACTCTTCCACTACTGTTTAACTGTAGCCCTGAGCCATGTGTCATATAATTCATGATTCTGATACTTCCAAATTCTTTCCATCAAGAACAGTATTTGCTTCGATTGGCGTTCCAAAGCACCTCCTTCTGGACCTCTCCTTGAAAACTGGTTTGGTAGTCGTCATTATACCTTCCAAATGAAATGGTCAAAGTCTTGCATCGATTCCTTCCTCTTGATTCTACTTACATACTAGTTTATATTACTTCCCTCCAGCAGTCACAGTCTTATTTACACAACACACTCACTTGACAGATAATACAACGATAACTCACGGCGAATTCGCATACATCATAACTAGACATCAGAATTACTCGACAGAAATACACTGCAGCATTTATATACTAGTATCAAACTTCAAGAGGTATTCTCATCCGTTTACTCTGAATATGTGCTTGGCTCATGATACAAGGGTGAATGTTGAGTCGATTATACTGGCAAGAATGCCTAGTCTCTTTGAAAGGGTTGGTCGTAGAGATGGTGTGTTACAAGGGACTGCAGTTCAGAACTTCTTCTCTAATACACCATTTAGACTTTATTGTCCGCGATTTCGTCGATTCCAACCCACTCGATTTGAACAACCCCCAGGAAGTCAAAGCCGCCCAGATGGGAACTGCAGAGTTCATGGCCAGCACTGTAATTCAACGACGGCAAGGCTGGATGAGAGCTGCAGAATTCGATCGCCCCCCATCCCTCCAAAGAGTACCAGGCTGGAATACTCGAAATTACAATAAGATCGGATTTGAGGCTATACACGTAAACAGTCCGGACTACTTCCTTGGACACAGAAATTGGTACCGACATATATTATTCTTCCTCATGACGCAGCAATACCTTCACGCGCAGATTTTTTCAAGATGACGGAAGTTGTGGTTAAGTTTATACCACCTATCAGAGTTTCAGAACGTTCTTCAGAATTAGCAAGCCTGACAGGAAGGTGGTCCGAGACTGATAGAATCCTTATTTTTCGGCACGACTTGCATTCGTCGATGTATACTCATGGGCCTCGTGTGAGACACTATAAAGATGGGGAGCCTACGATTGAAGGTCTCTATTTTTGGGATTGCGCATCAGCTTTCGTGAAAGTCACTCTCAGGAAAGATTCTGACTCTGTTGTATAACCATTTTCTGCTGAACATATAAGCAACGATCGGTTAGAGATGGATTCTAAAGCTTGAGAAAACGGCAAAGTATACATTATAATGATTGCATCTGCAATCCAAGCGATTAATACTAGTTTAAATTTAAAAGAGTATCCAGCATTAATCTGAATTTGCACTCATTTTGTGGGGGTAAGAATATCGGAATGTCTACTGTAATCAGGTATCGAACAATCAACCGATCTAACATTTAACATCCAACATCTAATAATCCAGTGAGTAGATACTTATGACAATGCCGTCAACGCTCCGGTTTCTATACAGCGGATTTGGACAACTCCAGCTTCCAACCCGACAAGGAAACAATCTTGATTTCTCAACTTCTCCACAGCATTGGAAAAACTCTTGAATAGCAGGTGCACCCGCTCACTATTAGCTCTCTCATTTTAAATATTTGGATGCCTCTCAAAATCCACATCTTTGAACTATCAAGCCATTCTCGAGGATTCAATACTTTGAGTTCACTACATCCTTCCTCTCTGCGCCAGAAGTTCCGGGAACCTTCAAGAAATATTGTTGTGGTAGTCTTATCTTAGTATATCCATACCGTCTAGTAAGTTCATCAACTGTTTGCATGGACTCGGATGTAATAATCTTTCTAAAAGCCTTTGATACCGTATTGATGTCTTTGACAAAACAGTCTTCAGGTCTAGAAAGGATTGAGCTGAGCCTTCTGAGACTGGGGAAAAAGTTTCAGTATACTCATAGTCGTTGATTCGATTTTTGGTACTCGATATTCAGTCCACGTGGGCAATCCTGTATATACCCCCAGACTATCACTAGAGAAATACACTGTCAACCAGGTGCTAGGAATGTGTATTAACACTAAAGGATTCTCAGATATCAGATTGTGGATTTGTATTATATACTCGAATTATTAACATGTAATCTAAATGAGACTAACATTGCTTTGGTGAGATATCAGATGAATGAATAAATACAGTTCCAAGATTGCTTACATTGTTTATCATTTCTATATGTTCTTGTCATTCTTTCTTCGATGCTTAGCAAGTTTTACCGTTCATTTTTTGATGCATTGCGTATATGTGATGACTTGGAATTTTGAGGTATCTTGAACTTTATGTCTTTACTACTTGCCGTAATATCTGGCTCCTCTAAGCTTAATGAGAGGTCGAGCGTTTACAATCAAACCCACAACCTTCTTGTCTAAAACAGAGGTCTGTCTAGAAATTTGATTCATGATGAGACATTGTAACTCTGTTCATTGATATTCATTGAGTTATAGACGTTTTTGAATTTGATTATATTTAAGCCGATTACAAGATATAATGACTGAGGATACACATTTCAGCATGGAGATTATAGTAAGTCTGTCGCAAAAGTAGAGACAATGGAATTATTAGATCAGGAGTTAGGGTTGACTTTGGTTTACAAGATGACGTTGTGGTATATAAATACTCTTTGAATTTTGAGTCTTTGGTATAAATCTCAAAACTCCTCGAGATGTAGAATCAGTCTCGGGAACGAATGAAATTTCGATGCTTCCTAATTCTATCAACATGTTTGGGCTATTGATTGGACTTCATCAGAACTGTAGAACCAAAGGCCAAATAGAACTAGAATGAGCTATTCGAATCTGGATAATGTCGGATTCTTCATCGCGAGTTGGGGGGATATTCATCTGCTTGTACCTCCCTCAATTAATTCAAAAATCCTACATACTTCTACGGGTTGGTTCCCTTGCTTTCAAAGATTGATAAGTTCGATTTATTTGACGGACACCTTGTTTGAATTTACCTTCACTAAAAGTTATCAGAAAAATGAACTCGAAGAGATACGTTGCGTACTTGCTTAATATCGAAGATTTGCTTGTATGAGAGTAACCGATATCCCTACATCTTGCACAACCCTGTATCTTACACACTTTTATTTCTTTTGAAAATAATATTCTAAAAATGATATATAATCAACCAATCATTGAATTCTATTAAAAATAAAAATAAGAATACTATAATATTATTTCTTTTATATAAAATAATAAAATCATAATTATAATTGATAATTGAATAGAAATCTCGATATCAAAACTATTAATATAAAATTATTATATATTAATTTATTTAATAATAGAAATAATAAAAGTTTGTTTTTAGAAAATATTCTATAAATTTGAAGATCTTTTAATATAAGGAATCAAAAAAAGCTAATTTTAATATCAAAAATTCGAAATTATATTAATATATAATAAGAGTTTTAATAAATAATTTGTTTAAAAACAAAAATCTTTTATAACTTAAGTATTAATTATATTCTGAATATGATTTAATTATATAATATATTATTTATATATTAATATTAATAATTAAATAATAAAATACTATATTTTATTATATATTTATATATATAATTATTTATTTTAAAAATATTAATATTTAAAAATTAAAATTATATAATCAATAATAAAGAATTTTTATTTAAATATTTTTTGAAAGAAAATCTTGATTTAAATTTAAATTTAAAATTAATAATTAGTATTAAATATTATAAAATGAATTTGAAATTGAATATAAATTATAAATTCTTAGAAATATTATAAAAATTTAAAGACTTTTTTTAGAAATAAATTCTTTTAAAAAGAAACTATAATATTTTTGATTGAAAAAATATATATAATAAACTTTTCAATTAAAATATAAGATCAATTATTTTAATTATATTTGTATTTATTTATATTACTCTATAATATAATTAATTATAACTTTCTAAATAATATATTATTTTAATATTATTTATTATTATTATATTATATATTTTCTAATATATAAAATATAGTTTTATAAATTAAATTAACATATCAATTTTATTTTTCTAAAGTCTCGAAATAAATATTTTATCATATTTTAAAAAGTATTTTTAAATATTTTTCTTTTTTTTAAACTATATAAAAATTTAAAAACTTGATATAAAACTTGATTATTGATATTTTTCGAAATTTCAAACTTTTGATTAATAATAATAATAATAATAAATACAAAAAACTATTTTTCAATTATATACATTCACTCTAATATAAGATTTTATTTTATTATTAATATTTTAAAATATTATTACTCAAAATCGATTAATATTCAATTGAATATTTCAAATCTTTCAAATTCCTAATATTATCTTTTAATAAATATAAGATTCTATTATACAAATTTTAAAATCATTATAATAATATTTGAATTTAATATCGATTTTTAGTTTAATAAATCAAATTGTGCAAGATACAGGGATATCGGTTAATGAATGCATTTTAATATAAAAGCTCACTGATTGTCTAGAGCAAACCTCGTGTACAGGTTGAAGAGACGAAGCCTATGATTACTACGACACTCAAATGGATACTTGACGTTAGACTTCTAGCTCTACTTTGCTGCTACTATGTAATTGCTTAAACCGAGGTATAAAGTTCTTGAATAGATGTGGAGCGGGGGTATAATTTTTGTGGAAACGTCGCCTCAAAGCCCCACGGCAATTATTTAACCGTATATATATTTAAAAATTGCTGTCAAAGTCAACAAACACAACAAAGTGTGACCATTCAAGCCTACTTGAAAACACTCTCGGTCGTCTAGTTGGTTTATGACGTCAGACTGTAATTGTACATTGTAATCTGGATGTCGCGTGTTCGACTCACGCCTGAGAGACTTTCTTTTTGCAATTTTTTTGGCATCGATATCGACTCTGAGGTTCGTACGCATCTTGTGCTTCTTCTTCTACGGAGTAGATAGTTGAATTTTTGAAAAGAGCGGGGCGGCCCGGTAGGGCCGCCGGATATCAAACAAAGCAAACACAAGCCCGGTTTGCACAATTGGTTGAGCGTGGGTCTTTTAAGATAGGTCGGAGAGCTACTCACCCACTCTATCGTCTATAACTCTGAGCGGACGGGATCAAAATTAATTTTGTTAACATCGTCATGAGCAGCAACTCCGGCCACCCCCTTCCTCTCAGACAGAGCAGAGTCTTTGTTCGGTTCTATTAGGGACAAAAGAAGAATACCACAAAAAACACTGACAAAAAGATTTTCAGATGAAGGGGATTGAGCCCAACGGGGGGGTCGAACCCCCAACCTTGTGATTTCAGAAGAACTCATAGATATTGAATCATAAGAGTCACACGCTCTACCGATTGAGCTAGCCGGGCAGGCTTTGATCTTTTTGATGTTGCAGACGATGTTTTCTAAATATTCAAACCGTTGATAACTGGAGAGAAAGCTTTGCAAAAAAATCTAAGAAAAAAATGATGATTAGCGAGATTCGGTTTAGCTGGTGGAGGTTCCGAGCGGGTCATTCCTCAAGAAATTTCCGACGAACAAAAGAAATTTGTGGAGAAGTGTACCCTCGTACCCATAACTGAATGAATGCAGGTGTACACTGTACTTCTCAAGGAGTACAGCCGTAAGGGAAAAAAAGCAGATAGACAAGTGTCACGTGTAACCGAAAATGAAGGGGAGAAAATAGCCAAAATCTTCAAAAATCTAACCCAAACGCCCGATGAGAGGCTCGAACTCTCAACCTTGGGCTTTCATATGATAGAATCTATCTTAAAAGGCCCACGCGCTAACCAATTGTGCCAACCGGGCTTGTGTTTGCTTTGTTTGATATCCGGAAGAGATTGTTCAAAACTATAATGGATGTTGTGGCGGGTCGAAAGGATTTTTAGCCGGACAATTTCGACGCAAACACTTGGCACGTTTATGTCAGCCCCCACCAACTATGGCCCATGATCTGTGCCATGCATTGCCTCGGACAAGTTGAACTGAGTAAATTGATATTGTTGAATTTGAATAAATACAAAATTACATGCAGACGTTGTAAAAGTGCAGTATCAAATCTTGGGATTTTAGCGAGCTGTATGACGCTAACTGTCTATCTGTTACTAGGTACATATCTAACTACCCGTTGACATGTGAAATACTCTGTCTATACAAGGAAGGCACGATCAATCCAAACAAGTAGGCTCCTGCCCCAGTTTATACCCCTCAAATGGAATCCGAGGACGTCAACCAAGCATACTCGAGGCATACTCCTCCTTCACATATATTCAAAATCGTGTTCCACCACTACCACCTATGCAAATACTACACAAGTACTACGACAAGAAACTAATCGTTTAAATTGTTAATCCGAAATGAATTCTTCAACTTCACGAATCGATTGGTCTGTAAATGGACCTCAAATTACGCGGGGAAACCTCGGAGCTAGTAATGATTCAAATGATTCTCGAACGAGTGTTGGAGGGCGAGAGAGTTCTACCCTTACTGCTAGAATACAAGGTTCGAAGACTCAGAGATGGACTTCTACAGCAGATGAGGACTATACTTGGGATTGGAACTTTGCTGCTCAGTACGTTATCACTATTTCACAAAATATATTTAGTTAGCACTTGTTATATTTCACTTCACATTATTCAGCTACATCATTGGCTACATCATTGGCTACCAAGTCACATTTAATTAATCAAATTCCCGGGAATTTTTCATTTGGCTTTACTCTCTTGAAGTTTTGGGAATTCAAACCTCTTTTTCAAAATACCAAACAGATGCTCGAAAAGGTTGTAAAAATGCGTAAATGCTGATGATTAGCAGAGGTGACCAAACCGAGACCAATTCCAATACATCTTCATACCCTCATCCAGATTTATCATTGCCTCATCCAACTCTAAATCTCGATTTCCGTATGTCAGTTTCCCTAAATCCACGAATTTCCGTTGGTCAAACACCATTTGGACATCGAAATTGGATATCATTTACAGGTGGTGTGTGGTCTGGATCATGGGGATCAGGAATCGTATTAGTACATCAGCATTTCCCCTCCCTTTTTCAATACTAATGTTTCACAGCCCGGAGGTCAAGATAGCCAACTAATATTACCTGATGGGTCAGCCCGTCTGGAAACGAACTATCTACTCCAGACTCATGATGATCCTCCAGCACATATTGCGATCAAAACGCATGGTTGGAGAACGGGCCCCGCTGAAGTGTTAGCTCAGCTAGCGGACCCTGCGTTGGCTGATCAAGTTGATCCAAATACTTATAAATTTAGGTTGTTCATTGAGATGGAGACAGGTGATGAGAGATATAGTTCAAGGGTCAATTGTGGAATGTGGGTGGGTAGTGGAATGAGAAAGGGGGCGGAGGTTATTTATGAGTACGTGGTTGTTATAAAAACCTGGACTTCAGTGCCGACTAACAATGTTGATTTAGTGCATATCGAGTATCATAAGACCAAATCTGTAACCACTCTAAATAAGAAGAGGAAGTAGCGATGGTGAAAATGTCGGCCCGGGAGTTCTACTTCTTCCATTGACTTCGAGCAAATCATGATGAGGCATGCACGCTAGTTTTAATGCTGTTATTCTGTCCATCTTAGTATTCTAGCTGAAATAGTTGTCGATTCTGCTTGTGTACCTGCAATATGAGACTGGTTTCCCGGTCATAATAGAAGGCTATGAATGAGATGACAAAAAATCATGCGCCCTGGAGAGTAGTTCATTTTAATTTCTTCCTTGTGATATTCACTAATGATCGATTTTCAAAGAGAAGTCTACATGAGGTACACCTTGATGTATCGAACTCGTGGAGATGATATCTATATCTGTATATATGAATTAGAAATGATCGAGAGACGGGGGACGTATTGAACCTACCATTATTGATATAAGTTTCCACATTCTCAGATGTAAGCCCTCCACTACACTCCAGTAAGAACTCCCTCTTCCCAGCCCATCTTTGCCTTAAGCTCTTCGCAGCAACCTTCAATCCATCTCCTGAAAAATTATCCAACATGATGATATCAGCACCAGCTTCAATAGCTTCATCAGCACCCTCTTCGCTATCAACCTCCACTTCAATCTTTAATGCGAACCCACCAGCTGCCTTCGCAGCCTTGACCGCATCAGTAATACTACCCCTCGCCCAAATGTGATTATCCTTTAACATAGTCATACTAGACAAATCATGTCTATGCCCGTCTACGCCTCCAACAATCATTCCGTATTTCTCCACCAACCTAAAGCCTGGTGTAGTCTTCCTTGTTCCAGCAAGAATTCCCTTGTACCCCGCCTTCCTAACCAAAACCTCCATATCCCTCGATTTCGTCGCAATACCAGAACAACGACTCAGTGTATTAAGTGCAACTCTCTCTCCTAGCAAAAGTTTTCGTACTGGTCCCGTAACAGTAGCTACGGCTACTTTTCCGGATGCGCCAGGATCGACTAATGTTCCTTCCTTCATATGCCATTTTACAGAACATCCAGCTTGTGCGAATACCTCGTCGAAAAATGGCACACCTGCTAGTATTCCTCGCGATTTTCCATATAGAGTTGCAGTTCGTTCGCTATCACCAACGACGAATCCGCCGTAATCGAAGGAGGGGGTATCTTCTGCAAACCAGGCTGTGATTTGAGATTTCCAATGGACAGGAAGGAGATCTGCGGGGTTTCCATGTTCGAGAGCCATTATTTTCGATGGTTTAAAGGACTATTCAAGATATTTGGGGAGGAAATCGTATAAATTGAGGTGAATAAGTTTCCTTGCTCAAGACGCTGTGGTCATAGACTGAATGTTTAAATGTTCGGAGGGGTCGGTCGATATCCGAGGGAGGCTTTGGAACTAGGGGACGCTTGGGCCTAGCTTGACCATGCCCCTCCGCAAAGATACTAGGTAGATCTTGATTCCAGAACGATATCGCTTTAGTTCATTTCCATCTTGTAAAAGATTTCCTACCATATTTTCTATCATTCTCATCTCTTGATATATTTTCTGTTTATATTGTAATTATTTATATAGACCAATAATGTCAATTGCAGCACTTTATTGTATGCTCCATGTCAAGCTCAAGTGCCTAGGTAAGGCCGAAGAGATTCCCGTAGATGTGTGTAGGCAACACTCAGCACTAAATGACATTCTTCGGGGTCCGAAGATCTATAAGACATGAGCGCTGCACTATCTACTCGATATTTCGTTTACTTCCGAGCTGGCAACTGTATTTAAATCAACTCTTGGTCGAGTGATGATCACGTCGAAAAGACACAAAGAATCAACATAAAAAAGAGACCCCCTTCTCTCTAGATCCTTTATATCCTATCTTCTCGTTGATTTCAGTGGATTGATTGGATCCAAATATGGGCTATAGCGAGAACGTTTGTCAAATCTGTGCTGTATCATTCAATCACGCAAGGTGCCGCACAAAATATGAACCACCAGAGGCTGCTTGGGGTCATTCGACTAGTTTGTATTATGCCAGAGAAGCGAGAGCCTGCTATGATTTATCAGAAGAAAGTGGCTGCGAGAAAATTTCCAGAAATGGTCCATTGACTGAGCACATTGCTGGTCCAAATTGTGTTTTCGATGGGGGCTACAGCGGATATCGTATTTCAGTGGCGCAAATGAAGGTGGGCGTTGATTTCTCCGACAATCTCCCAATACTCACGATTGTAGGATATGAGGCTATCTCGTTACATCATTAAGAAACCAGAAGACGTTTCTGAAGAGGAAGATGCACCAGATTATGAAAAGTGCAGTGATTACTTTATTACAGATCAGTCAATCACCACCCAAGATCATTGGCAGCCGGGGGACTTGCCCCGTTACCGTTACGGTATCAATTCGTTCTTGGCTATGAATAATGAAGTTGTAGATAAACATGGATTTCCTCGTGCTGTCCCAGTTCACGATTCATGCTGGAAAATCTTCGAACGTGTTTCAAAACTTCGACTGGGGAGGGTTGACCTTCAAGGATTCATGGCCCTTTGGCATGTAAGTGGCATCGACTAGAGTACTTGACAATGTTGACCTGTTATTCTCTAGAGGTCTGCATGCTCACATTGTGGTTTCCAAAATATCAAACAGGACTCCCTAATAAAAGAGTGTAAACAGCAGTGGTGGAATCATATTCCTGGCTCAGAAGTGCGATTTCAATCCCAAAAATATCAAGATAATTATTAACATTTTGCTAGTATCTTGTAGCCAATCCTCACGATATTCCGGGATTTCCCCTCATAATATTAGAGGCATATCGACACCAGAATCCTTACGATAAGAATAAGGGGGCTGTCTGGCGCAAGAAACAATTCAATGGAGATTTGTTGCAGCCATATGTGAACTCAACAGATCATTTCAACAAGCTTCCGATCAAACTCAAGCAAAAATTATTATACGAACTTGGATCTAATGATATAGCAAACCTCCGCTTAGTAAGTCGGGCATTTCGTCAACTTCCCCAGCAGCTGTTCAGGCATCTCCTTGTGAAGGAGCTTCCATGGTTCTGGGAGATCGATCATATTCAGCAACGCAAAATGGAACAAGTTCGAAAAATGCTCCTCGATCGATATGGGGAAGATCTCTCAGGACTGAGCGACAGAGACGACTCTGAGCATGTGCAATTCATTAAAGATTGCGTCGCTATGAAACCACCAAATTTTGATTGGAAGCGAGTTTATGATCGGGTCAAACTTTTGCAGAAAGGGAACTTGGGAGTGAGGAACAGGGTGAGGGTCTGGGGGTTAGCGGAGAGAATAGCGGAACGCATTGGTCATTTGAGAGGTATGGAAAGTATCGAGAAAAGATACGATTCAAGGGACGATGAGCATAATTTGCAGGTCATACCCACAGAGGAAGAAGTTGCTAGTGGCGCTGTCAATCATGGATACGAATGTAGTGAATGTAGTTATTACCAAATTGAGAGAATGGAGAATATCGAGCGAATGCTAGATGCATAAGATTATCTCTACTTCAAAGATTGCTTTATATCCAACCTTAACTCAGCTTTTCGAGTCATTTTAATTGTCTCATTAAAATCTGAGAATTGTTTCCATCTTATCGCTAGAATACGGCCAGTCTATTGCAAACTCTCGAAGAACCTTTGGTACTACCCCAGCTCAAGGTTCTTGCATTTTTCCTCTGGGGCATTGATCAAAAGTTTGTTCCACTACTTTTCCCCTCCTTTTCTCTGATGGGGACGTAAGCGCTAGCAACAAGCTTTTGGGTCGCCAATCTGCCAACGCAATCCTGCGGCAATGGAGGTCAGAGCTTGAGACTGGTATATGTCTTCCTTTATATGCAAGATCGAACAGAACTATTATCAACATGATGGTAAACAAGCGCGGACAATTTCAACAATCCCCAAGGCTGCGGAAATACACTCAAATCATCGAATACCTAGGTACTCACCATTGGCCAGTAATCTGACAGTTGGAAGCACTGCCGACGAGCCCAGCGGCTATTGATGGTTGGTAGCCACCACGCTTTCATTTAAGATCTCAAGAAACCTATGTGTCTCTCGGCTTCAATGGTGGATTCTCCTTGTTGAATGCTTATTTTCCATCGTACCAATCAATTTGCAGTCATTGTGGCTCTGTAATTATATTACCAGATTACTTCCCCGTCCCCATTCAACTCAATATATGTGAATATCGTTCCAAAATACTAATGTTCACCATGACATCACAATCTGATTCGAAACAACCGATACGTCTTCACTCACCTGCATCGATGGCAGTGCCACAGCTTCCGTCTCCTATCCACACTGAACAGCCAGTCCGTCTACACCCCTTATCTCATAATGTCTGGGTATCACTGACTTTTTCATTCCTAGAAACTAATCAAGGAGATGACTCTGTCACCAGAATCCGATTCTTCAGTAAACTTAAGAGGAGGTGGACGTCGTTATCGACATCATCATTCTCATACAGGAAGGGAGTAAGTTCTCGCCATTTTCCACTATTGGTAAACAAGAGAACATCTCATACTAAAGTTTTGCGAAAATAGCACTGCAATTGTGGGTGGTTTATGCTGCTGTGAATGTTGTGAATGCTGTTGCTGCATATGACAGGAAGGATGAAAGGGGTAGTAAGGTTATAAGGATTTTGGAATAAATTGCACTTCTCAAGTTACATGATGGGATCCTGGTGATGGATAGATATTTTTAATTAGCTGGCTAAGCCTTAATATTCCACTTGGAAGACCGAATGCTGAAATTGGGCAAGATACCGGCGTGGTTTAGAGTGAGTTTTGGATGTCAAAGGCCGGGTGCCTCCACACGCTTGGAAGGATGAAGATAACAGTAGTCGAGAATCTTTCCATAATTTAGCTATTGAAGTAATAAGAAAGTTTCAATCGCTTGAAATAATATGAATTACGAAATGATTGTTGTTCAAAGTAGGTACATTGCAGCTCTCAGGAGGAAATATCAGATTCGAATTCACGTGATTTTAGAAAAAATTATATTCCCACCACGCATCAAGGAGGAACAACATTCGACGACAAATGGATTTGACGCAAAGTAGTAAATACTGCTCTAAAGGCTTAGCGTAACATACTCTCGTGAGGGAATTAAGTATGTACGCTTCCAGAATAATATCTTTGGAGCGACTTCAATCAACTTGGATTTAGGATTTGAGAGGCTTTCCCGCTAGCGGTAGAAGTGAAGTTGAGTTTGAACAAAGCAATGTGTATCAATACCTATGGCATCTGGATACCTTTATTGGAAGCTGAAGCTTGATTGCGTTACTACAGAGCTAATTATCGCATACTAGCCAACAATTTGGAATCAGAGATCGCGGTCGACAAAAGGTGGGGACTGGACCAACATATCACGTGGATTAGCTGTCACTTGGTTAAGTAACCACCATATCACGATTGAATTGTTGTTCGCTCAACATAGGTATATTCATTTTCTAGTCAAAGCCAGGGTATCTATGGCTTGGAGCGGTTTGGGCGTGAAAAATCATTCATTTAATTAAGGTCACGTGGTTTATGTGGGATGACTCCTTTCATCCATCTAGTTCATGGAGAAGTGGATCATCATCAAGGCAGAGGAAGGTGGATAGTGAATGATTTGTAATTGAATATATGATATTCTAATATCCTTTGCACTCATTAGATCATTCCCAGACCTCAGGATTTGCTGCACTCGCTGCGTGGTTGTGTCAATGCCTCTTCAGGAATCGCTTCACTTAGACCCATAGGATCATCAGAGCACCAATGAGCTCACCTTGTTATGCTTAAGTTTGTTCCAGATCATTGAAAGTGCTATGATGAAGCTGATGAGGCTGCTTTGTTATCTCACGATGTATGACGAATGTTCACATTGCAGACAAGTCAAGGCAGAATTGATGTGGAAGAATTTTTATAATTTTTATGGTGTACTATTGCAGAGAATCTGATGTCATTCTCTGCAATTTACAGTCCATTTACTGTACTGAAAGCTAACTAATGAAAGGTAAGAAACGGCATTCCTGCCATGTGCTTGTAATCCGGCAAACCATCAACTACCTGTATACCAAGACGTGTCTTGGTGAAGAATCTTCCTCTAGACTTGTTGCCAAGCATTCTTGGTCGAGGCCAGTTCCCAAAATTCAAGAGCCGTCAAGGATACTTTCTGCCATTACTACACCATATCTCTACAAATCAAATCCCAAAGACTTCCGAGCTAGCATTGACCCGAACCATCGATGATTGATTGACTTCCACAACAACAGGATCTACTTTGGTTGTGTTTGAGTCAACTTTTGTTGTGCCGACTTTGGTTCAGCCAACTTTGGTTGCTCCAGAAACTCCGTCTTGTAGACACCTGACAATCTACGGCCGAACTCGGAATAATCAGTGACTTTTACATAGTCACCTTCGAATCCGCGGATTTCGTAGGTCAGCTTCCAGTTCTTGCGCGACAAGCCCCACAAGCCTGCAGCTAACTTCATTTGAGGAAAGTTGTAGGTATCAAGGTACATGTTGACATCAAGATGGGCCCATCTGAACTTGTTGATGATGGCATAGAGGGTCTTCATCTTTTCGAGTCGATTGGCGACCTTTTCACGAACCTCAAAGTGAGGAGTAGGTGTGTGGATTTCGATTGCCATCTTTGTGACATGAGCCTCGTACTGAGGCAAGACTTCAACGAGCTTAGTCATACCTGTGTCTTTAACGATTCGGATGCCGATCTCCTTGTCACCGAGGATCGTAATTGCCGGGTGAGTGGGCAATGTATTCATGTCGAAAGGCATAACTGCAAGAGCCTTCGCAGCATCGGATGCGATCTTTTGTTTGTTGGCAATCTCTGCGAAAAAGGCAGCAGATGGTCGGGCTTGGGTCGCATTACCTCGAGCGTTTTTGTTTCCCATGATGATGATGAGAAGAAGTATTGGTATGGTAAGGAGTTTGATATAGTTTGAGGTAAGACGATCGAAGTGTTGTTGAAGTCGAAGAAGTCAAGTGATGATTAATCAGAAGATGATGTTGTGAGTAGGAAGGAGTTTTTTGGGAGAGAACTTCAGTTCCTTAAGAATTGAAATTCTTCCTGTACGATCAGCCGCTAGCGTCTAGTGGTGACGGGTAACTGTATTGTAGCACCTTAAGCGAGGCAAAGAAACGCGATTGATTATCATTATGTGATAGGAAGTACAGTTAGATTAACAAGTATTAGGTAAAGTTGTTTGGACTCGGCTCTAGTTATATTCACTGTGATTAACAGAATCTATGTACATGATCAGTGGTGACAATATTGTTATTTCTCTTTAGTCATTCAATGGTATCTATACTTTTCGATTGTATCTTTTGCGAACACAAATGGATCAGCTATGTATAATCTTTTATGTACAAATCATGTGATCTCATCACCAAAGATTTATCTTACCTGTCTTGCATGGATGATATATATGGTTGGTGGTATGCCTGTTTGTGATCATAAAATTGTATTTTTGTACTCTAGTGATCTATGATCATGCTTCTTACCGCATAGGGTTGATAGCAATTGCCTGCAAACTTGGTGATTCTCTCGCTTCCTGAAAGGTAGCTTGTTAGACGTATAACTTTCGGTTTAGTATGGTTCATTCATCGCCTTGAAGAATTTAGACACAACAAACCAAAAAAAACCAATCTCTATAATTCTATAAATATGCTGAGGCTGGCAATAAGAAAGACGGGACGAAGGAGACTGAGAATCGCATCAGAATATTGAATGGAATTTGTGTTTTCATTAGATGAAATGTTGTTCCAGTTAATCTTGTCGTTACTGCTTCTGAATCTGTCTTGGGTAAGAAAATCCGTACTGCGTCCCATCATAGGATGCACAAATGATAGTAGAAATGAGCACATCGTATGACAATGGGTTTGCATTCAAGCTTCAAGTTATACTGATGGTTTTACAAACACGAGCATTTTCAGATTCAAATTTTATTGGCAGACAGAGAGATATGGCTTTGTGGCAAGAGGATTGTATGATGTCTGTCAGTTTGCTACAAGATGCTATTACCTATTGAGCGGCCCTGATCAGTGTCAAAGGGCAACCCAGAAGGCCCTAAATCTGTGACAAATAAAGTAGCAAAGAGCTACCGTCAAAAGCACAATGCTTTCATCCCGAAACATTGATAATCGATCCACCCCCAACCTGAAAGATACGCCCACAAGAACTGCCCCCGCCCCATTTAAGGCCTGGTAACACCCACCTGTAATCTAAACCTGGGTCAGGAACTCCTTCTTCCAGACGCCACGAAGTCTCAAATCATACTCGCTACCGCGGAAGATTTGGATTGGGTCCTTCTCAATATCATTAACCTCATCGAAAACTTGGTAAAACAACTGCCACTTTTCTGTGTACGGATTAGTATATATCTGTAAACAGGAGCCTGTTGGAACTTACTGAATCGCAATCCGTGGATCGCAGCGCCCAACTTCATCTGGGGAAAGTTGACCTTATCAACGGACATAGTCACTTTGAGCTTATACAAATTGAAGCCATCGATAATGGCGAATAGCTTCTTCATAGAGCTAACGCGGATGTTGTAGGTCTCCTTGGACTCACTATGAGGCCATGGAGCATGAATCTTGATGGACAATTTCTTGATTGTCTTATAGTCCGCCAAGGCGGTGCGAAGAGCCACCATATCAGTGGGTGCAGTATCCATGTTTTTACACATCTCAATGTAGATTGTGATTTCCTTGTCGCCAAGGATTGCAATTGCCGGATGCTCGGTCAATTCATTGAGATCGACGATCGGCTGAGGCTTGTGTTTAGCCGCAGCGACGAGAAAAGGATTGGTAGTCTTATCCTTCTTGAAAAAGGCTGCGGCTGATGGGCGCATGACGAGAGCTGCGTTGTTGACAATCTTGTCCTTGTTGAGAGAAGATGTAGCTGGAGGCTGCATGGCTGGAATTACATTACCAGCGACCTTCTTCTTCTCGAAAAAAGCAGTAGTAAAGGGGCGCATGGCCAGAAATGTGTTATCGATGGGGTTCTTGCTTCCCATTTTGAATTATGACGAGTTGAGTAGTTGATAAGTTTGATAAAGTTGAAGAAGAACGAATTTAAAGACTGTTGAAGAAGTCTTAAATGAAGAACCTTTAACTTTTGTTAAACTTTAGGGATTGTCAGTCAGACGAAGATGTTGTGAGGAGATGTAGTAAGGAGAGATGTCGTAAGAAGGAATCGTTTCTCCAGAACAGAAGAACCCTTAAGTAGCCTTTCTTCAGGACATTCGACTGCGACTAGTGTCTAGTACCATCTGTATATACAGCATTACGGCCAAAACATGATGGTATACAGCAGAGTTCCCTACTATCACTCAAGGGATTGAATATAGTATGATTAATCGTCAGTTCGCTTAATTGAAAATTGTTTATACAGTACGGCATATTTCAAGTGAATTTTACTGGATCAGCCTATAAGCGCGTCGATATCAACTCAATTCTGCAGTTCATCACTCTTGAAATTGTATAATTCGGAGACGAAGATCAAAAAAGCCATCTTGTGGCTTGAAAAGATTAATTAGTAAGCATTGAAGACTTGGAGGCTGAATCTTCGAGGGTCGTATCTTATGGAACGTTCAAATTGAAAAGGTAATTTGGGTTCATTTTATGGAATTCATAATTATAGCTAATAAGATGCATCACGTTGGTACTCAGACTTGAAAATGTCATATATCGAAAAATGGAAAAAAGGAATATATTGAAGGGTGATTTTGAAAGCAAGTATTCGATGTCTGAAGTCAAGCTAGCGATTTAATTCAACAATATTCAAGAGCTCACGTGAAAGAACTAAAATTACCCAAGTATAACTATGCTTGTCGACCAGTCCTCACGGCAGTGAACCGCTTGATGTTCTGGAAACTGTTTAGCATAGATATGATACTTTGAATAGCCTCTCTGCGTTGATAACCCTCGGCAGTGTCTATATCTGAAAGCTCGTCGTGGAATCTAATATGAATAAATCGTGTGAAGGTACCATACTCTGGGAGGACTTTCATCAGAGTTGGAACGTGTGTAGACTCCTGACCATTCTCGGGATGGAAATTGACATTAACAATCAACATTTGGCCAAAGAGCTTGATTGCTGAATGTGGATGGAGTGTTGCTCGAACCTTGTTAGTCTGACCTCTGCTGATCTGCTTTCCCCTATTCTGGCTGATCTGGTTGCTAACATTCAGCTGAGACTCTGGTGTTGTCTGAAGTGGGTCTATAGGCTCGATGTTTGCTCTAGTAGAGCCTATCTGGAAAGACCAACCCATGTTGAACATTGACCAATCCTTGTGGGAAGACATAATGTAGAATTGAATAGGAATTGCTTACTAAACTAATAGTTGGTGATATTTGATACTGCGGAGTAGTGCTGTTTGATGATCAGAAAATTCATGGTAATCATGAAGGTATTTGTACCATGAGTTCCCCTGGACAATACAATTGTTCAAAAGTATTACTACCTTGTTGCTCTTGGTCCTTGTTGATCGCTTAAAGGATTATCTCTTGTTCAGACTATGCCTACTACATCTTTTATGCCATCCCTTACTCTCCCCTTTGTTTTCGTGGAGCATTCTTTGTGTGCCTACAAGTCTTTGTTAGGAACGCAGCAGGTAAACTTGTCCATGGAAGTATTGCCGCATCTACTGGAAAGGGTGTCTAGCGTATCCTTGAACCGATACTATTTAGGTTTCTCTCGGAGAGAGTCTCTAAGGACTCCTTATTAGCTTGGAGGATTGGGTGATTGAAGAGCTGCGTACAAAATATCGAAGTTTACCGTCAAATAATTCATTACTTAGTAACCATAATTATCACAGATACACCATTATCTAGGAATGAAGAGATGTGGTAGATGTGCTAATACAATGTTACATGATATATGCTAAGTATAAATAAAATTGCGCCAAAGAAGACTTGGCATATTCCTAATCTTTGTGATAAATTGTTGAGACGCATCCTAAATTCGTAGGAAGTTATCATTTTACCCCGCAGCCTCGCCAATCATAGGAATACAAAGTCAATTTCCAAAAGGACGTAAGCAGAGGCAAATGACATCTCGCTTCTAGCTTGATGGCAACCCCTCCACTTCCCTTTCTCCCCAAATACTCAGATTTCCTCAACGAGATACCCTCTCATCATAACCATCTATACCTTACAATCTCTATGGTAGACACCACGAAGACGTCTCATGAGGTAGCCCTTCGTGTCGATTCCGAAAAGAACAGGTCTGTCTTCAACGTAATAGCTCAAGCTCCAGTGCGCCTTGAAAGCTAAGAAGCAAGCTGCTAATTTAATTTGCTGGAAGTTTGAAAAGTCTATCTCGAGCCGAACATTGATATGGCTCAGAGTGGTGAACGAGTTGTTGATTTTGTCGACTAAAGCCATCATCTCAGAAACATGCTGCGCGTAGATGCTTGGACTTTCCCAGCGTCGAATAATTCGTGGATGAATAAGAAGATCAATTTTAGCCGCCCATGGACCATATCCAACTACACGGTCAATCAAGGTAGCCATATAAGTAGCAGTCTCTTCCTGTGTGTTGTCTTCGTTGTATGCAATGGTTATTTGCAAGGATTGTGTACCTTCTAACCAATAGAGTGAATCGTGTTCTTCAATGAATGAAGGTGGCTTGGGAAGGATTGGAGGAAGATCAACTTTCCTAGCTTGGGTATTCTTGTTTGCCATGACTTCCGAGAGAATTTTTAGCTTTATGAGACTAGGTGATATCTATTTTACGAGGGGATCTGACTTGCCAGTAGGATCACTTGAATCAAATACCGATCTCCGTGAATGTTTTCGAGATTCGAGACGAGGTCAAGAATTTATCAGATGTGGAAGATAGAAAATCGGAGATAAAAGATGTATTTTTGTTGGAGGAAGTACAGAATGGAAGATTTAGGGCAGATCAGGTAGAATGAACAGATTAGGAGAAAGTGAGGTTCACAAGCAGAGAAGGAGAACTTTTATAGTCACCATAAAAGATTAAATTAAATCAGTAAAGATAGATATAGAGTCTGTTGAATTACAGTAACGTATTACTGCCGTAGCCGTTGAGCTATTTGTTGTCAAGCCACAGGATTTCCATTATTACCTACCATATTGAGAGAAAAAAACTAATTACAAACGAACCAACCGGCAAAAACATTGCGGAAACTCCTAGGAAATTTAAATAAATTCCTTAGAAGTATTTAGATCCAATCAAGTAATTATCCTCCCGCAGACGATAGCTTCAACCAATGGAATGATTGATCGTACAGGTCCTAGAAAGACATTCAGGATCGGTTATAAAGAAGCATACAAATATGAAACAAGATCATCAATCTACTAAAGTCTTGATGTTGCTAATGAATTGTAGGCATGAGATGGAACGAAATCTTGCACCACATAACCAATGTACCTCTGGAAAGTATCTTATACTTTAAACAGACCAAAGCTTTGTAGTACCCAGCCACCTTCAGTACCAATGGTTCTCAAGGTGAGTATGCAACTAGAAATACAAATTCTGAATTCAACAGTTCGGCAACAGCATAGACTACTCAAATGCGCTTTGTCACTCCTCAGAAAAGGACATCTCCATATTAGCGGCGTTGTTCTCCACGTTTGTTTCGAGAACAAGTAGTTCTGACTAGCCTATTCTACCATTTACAAAACACACAACTCCTGAAAAAAACCTGAACAACTTCCCAACAATCACCCCAGAATAAGTATATATACTCCCTGAATGTATTGATTGTTTTTTATTCTTCAGCTGCTCTCACTCACACTCACACACACACACACACCGCACAAACAAAACAAAAAGCAGAACTCCAGCTTCCAACACACAACTCACCATCATGTCTACTTCATACACCAATACCAAGTATACGTGCGGCCATGTTGTAGAGAAAGAAGCACCAATTCGACAATCAAGCGAGAAGCCTTCGCAAGAGCCCAAGGAGTCATTGACACGCGCTTTGACTGGGAAATTCAAGAAAGGTTTGAAGCGTGTTCTCACCTCAGGAGCTTCCAAGCCCACCATGCGCTATTCTAGATTGAGGTGCCCAGCCTGTGCCCGCGAGGTCACCGCTACCTTCAAATCTGACAAATACGTAGGATGGGTCGACGAAAACCCAGCTCCAAGCCGAGACAGCTCCCAGCCCGAAGAACGCAACCTCGAAGTTCGCCACAGCGATGAGATCCTCAGGGAAGAAATCCACTCGCAAGAGCAGCTCGCACCTTTGGAGACCACCAGCGACTGGCGCCGTGAACATGCTCGTCTTCTCCTCAGGGCTGTCGGCCGAGAAGCCCAGCGTCGCGAAGCTACTCAGCAGGTTCAAGATCGAAAGGACACACTCGATTCCCTCGAAGGACGTCGTCCCAGCATCCAGCGTCGTCCCACTCTGCCCATTGGTGGAGTTTGGGACTCCAAGGAGGAGGAGTCGCGACCCCAGTTCGACGAGCTCGACCTCTTCGGCTACATTTCTTCAGACCCCGACAGCGAGTGATTTCCGAGGTCGAAGACACGAGGTGGGTGTGTAAGGAGTTTCACTGACAATGACAGGATAATCCAAGTCTTTTAAAATGGAGACATTCTGAAAGCTTGGGATCACTCAACTCTGTCGAACACAGATTAGCAGAAGATGTTCTGTTCAACACAGATCATCAGACTGCTATGCCCAACAAAATCGATAAATGCAGATTCATCAAACATACAACACGAACAATTCGAAGTGACTAACAACAAGTGAGTAAACAACCAATCCTTCCCCGTGAACACAGAATACTTGAAAGCTAACCAATCATTAGCAGATCTTCTGAGAAAAATACTGTTGAAACAATATTATTGAATCAAAGTTAACCCATCTAGCACCCAGAAAGAGTATTGTCAGATTATTATCTACAACCATGTTTCGATAACATTCTTACCTCCCACTGAAAAGAAGAAAGATCCTTAGACTGCCGTCATTGAGGTGTTTCTATGTTGTTCTAGATCCCAATCTTTATCTATGATACTCTCAAACAAAAAAGTATGTATTTTATTGTCCATTTATACAAAGGAGTCCTTCATCAACACAAAGAGACAACTAAGTACGTATCTGCATAAAGAAATCTGGGAACTAACAAATCAAAGAAACTAACTACCACCACATGGACCTACAAGATAGACTTGGCATTGAATCGAGGATAAATATATAGTGATCAACACCTTCGATCAAGTTTGAGCTGCAAATTCTAATGGAAACTTCTAACCAGTAAGAATAGAATGTAGTCTATTTACGCGTTTGTTGGCTGCACATATAAAGTTCCGAGTTAAAAATTTTTACAGAAGCCAAGAGGAAGCATAATTAGCTTGGCAGAAATACGTCGAATGCTGAATTAACGGGGTCCAGATGTCAGTTGTGATTCTACTGACCAAACTGCTCTCAGGGCTCTAGATAAGATGTTGGATTCTCACAATTAATACCGAAAAGACACTATCGAGAAGTTTTCCCTATCAACAAAAAATCACTGATTATAATTTCTGCTCATGAATGCCACGAATAGAAGCTTGAACAAGTAAGTTACCTGAAGCAACAGCGACATTTGAGGAAGAGCTTAGCATAAGAAGTGGCACGGAAACGTGAACAGAAAATTAAGTCAAGCATTATGATCAATCATTAAAATTGAAGTAAAAGACTAGAGTTGAAACAACTCGGATTACTCATGGTAGGTGAATTTTCATCAGCCTACTCTCCCCTCTACTTCATGCCTCGCCTACGCAGCACCTAGTACTGGGCCCCCTAGTCACTCGCAAGACCTGCTCCTTATTATCCAACAATCGCCTCACAAAAAGCCACCAACGGCCAATACCCTTACTCTGATACTCTTCCTGTCGTGCACAAGAATCACGACCCAAGCCACTCCTACTACCCACCTAGTTTGAAAAGTCCTCCCTATAAGCACTTTCGATCCTCCTGAAAACCGAATCCCTCTTACTAATCTCTTTAACTTTATTGCTATCACTTCTGTCGATATACGCCAAAGTCCAATTATCGTTATCGAGATTGATGAATCCAGCTGCTAATCTCAACTGCGAAAAGCTGAAGTGATCGATGACGAACTGACAGCGGATCAGTTGAACTTGGGTGAGAGAGATATTTATTTGTTGAACGCAATCTTTTATTTCTTGGACGTGATTGATGTAAGCCCGAGGTGCCCCTTTTCGAGAAACTCCTGGGTAGATGATGAGTTCGAGAATGCCAGTCCACGAAGTGTATGTTGGGCTCTGGAGCTGGCGAAGAATGATAGACATATCTGTTTGTTGATCCCCGGAATAATTTATGGAAAGACTCAAGATTTTGTTGGATTTGGTGTGCCATTCCTTGTTTAAGATTGGGCCAGGGAGTGGGGATGATGGAATGAACCACTCTCGAGTAGCTTCATCAGGGTTGGTATTACCGGCTTGACTTCTCCATCCGGTGTGATAATTCTCATCGCTGTTGCAGAAGTCGCAGGTGCAACCTTCCGGTGCTTCGCATTTGCCGTGGGCATTTTGTTTCAAAGAAGAGACATCGACATTGTTTTGTGTAGACCAGTCTATAGGAAGACGAACGAATCGAGGCATCCTGGTGAGATTATCGTGGAGGCATTGGAGGAAGCTATTCATTTTTTTTTTTACGAAGTGTAGATAATTTCGCGGAAATCTGTTCTATTTTCGGATTTGATAGAAGTGATGAGTGTTCGATTTGTTTGCTGTCAGGAGCTCGAGCCTGGATGTGAGAGTTATATGTTAATACGACGATTTTATCACATCGACAGTGGCGCAAGTTTTTCTTCCATATGGCTAGTTTTAATACTGCTAGAATAGCAGGGTCAGGGCAGAATTCACTTCATACAGCTCTATATTCTACAGGAAGAACAGTACTACTGCCAAACTCCTCCTTTCAATCTCATATCAGCGAGGTATGATAAAGAAGTGAATCCTTGATTAGACAGTATAGCGCAGAGATGAGTTTGATTAGAACTTATTACGGATCGAAAAGTCGAAACCGCATGTATTGCCGCAAAACTCGGTCGCAAAACATGTTAGCAAGATTGGATAATAGGCAGTGAATAGTTTGATCGGTATAAGCATACCACGACAATTCTTTTGGTAATGAATTGTACAGCAGAGAATAAGCAGGAAATAACATTGAAACAGAAATAGCAAAACTTCCGGTAGACTTTACTGTCTACTTACCACATTTTCTTTATCATACTGATATACTTTCGATAATATACGGCTGCTACGCTATTTGAGTTTCTAGATTTGATCCTAAGAAATGTTTGTATGTGTATAATCTACGGCACCTAGCTGATAATGCCAGACGGTACCTCCTACTTCAATAACCAGATCAGAAAGCGTATCAGTGAAAACTCATTACGGTCATTGGAACGGCCGTATTATGAACAGTCTCGTATCTTCATGGAATAAGCTATTGGGTACAAAGCTATTACACTCTCGTTGGATAAAGAGAAACCATCCCCTCCTCCTTGATATTCGACACTTAACGGATCCCTAATCAAAGTTTCGGAAGAAAAGTAGCCAATCCCCACCACGCGCGATTATCCCTTCATCAAAATCCCTTACAATGAACGACGAATATTCACGTTCTCTCATATCCTTGGGCGAAATCCCATACCATTCTCACATAATATTCTGGGGTGGCGTCTTAACCCTATCCATAGATCTTCATCCCACCCCCCTCCAAATCCCCTCCCTCATGAGGAATCTCGCCAATATTCTTCCCGACTACGCGCCTTGGGCTCACCACATCAAAATTTCTATCCTTCCTCCTCCTCCTCCTCGTAAAGATCTCGACTCATGGTCCACAAAGCCTTCTCAGTCCCATATCTCCGATTTCAAAACTATCATCAATATCTTGAACAGATTCGATAAAGTAAAAGAACTTCATATGACTATATTGCTTAAACCCCATGAATCGAGATGCGAGGATTTGCATTTTCTTGGTGGAATGTTTGGATTGGAGAGAATTAAATGGAGTTTGGCATTTGCGGTTGAGGGACATGGGAAGTGGGAGATTGATGATGATTGTTGTTTTATGAGGGAGTTGTTGGAGGTTTATTCGAAGCGGTTTTCGGGGTCAGAAGGGTTGGGGATGATTGTTGAGTAAGAGGTAATGGTGTCAAGGGGGACTTCCAAATTTAAGTATTGAGGAGTGAAAAAGGATGAGGATGCGTTTGTTTGGTTCCGCGATATCTTTCTTTGTGCTATCTATGTTCTTTAGTTCATGAAAGGAGTAGACTAGAAATATACCTACAATCAATCAATACTATGCCTCACAGTTTACTATCTATTTGTAATCTTCACTTTCTTGTGCATATGTAGTGTTATCGCTAAGAGCCTATTCGAATCGATTTTTCAGGCGATATAGAGCTACATTTGTTAGCAATATAAATTTAAATAAGTATTTATCGAAGGCTGTGTAATGTAGTCTATAAAACTTAGTTAATGATATATATTTAAAGAAAAAATGGTTTGCTGAATGCTATATTTAACTATGAAAAACGACAAAATGCAGGTCTATAAAATTTCAAAATTCGTATAATAATCTTATTAAATCTACGGTAATAACCTCATATAGCATCATTTCATGTATTAATACCTCAAATATCAAAAGTGCTAATTGGGATCTAGTATATACTATTTCAGATCATTTTGATTTTCAAAATATTTCTATTCTGGTCTTAATTTGAAAAGTATTAATTTGATTTAAATTCATAAAGATATTAATATTTTGATTTCAGATTCAAAAGTAATATTAATCTAAATACAATACAAAATTTGGATTTTCTACTTAAACTATAACTAATTGTTACAGATATATATATAGTAGTAAGCTGTCAGGATATCGATCCCTGATACTGTGCCTTTTGGACAGATTGCGTGTGTGGCGTAGTGGTAAAGCTTACAACTTCTATGTGTGTAACCATGCACGTGACACTAATCAAATCAGGAAATCAGATTCTAATCTCAAATTAAACCTTAAAGCTTTTATTTTTTGAATAAACTTTACTTTATTTCATATTTCTTATTTTTATTAATATATCTTTTAAATATTCTTCTTTCTTTTTGATTTCAATATAAGAAAAATAAGAAAATATATAAAAAAAAGGAAAAGGAAAATATTTATAAATTTAAAAGATTAAAAGAGAGATTTTAAATTTGTAAATTTGTAGTTTATGATTATTCAATATATTTTATATCATATTATAATCAGAATATAACTTTTGGAATCAGAATGATATATAGTTTTTGAAATCAGAATAATATATGATTTTTAAAATTAAAATATCAAATCAATTTGAAATCAGAATATTATATATTTTTGAAATTAGAATATCAATTTTTTATTCAAATCAAATCGAGATCAGAATAGCAATATTACTAAAAAAAAGTTGAGACTGAAATATCAAAAATGCTAATTGAGGTTATTTTGGTTATATTCCTGATATTTGAGGTATCAATACATGGAATGATGCTATATGGGGTTATTATCATTAAATCTATAGTATAACTTTACTTGGTTTTTATTAATATATCATTACTGTATATCTTGTACATTTCGTAAAGTAGATCTACAAAATCCAGGTTAAACTATTATTAGTCAACAAATCTATCAATCTTATTATTTTGACAAGAAATAAAAACGATCAGAACGAGTTCTAAGTCTACTAGTCAGCGAATTCATTCTCTCCATCTTTTCGAGTCTCTACAAGTTTATACACTTCAAAGGGGATATGTAGAGAGAAGATATATTAACATCAAAGCATACTAATAAGACAGACTGGTTCATATTTCTGTATTTTCGCTTTCCGAACCCATTCACTTTATGAATAAAGGGGGTATAGCCCGAGACACTTATGTTAGATTGTACTTTTCACTTTTTAGTACTCAAGAACGATGAAGATTGATATAACCTGATATCATTATGTAAATAGGTATGTTCATTGAGAGTTGATTCCTAAACTCCACGTTACAAGGTGCATCCATATTTCACTGACACCAAGCCATGAAATACCGCTATGCACAAATGAGTATCCGCTAACTTCCCAGCAGCCAGTATTTCCCTAATAACCAACACCAAAGATCGAGAATCTAATCTCCTAACAATCTCAGCCTTCAAAATCATCTCCCTCCCCGGCAAACCTCTAACCCATCCCATCCTAAGCCCTTTAACCCCTCACAAAACTCCTTTCTCCAAACCCCAGACAATCTTCTCATCGTATCATCATCCTGGTTCACACCAACCGGTTCCTCGCCCTTAACTACATACTGCAAAGTGCGCTGAACATCCTGTCTCAGACCAAACATCGCAGCCGCCAGCTTCATCTGCGGGAAACTGCAACAATCAACCAACATCCTAACTCTAACTTGCCCACACTTCTTAAACTTGTTAACTTCTCCAACGATTGATTTCATATCCGCAATGTGCGAGATATAGACGCTGGGGGGTTCCATGTGGGGGATGCCGGCATGGATGCTGAGTTGGAGAATATTGACATAGGGTGCGTAGTCCGGGAGGATGGAGAGGAGAGATTGCATGAAGGTGGATTTTGCGATCGGGCTGCCGGGTCCGCAGTAGTCGATTGTGAGAGTGAGGATATTGCCTGTGAGGGCGATGTTGGGGTGGGCTGTGATCTCGGAAGGGTGTTTGGGAATGATTTCGCTGGGGGCGGCTTGGGCGCCACGTCTGTTTTTGGATCCCATGATTACTGAGTTGATATGTTTGATTTGATATGTGTATTGGTAAAGAAGTGTTGAGTTTATTTTTCTTTGGTTAAGTATTGAAGACAACTCTGAATATTAGAGATCTTGTAGAGAGTTCTCTATCGCTTGACTTATTGGATGTGATCCGTTATTGAGATTGAGAGTGTAGTCTTGAAGTGAGGAAGATGAAGTAACGAGAGTAGAAGAAGCAGATTATGGCAGTGTTCCAACAACCTTATATACCAAACGAAAGTCTTTCCAATACAACAACTCCCTTAAGCGAGATTACTGTAACTAATAATGTCCCTCAAGTGTAGCCGTACAGGAGCCGTACAGTAGGTATTTACACATATGAATTCACTAAGAATGAGGCCCCCAGCTGCGTAAGACACCTACATACCGTAATTAATCCTTGCATAGATTGAAGTGCATGAACGTTGAAATCAATACTTGTATGTGATGTTCAATATTTGTGGTCCAAGACAATCTTCTAGGCTTCGCTAGCCATCATTGGCGGAGGGCCTCAGGATCTTGAATTTCTCTTCAAGTATTCTGTCCGTAGATCTATTGATATCACGGTCGATAGAAATAGCATATGTCTAGCTTGAGAATCATTAGAAGATATTGAAGGTTAATGACATGAGTTCGAAACTCAATTAGGGAGATTCATCCTACCAATCGTAGGTTTCCAACCAGATGAATCACCTCTCGACTTCACAAAAATCATAATCGACTCTAATCCATATAACCCTCTTGTAAACGAAACATCTCAATGCTTATTACTCTACAGCAAAAGGTTCTGTAAAATGTCAAAGATGTTCTTGGAATTGCTGAAAACCTGTTGTTCAGTTAAACTTATTAGTTGTTCATAAATCCATATACCTCACTGTTGCATTCGAATTTCATCTATTCCACATCTTAAACACACAAATACCCCCCTCCTCCCCCTCAAAACAAATCGCACAAGTTCAACAAGCAAAATCTATCCTCATCTCTAATTCAAACATCCTTCCCGTCCAGCCACAGATCTACAAGTATACAGACCTGGTAAGAACAATTCATTCCATCTCATCCCATCCCACTACACTTCTCGCCTTCAAACATACATCACAAACCTACAAACCCCAAGAACTATAAATTCTTAAATCTCAATTTCACCACCCCCACAGCCTTTACATCCCCATCAAATCCTCCCCTACAAGATATCAAGTACTTCATTACTTCTTCCCATAAAACCCATACCCACACAAAGATAGATCCCTTCCATCCCATCAAATTTTGCAGATCCCGATGCATATAGATAAAAATCGGGAGGCCCTCCAAGTGCAGGTTTCACATTTCGCAATTGAAAATTAAGATTCGAGATTTCAGAGCACACCCAAGCCGGTGAAGAGTCATTGCCGAGATACGACAACCTGGAATTTTATGTCACAGAAGTAATATATATGATATCAGTTATAAAGATAATTTTCCCAAAAATTTATTGCCAAATTCTGAGTCGAGAGTTGACGTTCCCTCTCCATCCCATCCCACCCCACTCCGCTTCCACCCACTTCCCCCTAGCACCAAAAAACCCCCACCAATTCTAATTTCCCTAGCGCTACTCGAAAAATTTGCAGATCCACACAAATGAAAAATTTCCATCCTCTCCCTCGGCTTTGAGATTCGAAAATTGTCTATCCTACCAAAAATTCAAAAATTCAAAGATAGAAGTATATTAGAGGAATCAAATTCTTCCAAAAATGCAAAAAGTTATTGATGAGAGTGGGATTCGAACCCACGCCTATTACTAGACCAGGAGATTGTGATAATCTTGTGTTAAGCTATGAACCTTAACCTGGCGCCTTAGACCAACTCGGCCATCTCACCTATTACTGATTTGACGGAGGTGCAGCCGAAGAGAGCGGATATCAAGGGAGCGACAAGTGGATGTTGGCAGTTCAGAGAGGGGACACTCAAAGGACTCCATTATACTGTGACTACTAGACATACAATTCAATGGAATGTCAAGCCCTACAGAGTAGAGGTATTGCTTTCGTTATCAGAGTTTGGACCTTGCCGTTGTTGTTGTGATGGAGGTAATGTCGTTGTTGAGGTAGTCAAGAGATATGGGGGCTCAGCTCAAGCATTCGCATACATATCTCTCAGGATGTAATACTTCTATGAGAGTCGTGCGGTCATCGAATTATGAAACCGTATTGCTTTGCTTGAGTTGACCTCGATATATGTCACTCACATATTAACCATGAATGGGGGCATTCAGACGTTTGATGCAACTGCTCGGGAGTCTTTTGGGGGAATAGTAGATGTGTTACTAATATGCACTTGTTGCAATCAATTTATAGAGTCCTGTTACTGCTATCGGACGTCCCAATTATGAGGCCAAGCTGACATAACAGCAAATGAAGGGTGACCAAAAGCAAAACAATCACAATTATCACTACCAAGGATGCACCGGACTTCATTTTCATCACCAGAAGGGCTCTTCAAACTTTTGAGAAGATAGTATCATTGATCTAGGAGAAAATTTTCTGGGGAAGTCGATGCTTTGGGGACAACGTACATAACCAAGAATTCCTGAGCAATACAGTTTTCATTTCTTAGTCCAATTCGACCCGACCTGCTACCAATTTACTCCAATCATCATCTACTCCACGCTCAATATTAGGAATAGGACCCATCGGGGTGATGGCCGTTGGATTGATGTCCGTATTACTCTTCGTGTACTAATTGTTGTCAATTTCTGGTCAACTCAAATATACGAGATCCTCACATTTTCCTTAATATGTTTGAAATCCGTGGATTCCTTAAATCCCTTTACTTCCCAATACAAATGTTTCAACCAAGCATTTATCACCGGGTAATCATGACGAATCGTTCCAAGGTTACACTTGAAGTGTTGCACATACACGGCATCGAAGCGACAAATTGTTGGATACAACCTCAAATCCAGTTCTGTCATTTCTGAGCCCAAAACATATGGACCTCCATTATTTTTGATGATTTCCTCCATTCGATTAAGAGCTTTGAATAATGGTACAACATTTTTGTCATAAGTTTCTTGATTCGGGGCAAATCCAGCTTTGTATACTCCGGTATTGATTTCGGTTTGCATCCATTCTCCCATTTCATCGATTTCGGCGGCCAAATTCTCAGGATAGAAATTTAGATTCTTATATTCATCATCCAGTATGCTGTCGAATCCTGTATTGAGATTCCGCAGGATCTCTAAGCTTTCGTTGCAAACGATTTGATTTGTCTTCTTATCCCATAGAACGGGCACGGAGAACCTGCCCTTGTAATCTCTTTGGGACCGGAAGTATACCTGGTGGAGATATTTGGAATGAAAGAGATGATCTTCAGTTGCGCCAGGATAAGAATCAGTTTCGGTTGCAAATTTCCAGCTAGCCCATCCTTTATCGTCACCCTTTGGATAAGGTTTGACGACGGATATAGGGAGAATGGAAGTGAGACCTTTGAGATGTCGAATGAGGTTTGCTCGATGGGCAAATGGACAGAAAAGTCCTGTTTAAGAACCTGTCAGATAGATCCAAACGCAGATGAAGAGGGGTCGAGGAATGATTTACCAATGTATAAATGGTATCGATCCGCTTCGGGAGGGAACTCTCCTCCTACTTCAATTCGGCCATGCCAATTACCATCTTTTGGTAATGATTGCTGTTTTGCAGTTGAAGACATTTTGCAATCAATGAAATGCTGTTTGTTAATAAGATATCAAATGTTTCGCAGAATTGCTATAATACTGAAAATGTGAATTCAGACAGGATTGATTTGCCGTCCTCTCATATATGATAACATGTTGGAGACACATCACCACTGCGGGGTTTCTAGGTGCTCTCATGATCAATGATAATCGTGTGACACTCACAAAGTGCTGGCCGCGCCCTAATTGGTTCATCTTCAAGCTTTATGGAGCGGATTTATGGAGCGGATTTATGGATGGCAATCGGTCACGTGACCTCACACCGGAAAATCGGAAAGTCGGGAGACAGTTACAACTTAAGTCCGTCCGTGGGAAAGATTGAAGGATTTATATACAAAACACATCATGCAAGTAATCAATACTAACTTATAATCATCAAGTAAATTCATAGCCCACTTCGCATTATACTCATCAAATCATCATTCATACCGCCGTCTCCTTTTAATTCGCAAATCTCACCTGCGGCAAATTTGGGTCATCATCACGGGTGCCTAACTTCACACCGCCTCCATATGAAATCACACCCAAGGCCTCAACTCTCCGAACATTTGCAAACATCTGCAAACGCTCCCTGATGAAGATTGAATTCTATCATCAAATCTAGGTGGACCGACGGATGATTTCTTATATTAATGAGCTGTCTAATGCGGCTCCCATACTCATTGGACTGTTCACGATCCCAACTGCATGGCGATTCATTAGGAACTTCAAATCACCAAGAGTGACCAATCATGGAGTTCTCTATGAAGACAAAGATGGGGTGGCTACGGAAGAATCCATGGCAAAGTATTCCACTAAACGTCAATTCGTGATCATCTTCACTTCTCTCACTGTGGGACTTTTGGCTTCGTTTGGATTGGCTGTTTTTGCGACAGTCGTGAAGAATGAGTTTTCGCATTCGGCTTTTACGCATATTTGGCTATTGTTCGTATCTTGGGTAAGCTTAAACTGTCGTAAGATCACATGTCAGGCTTTTGCTAATAGATGTTAGATTTTTGTATTCGTTCAGGTATTGGAAACTTCAAGAGAAACTCATCCTGTATTAAAATTCCAGAAAGGAATATTTAATTCTGTATCATGCGCTTTGGTAGCTGTTCTCACATGTCTCGTGCTATCGGCCCATCCTCCAACTCCTCACCGTGTCCGCCTCGCGTGGTTCATTCTCACAGCCTTACAAGTTATTGCTGCTGTATTCAGCACTGTGGCATTCTTTTTCGTCGAGCGTCGTCCTGATGTTTTTACCCCCGATGGAAAGGTTGTGGAGAGACAATTCAAGAAATCATTATGGAATAGATATGCCTTCGATTGGAGTTCCGAGCTCCTTGATATCGCATCGGAAAAATTGATTGAAATATCAGATCTCCCTGCTATGGATGGGCATGTTCGTTCCAAAGATGTCAGAGAATACTTCAAATCCATAATTCTGAAGCCAACAGTCCCTTTGTGGCTCCAAATATTCTGGGCATATCGTAAACCCATACTTACTCAATGGGGTTTGGTCATGATCTCATCTGTTATTGATGCCGCGCCACAGTTTGCTGTTTTGAAATTACTACAATATCTCGAAGCTCGTCAAGGATTTGATGTGATTGATCCCCAAGCATGGATCTGGGTGTTTGGCCTTTTCGCCGCTACAATTGCTGAAACACTAATGGACAATCGAATCAATTGGCTGATGTGGTCCGATCTTGCAATTCCCATTAGATCAACGCTCACATCCCTTATCTTCGAGAAGATGATGAAGATGAAAGACTGCAAGGAACCTCCAAAGCCGGAGGAGAACGATGAAGCAAAGGATAAAGGGAAAGCTTCACCCAAAATTGACGACGCTTCAAAGCCCAATGGAGACGCTAACTCTAACGGTACTCCAAAGCCGGATGTATCGAATGGCCATGGGCCTCATACGCCAACAGCGAAGAAGGGAAAAGACGCAGACTCAAAGAAAAAGCTCGAAACCGATAAAGATATTGTCAATATGTTTGCCGTGGATGCAAATCAAGTTGGTAACTTTGGCGCTGTCAATCAATTTTACATCTTGTTCTTCTGCAAGTTCGTTGTTTCGGTTGTTTTCCTGTGGCTCTTGGTTGGCTGGGAGTCGATGGCTGCTGGGTAAGTTCTGCTTCCTTTTACATATTGCCTTATCCCTCGTTCTCATACTCTACGTTCTCCGTTTCCAACCTCCCTTCGTAAATTAAGATTCTTGGCTCCCCACAAGTTGCTTCCCTCCGAACTCTATTTCTTATAGACAATTGCTAATTCTTTCACCTCCAACAGTATGCTGGCAATCATAGGTATGGCACCGATCAATCAAGCTCTTGCGAAAAGATATGGAGGCTTTCAAAGAGAGTTGATGAAGGCTCGAGATAAGAAGACTACCATAGTCACCGAGGCACTCAATGGTATTCGACAGATTAAATTTTCAGCCAATGAAACTCAATGGGGCGAGAAGATATTCGAAGCCCGTGAAGAGGAAATCGTCAAACTCTGGAAAACAAAGATCAACAATTTGTACATGATGGTTGGGTCAAATGTTGCCCCCGTGCTTCTAACAGTCTTGGCTCTCGCCACGTACTCTTATATCCACGGAGACTTACTTCCATCGGTTGCATTTACAGCATTGGTATGTTATCTATTCTCTGTTTCTGCAGTTCGCATCCCTCGAATCCTTGACATATCCAAGGGCATGGAATATCTGGTGTTGCCTTGTCGTATTATTGATTGCCTCGCACGAACGTTTGGAATGATTTGGCTAACTCAACAAATAGGGTGTGTTCATGCAACTTGAAGGTGTTCTAGGAATGGTCCCTTTTCTCTTCATGATGGGAGCAAACGCCAAAGTCAGTTGCGATCGAATCGATTCTTTCCTAAAATCTCCAGAGAAGCCAGAGAATACCTATCCCGGAGATTCCATCACTTTCGAGAATGTGTCAGTCAGCTTTCCATCGAAATCTAAGATCTCAGAAGAAGAAGACCGATTTGTACTTAGAGACCTTAATCTTCAGTTCCCCAATAACGCGCTAAGTGTTATCTCAGGCCCTACTGGCTCCGGAAAATCTCTTCTTCTCTCTGCTATATTGGGTGAGGTTGAGGTCCTATCTGGTAATATTACTGTACCCCGACCACCTCAGGCATCTGAGCGACGCGATAGCAAAGCCACAGCTGCAGATTGGGTCTTGCCTTCCGCTATAGCATTTGTTTCCCAAACTCCATGGATAGAAAACGCTAGCATCAAAGACAATATTCTTTTCGGCCTGCCTTTCGACTCTATACGATACCAAAAAGTACTCGATGCATGCGCTCTCACGAAAGATCTCCACATGTTTGATGATGGTGACTTGACTGAAGTCGGTGCCCAAGGTATAAGCTTGAGTGGCGGTCAAAAGTGGCGTTTGACTCTAGCAAGAGCTTTCTACTCTCGCGCCGGAATATTGATACTTGATGATGTTTTCTCGGCACTAGACGCACATGTTGGAAAAGAGATTTACGACAACGCTCTTATGGGCGAGTTATCGATTGGCAGGACAAGAATTTTAGTAACACATCATGTCTCACTTTGTCTTCCACGGGCAAGCTATGCTGTTCAATTATCGAAGAATGGAGGCCTCGAGCATGCAGGTTCAATTGATGAGCTCAGGAAGACTGGTAACTTTGATGACATTATAAAATCAGAGCAAGAGGTCGAAGCAGCTGTTGAGGAGGTGGATGCTTCTGAGGCAAATGTTGACAAGCCATCTGATAAACCAGCCACCAAACCTAAAAAGTTGATTGAAGATGAGAAACGGGAAACAGGAAGTGTCAAGGCAAGCGTGTATACTAAGTATCTCATGGCAACTGGTGGCGTACCATTCTGGGGATTGGTTCTCATTTTCTATCTGGTCGCCGAAGCTCTCGTAATTGGAAGATCTTGGTGGATCAAGATATGGACATCTTCCTATGAACATTCTGAGATGAACCTGTCCAGTTTCAATTCTACTCATCTGCCTTATATCACCAGCATGCAACAACAGCTTTCACCATCAGTATTCGTCTCGAAGATCAACAATCCATTTTCTAAAGACCACACACTAGGCTACTATCTGGTGGGCTATGTCCTCATCTCGACTGTTTCCGTTTTCATTGCCACTGCTAGATATTACTTCATTTATCGGGGATCTCTATCTGCCTCAAGAAACGTTTTCAAAGAAATGACAAATATCGTTCTTCGTACTCCTTTAAGATGGTTGGATACTGTTCCTACAGGACGAATTTTGAATCGTTTCACTGCGGATTTTTCGGCCATGGATTCGCAACTCTCTACAAATTTTGCTCAAACCGCCTCTGCATTCTTGGAGATCGTGGGAATTATGGTATCTGCGTAAGTTGTTTACTCACGAATCAATCACAGTCGCGCTAATATTTCTTTAGGTTTTTTGTCTCGCCATACATAATCATCATCGCATTGGTTCTATTGGGTATTTGCACTTATATTGCACTCCTTTATATTAAAGGTGCACGCTCTCTTAAGCGTCTTGAATCAATCCAAAAGTCACCTATGATTTCACACTTTGGGTCAGCCCTTGCGGGTCTCAGCACCATCCGTGCATTTTCAAACGCACCCGTCTTCGAAGCCAGGATGCATGAGTTGGTAGATTCGTTTTCTGCCGCCACTTGGCACAATTGGCTCTTCAATCGATGGTTCGGACTACGTATGGCATTGGTGGGATCATTCTTCTCATCGTCTGTGGCTGCATTTATTGTCTCCACTCATGGTGTTGATGCTTCATTGGCCGGATTTGCTCTCTCATTTGCATTAAGTTATAGACGAGCCGTTATTCATACCATTAGATTGCTTGCTTCAGCAGAATTAGACATGAACGCTGCCGAGCGTATTTTTGAATACACACAATTAGACATGGAACCTCAGGGCGGAACAGACAGCATTCGCGCCTCGTGGCCAGAAGAAGGTAAATTAGAAGTAACCGACTTAGAGGTTGGGTATGCCGAAGGATTACCAGCAATTTTGAAAGGACTATCTTTCTCCGTGGATAAAAATCAACGAGTTGGAATTGTTGGAAGGACAGGTGCTGGTAAGTCAATTTCTCAGGGTGTGAAGTGCAAATTACTGATTGTGTCTTAGGTAAATCAACACTATCCCTAGCTCTCTTCCGTTTCTTAGAGGCTAGAGCTGGTACCATTATGATTGATGGAATCGATATCTCCACCCTCAAATTACACGACCTCCGAACCAGACTCTCAATTATTCCCCAAGATCCTGTTCTCTTCTCCGGTACTATCCGCTCCAACCTTGACCCCTTCGATGAATTCTCCGACCAACAACTAAAAGAAGCACTCCAACGTGTCCACCTTATCCCCTCCGCTAACAGCAGCCCTGCCCCCGAACTCGAAACCCCCGCTGAATCCTCCACCGCCGCATCAAGCAGTTCTGTAACCGCCACCATCACCGAACCTCTCAACAAAGAAAATACAAATGTATTCCTCAACCTCACATCCCCCATCTCCTCTGCAGGTGCAAACTTGTCCCAAGGTCAAAAGCAACTTCTTTGCCTCGCCCGCGCTATTCTCTCTAGACCAAAAGTTCTTCTTCTAGATGAAGCAACTTCCGCCGTTGATATGTCGACCGATACGCTTATCCAACGTAGTATCCGTGAAGAATTCGCGAATACGACATTGTTGGTTGTAGCACATAGATTGAGCACGGTGGCTGATTTCGATCGTATATTAGTCATGCGAGATGGGGCTGCAGCGGAGTTTGGTAGTCCAAGGGAGTTGCTAGAGATTGAAGACGGAGTCTTCAAGGGAATGGTGGAGCAGAGTGGAGAGAGCAAGGAGTTGGAGAGATCGATTAGAGGACGCATGTAGGAAGATTTGGAGAGGATGTAAAAGGGAAGGAGGGTTGCAGGGAAAAGATAAGAATGAACGTTACATCATTGCGTTAGATAGATCGGCACCTTGGTGAAAATAGATTAATTGCTTTACTAGAAGAAATAAAAGATACATAAATTATTATGTGATAAAATTATGTGATCACATCCGGCATTGGCATAGATGTGAACTAAGATTATCACCCTTACCCTTTCCACTTCGTGTCCATTGAAAGATGGCTTATATAAAAGGTATATACACCATGAAATACTCAGTAACAACGAGCAGTTTTCTCTCGCGCAGTACAGATCACGGAAGTCTCTTGGGCTATTGGAGCCCCCTAGTCCGATTTTTATACCCTAATTCAATTGGTTAGTTATAAAGCATTTTCGAAACAAGATTTCATGTATCTTTGAACTGGTAAGTTTTTTGTGTTGTTTGTTAAAGCTATTCTATTCATTTATTTCTGAAATTTGTGTCTAGATAGCTGTGGATAAGGCAAACCTCGGGATGAATCGATAATAGTTGAGTGTATGAAGTTGTAGTGAGAAGTTGTTGCAACTTGGAAGATCATTTAAAGATCGACTAGAAGTGTTGTTGCGAAGCGGAAGATATTGATTGGGGGATAAAGAAGAAGGTTGTCGAACTTTCTTCGTTGAGAAATCAGGTATTCAGCACTAGCAGCCTTGAATTTGAAATTGAAGCGCGAGTGGATGAGAGTGGAAGGAGTGAAGCGTGAAGTAGGAGAATATGGAAAATGGGAAATAAGAAATCGTCAAACCGAGATGGGAATCTTGTCTATATGCACCAGTTCAAGAGATACAAATCTCATTCACATTCTACTACACACGGCTTATTTGAAGAATCATTTATATATTAGAGACTGCGAGGCAGATATTTGCTGCAACATGGCAATCGAATGTAACCATTTCAAATGAGGGTATCTCTCAATTCTTTTGTCCATTCCATTACCGTGTGTACGTATGTCAAAGCCGAACCCCCTTTTCAAGTAACCAAACGCCCAATCCCAGAGACATCATTCATCATATATCATCAACACATTAATTTGAAACATTAAGCTCCCATATCCCCATTATGCTGCGGTGTAATAGGAAGAATAGTTTTACCACTTTCCCTCCCCTTTCTATCCCCGTACCCATAATCGAACCCCTGATCCGTTTCCAATTCCTTGCTCATAGCAATTTCCTTGGTGAAGATTAAGCTAGTAACAAAAGCCAGTCCAGCTAATGCACACATAACAATCCATACCATTCTCAAACTTTCAACATAAGCTCCAATGACTACTTGCTTCGTTTCTCCCTCTGCGCCGGTGTTTGACCATGCTTTTACAATTTGTACAAATGCGGATGCATCTTTGGACCATTCGTTTGCGTAGACGGCATAGGACGTTTTGAGAATTTTGTTCTGGAATGTGTTTTGAAAGATGACACCAGAGATTGCGACGCCGATTGTTTGGCCAAAAGCTCGAAAGAAAGAGTACATAGCTCCGGCAAAGGGAAGATCGGCGTTGGTGACTGAGGCTTGGGCTGCGAAGCCTTGAGCGGAAAACAGAGTGCCTAATCCAATACCCGGAACGAGGTTGAAGAAGATCCAGGATACTGTCGAAGTAGATTCTTTGAGAAGGATGAGTAGACCGAGTCCTAAAGTAGAGATAGCCCATCCTACCCAGATTGAAGGGCGGTAGCGACCGGTTTTGGCAATAATGAGACCGACCATTACAGCAGCTGGAGCGGTAGTGAAGGTCATTGGGAAGAGACCGATGCCAGATTGGATGGGAGTATAATTTTTGGCGACTTCAAAGTATAAAGGCATGTAAAATAGAATGGACCATACGCAGATTCCATGAACGAATGTGCCGAAGTAAGCGACTATTGCTGTGGGGGAGTTGAACAATGAGCGTCGGATCAACGGGTCACCTTTTTGGAAGATGGAGTAGATGAGAAATGCGATAAGGCCACCAACACCGACTAGTAGTGGTACGAGTGTGCGGACAGAGCTCCACGCGTACATGACACCTCCCTGAATGAATGTTAGTATTTTCAAGATGAATATGACACCAAGCAACTTACCCAAGTAAGAGGAATCAAGAGACTAGTGACAGAAGCCACAAACAAGAATGATCCAAACCAATCAAAAGCCTTAAGCTTAGTCCACATAGAACCTTGCTTAATATTCAACTTCAAACAAATCGGAATACCAATAGCACTGACAACACAAAATGGAATGTTCAGCCAAAAAATCCATCTCCATGTAACCTTTTCTGCAAAAGCACCACCGATGACTGGGGCGATAACGGAACCAATGGCCCATTGAAGAGATGTTATCGACATCCATTTACCGCGCTCACGGAGGGTGACCATATCAGCAAGAAGGACATAAGTCAAACTTACAAGACCGCCTCCTCCAATACCTTGAATACATCTTCCTACCAAGAGAAGCTCAATGTTCTTGGCGACGGAGCAAAGGATTGTGCCAACCGAAAAGAGGAATAGAGCGGTCAGGAGTACTGATTTTCGACCGATGATGTGAGAGAAAGCTGCCCATGTAGGCTGAAAGACTGTAGAGCATAGAAGAAATGATGTACCACACCAGAAAGCTTGCATCGCAGTGGCATGTAAGCTTGTTGCAATGGTCTTCATTCACCAGTATTAGTCTCGCATCATCAATACATGATAAAGAATTAAAAGTATAAACCATCTTACAGGTAAAGCCACGGAAAGAATTGTGGCATCAATAGCACAAACAAGGTTGAGAATTGCCAAACAAGCAAAACTTCCATAGAATCTCCATCCTCTTCTCTTCGAGTCGGGCTCAGTTTGCATATCGGATTTTTCCAAGTCAACACTTTCTGAGTCTGGAGACGAAACTCCTGGCGAGGGACTTAAAGTACTTGTTGATTCTTCATTCTCAATAAGTGATCGTTCTGATGAGGATGTTCGGCCATACTGTGACGTATATTCTTCTGGAGCCGAAATATCAGGGGGCAGATGGGTCTCGGAATTCCTGCTTCCAGGTAATGATGTGTACATGTTTGCTGCGGTTGGATACCAAAAGGTATTAGATCTGTGAATCTCGAAAAGTGCTGGAATTTGACACAATAAAAAAGATTCTGGAATGCGAACGAAGTACAACGAGAACAGATGTAGCCAAATTATCGAACATCTAGATATCCACACCAACTCGTGAAGTATTTAACTTCATCGTTAGTATCTGATCAGATCTAGAATTTCTTCATTATAAGCCACCATGACATTTATCCCAAGATGTGTGGATCCTCAAATAGCTACAGGTACGGGTATCTTCACCCCCACTGCACCACACCATCTTGAGGGATTCTTCTGACGAAGATACAGAGGAACCTCACGGATGCGCATTCCTCGAAAATTGCATCATGTAAGATGCAGGTCAGATTCTATGGCTATCAGTGTGGTTTCTCTACGAGGCTGATGCGAGAGGTCATCAAATCCGGTTAATCCTGTCGGATGCTGAAGCGAGCCCTCATCACTGGATGGATGAGCTGCAAACGCTGCGGCTGCGCCACGCCTCGAATAAGACCCAACGAACACACTTGCGATCATAGGGAGAACCCAAATTACTAGGAGAAAAGATTATTGGCGCGATAAAGGATCCATATCGTGGTAGGATAGTGTCACAAAGATTAGCTTTCGTGGTTAAAACGTGGTGTTGGCAGTCAGAAAGTGAAGATGTTGGACATAACATAGAGGGGCAAAATGAGTTTCAGATACCAACTTTTAATCAGTTGTTTTCGAATTTTGACCATTCGAAACAGCTCGCAAATGTGAGCGATTCGATGGCGATACGATGATCTACCTTGAGTGAGTACCGATTGATGGGATAACGTTGGGTGGCCGAGTACAAACACTTTCGTCCCCCACGTAGTATCGGAATCACATTACCGTGAGAAGTTTGCTTCCCTCCGAGATTTGCGATAACCATAAATCCATATGCCGGAATGCTATTGCGGATTTTCTTTCTTGAAATCTTGGTTACAATATCGATTTACGATAGAATATCCACGGTCGGCATTGATGAGGTTACATTGATGTGCTAAGGATAGATAACCTTATCTTCAGCATATCCACGAGCCCCCATATCCCCCCGCTACTGCACGTAAATCGTTAATCAATACTGATAGGCTTTGCACAGCCCTCAATTTCGAGCCTCATCGTACTGAAAGCCCTATAGGAGTTATTCCTCAATCATTCTTCCGTTGAACCACACAGTATTTATTTTTGGGCACCAATAACGTTGGCTGATGATCTGATTTGGTGTGTCTCAGTGCAGATGGTTATTCTATGTACTTGCATGTATTGATGTACACGTCGTCAGATGATGGGATTCAGCCTTGATTAGATGCTATTGCCATGAAGATTTCAGTATTGGGTAATTCAAAAGAAAGTCATCACCTTCCCGTTAGGATTTCTCGATAGGATTTCTAGTGGATTATTAATCGGATGAATTCTTAGCACTGTGTTATTTTTGAACACCTCCAGCATTTGAGGCAAACCACGAAGTATCGTAGCATTGTGGCACTTTGCTGATTAAATGGAGATACAAGAATAACTTCAAATCATTTTCATATAGAAAGTATAGGCCGATTATCATCTGAAGAATACTTTGGTGGGAATCTTGAGGTTATATTAGTTCCTTATCCGAGCGGTTCATGAAGGATCTAACTTCGATCGTAGCGCCTTCTCAAAGACAGCTTCTGCTCACCTAGCGCTGGTAATTTACATGAAATGCATTGCCGGATTGTTGATCTGGAGATGTCTTGGCGTTATACACAACTACATGGCATTAACTCAAAGCTAGCTACCCCGCAATGCGTACTTCTCATTTTGCAACACTACTAGAGGCCCCAAAATTATTTTGACCCGACGTTCGAGTCAATCTTCTATCCTCCTTACATGACTCCGCAAAACTTGATCATTAAGTGAAGTATTTCAGGGATGTTGTACCATAACGCTGTATCTTGAATTTTCCCATCCCACAATGCACGTGACCTGGAGTGTCCCGAGATAGCTTCAATGCTAAAAGCCGTGAAATATATTGAGAGTCCGATAGTTAGTTTCTAGCAGCAGCGTAAACGCTATTCTAAGACCCAGTAATTATCCCAGATTTGTGACGCATCGAGCGGATGATGTCTCCACGTTCTAAAACACGTGAGTGGCTTGACGGAAGCTAGAGATGACCCCATCTCTAAAGACTAATGAGTGTTCCCAATCGATTAGCGAGTCCATAATTCTTTGGATTCGTTTCTACGTAGTAGCAAGGTCGTGATGTATCTCATTTTAGCCATTTCACGGGGTAACTGGTCGAAGTCAGATGATCAAATTCGGCAGTACGTTCTAGGCCTTGAGCTTGATTTGTCATTTGTATATTAGACAATGATTGACCAAAGTATATTGAGTAGTGTCTAGTGATGAGTCGAATTCCCCCTTTAGTAGAAACATGCGAGGATTTTCAATCACGGAAACGGTAATTGTGGACAAATCAATTACTTTAGCTGGTTCACAAGTGAACATAATGTGATATTCGATCTTATAAAATGGGACATAAACTATATACTTCGTAGGTGGCAGATTACTTCGTAAACGACATCCGAGATTAGTAGAGATATTCTTCCATATGACGCCTCCTTCAATCATTGAACTCCAACTTCAATCGCAATGACGTGCCATCACTTCATTGAAGCGATTAAAAACATCTCCCAGGTTCAATTTCCAACGTAAAAAAGATAACAGGAACTTTCAGATATGCGAGCCTTTTCGCAAGGCACGTCTCTTATCATCCTCATTATTCCCCCCCTCAATGCTCTGAAATCTATTAGGGTAAGCTCTAAAGAGAAGCAACAGTCCCAAGTCTAGAGCATCTTGCCATGAAATTCTTGTTGCTCTGTGTTCTTATCTATAACTGCACACATGATCCGTTACATATAGTGAATCATACAGCACCGAGCAGAATTTCGCCTTTCGGCTTGGCCTGCAAGTTTGCAGGAGCATTCTTTTCTTCTGTCTTTGTATCTTTGGCCTTGACTTCAGGTGCTGGTTGGATTTGAGGTTGGTTCGGAAGAGCCGGGTCGGCCTTAGCAGCGGGTAAGTCTTTGATCTCGAGTTTCTGGGCCGGAGGTGGAGGTGGAGGTGGAGCGTTTGGATTGTCAGGTAGCGAGCCATCCAAATTCCTCATGATGGAACCGTCCAAATTCCTCACAGGCGAACCGTCCGGATGAAATCCAGGCTGTGGCATTGGAATTGCGGCTTGAGGTATTGGATTCAAGTTCTGTTGAGGCATGTTCAATGAGTTAGGATCAAACTTTTGTGCACCCATCTGCGCATGAAGTGCATCATGTTCGTCCAGGGCTTTCTTTATTGCAATTTGCTGTTCTTTCTCTTCCGGTGACAGCTTTTCATACGCAGCCATGTTTTCATCCCATATCCTAACACACTCAGGTTCCCAATTGCATTTCTCCACCTCGCCATATATTGGATGACTGAAACGCGGATGCAGCAGAGGCCACTCTGAGGCATGGTAATGATGTTTGACCAATGCTCCCCTCGCATTATGATTCCCGGAATCCGAATGTCCTTGTCCGGCAGCAAATGCTTCGACGGTGAGAACCAAAAACCCTCCCACCAGCTTTGATTCCCGCATAGCGTGGAAGGTACTCCAATCAACCTGGTCGCCAGTCTTACTAGTCATTTCCTTCAAAATCGCGCCAGTAAATGCGGAAGGCCCCGTCCCCGAGATGACTTCATCAAAATCAAGTTTGATCTCTGATATTGGAACGTTCTGTTCTGCAGCAACATCATTCAACCACAGTAGGATGTTATCGACCAGTACCAACATGACTGGAAGTCGAGGTTTGCACATAAATGTCCATTGACAGAATGATTGTGACTTTTGACCAAGAATTGGGTGATCTTTAAAGTCAGGTTGGTCGATTTCCACGCTGACAACCATATCTACATCTCCCACAGGATACCGATCAGGGATCCAGGTATCAACGGCCTTGAGTGCTTCAACATCGATGTCTGTATAGACACCGCCTTCAACGTACATTATCAAATAACGCAAAAGATCTGCCTTAATGATTTGTACTTTCAGTGATCGATACATTTCGACTATATCCGGCCTGTCCAACTCATCTGGTCCGAAGTGTGTTTCGACATAATACATGTCATTATTGTCCGTTAAAACTTCGTATCGATGTCCTGGATTCAACTGAGTCCAAGTCCTGGCACTCAAAAGATCTCTCTCTGCGAAGCCCAATGGATCAACTTTCCATGTCTGCCATATTTTTCTTGGAAAGTCTGCGGTTGTGCTACCTTTCAAACCTTTTTGTTCCGACCGTTTTGCATGTGATACTGTAGATGATTTCAGAGTATCAACATTCGAGACGATCAGAATGAACAGGACGAGAATGGCATAAATCGGTAAAGCTCTCTGTATCTGCTTCGGTAGCCGACCGCCGAATTGAGAGGTCGTTTGCATGCTTCGTGATCTGGTTCTTCGTAACTTTTCCATCATTGTATCACTGGAATCTGAACTCATTCTGCATGTGTGAGGAAGAATCGCATGAGGAAGAGTGGCATGTTAACTTTCAAGAACTATACTAAGAGATGAATCAGATGAGAGAAGAAAGAGCTACTCCGAGGTTTTTTTTGTCCGAAATTTCGACAGATTGACAAATTAGATCTGGATAATTGACTTGTGCGAAAAACAGGACGGACTTCTTGTTGGTCGACTGATTGAGTTGCAGGGTGGTATTCAATTTAACCTGACGTCAAGCGTGGGGAGTAAACTTATTGGGAAGTATCATAAAAAGAACTCGGGCTTCACAAGCTTGTGATTGAAGAATTACAAGTTGATGGCTGCACTTGGCAGGGGGCTCGGGGGGGTCTCACTGTGCCTGCGCAATAATACCTGGAAATATGCACACTAACGTGATAATATTCGAAGATTGTTAAGATAGGGTCAAGTACCGTCCGCTAAAAGAACTTGAACTGTCGATCAATGTCATTACTCAGTAGACCTGCTCGAGGCCAGACCGAGATAAGGTGGAAAGTGCCATGTCAAGGTCCATGCAGATGCAAATGCAAATGCAAGCTACTTGTGCAAAATCCCGCAAAAGGAATGTAACAATGCAATATCAGAGTAGCTTCCGCGGTACGCATGTGAAGGTTCTATCTAAGAAGCTTGATTTAATGACTGGTGAAAAGTTCACGAAGATGGTGTCTTTGCCGGTCGTTCGCCAATCAGATCGCTCTAACGGTTGGTTTTGCCGACGCTAAACCCTATATTCCATGCTACCTCCGTGATTAGCCCACGACAATCCACATCACGATCAACAGATAGACTTGAGGGGTGAATGGACACCCGGAGAAAAAGCCGGACACCAAAATTCTACACTTTAATCAAAAATCAATATCAAAAAGAATACAAAATATTTCTTTATAAAATCTTGAATGTCAATAATTTATTAATAGATAGTTATTGGTATTCAGTTTCAAAAAACTTAATATATATATTCAATTTTGTATTGATTTTTGAAAAGAAGTGTTTCTAGATTATCTTTTATTTTCGCGGTTGTAGTGTCCGGCTTTTTCTCCGGGTCGCGAGACAATATATTGGGTACGAGGGTACCCATGAAGATGATGGAAAGGCCGTGAGAACTTCCCGCTGATCTTCCAATATTTCTCCAATATATTCCACTTTTGATATAGATTGCACCCCGTACACCCCGCATTATTGGACGTGCACGAACCTCGGGGAGGAAATCACGAAGAAAAACTAAACGTTGTCAATTATTGCTTGTGATTGTATTTCACGACTCAATAGCAGCACTAACGATGTCTATGTGTGGAAAGCCGATCAATTGAGACATGCATAACTCTGGATGCTCATGGCTTTGCACAGCATGCTGGCATGACAATTTCTTCATGATTCATTTACAACTTTAACTTCTTCATCGATTTTGGTTCTCAGCACCTTTCGCAAAATCTTCAAGCTTGTGAACGATAAAGGTGTTTTGAAAATGCCTAGCGGATATCAAGGTATCCTCGACAATGGATTCATAGAGGAGATCAAAGCAGATCAGCCATTGTTGTCTCCAATCGTCACCAAATCGCCTACGAAATACTGGAAACCTAAAAAGCTGTGTCTGGATTTTATAAAGCCTTCATTTCTAAGTAGGAAGAGAGCGCCAGCGAAACCGCTCCATGCAACTGCCTGGCTTGACGGATTGAGAGGCTATGCAGCATTTCTGGTATACGTTCTGCATCATGAACTATGGGCCCACACCTTAGCGTATGGCAATTGGATCTTGGAGATGGGCTTTGGCTATGAGAAGAAATACTATGCGATTCAACTGCCTTTCGTTCGAACATTCTTCACCGGTGGTCATCTCGCTGTGACCACATTTTTCGTGATTTCAGGATATGTTCTCTCCAGAAAGCCATTGATGCTCATTCAATCCGGGGATTTGGCGAAACTAGGAGATAATCTTGCGTCAGCATTATTCAGACGTTGGATTAGATTATGGCTCCCAGTAATTGCCACGACGTTCATATATCTCACTATATGGCACATGTTTGATCTCTATCCACTGCCTAGGTCTGAACATGAAAAAACTTGGACTGGTGAGGTATGGAAATGGTACTTGGAGACCAAGAACTTCAGCTACATTTTCAGGACTGGTGGAGATCCTTGGTTTACTTATAATGTCCATGTGTGGTCAATACCAGTGGAATTAAAAGGTTCCATTACCATTTATACGGCTCTCGTGGCATTGTCACGATGCTCACGAAATGCGAGACTCTACCTCGAGCTCGGATTGATATACTACTTCATGTATATTGCAGATGGCGCGCACAATGCAATGTTTGTAGCTGGGATGCTTCTCTGCGACCTGGATTTGCTCGCCGAAAATGATGACTTGCCTCGTTTCTTTTCCAGATTCGATTCTTGGAAAGAGCTCATTTTCTCTAACCTCTTTGTCGCCGCTATGTATCTTGGAGGTGTGCCTACTTTTGATTTGGACGAGAAAGTATTGAGAAACACTCCTGGGTGGCATTATCTATCCTACTTGAAGCCACAAGCCGTATTTGATTACAAATGGTTCTACCTGTTCTTTGCCGCGACTTTCCTCGTGGCATCTATTCCTCGAATCCCATGGCTGAAGAGCTTCTTTGAAACTAGATTTTGCCAATATATGGGCCATATATCTTTCGCATTCTATCTTGTGCATGGGCCCATCATGGCACTTCTAGGCGATAGACTATACTCCGCAGTCGGCTGGTCAAAAGAGATGTCGGATGAGATGGCACCGTGGAGAAATATATTCCCAATATCGAAAGTCGGGCCATTCGGGATGGAGCTGAGCTTCTTTGTTCCCCATTTGATCCTCTTCCCTGTTACAATTTGGATCGCGGAGATTGTTACAAGATTGATTGATGAACCTAGTGTGAGGTTTGCGCAATGGCTATACAAAAGAACTCTTGCACCATCACCTCGTTTGTAGAATTATGGAGCCAAATATTGGGTATCGATGTACTTGTCAGCTCGTTTAGGCGTTTTTTAATTAGATTAGATGTCATGGATTGTGCCTTGTAATGACGAAGACCGGCTCGGTCAGTTACCTCAAAAATTGTCTGACTGCAGCCCTTGATGCGGTGCCTTCAAAATCGATACCAACAATTGGTTCGTCAACACAAATCATGCCGCTTTTGTTCATGTACCCCTGAAGCCACCTTGTCAAAATTCGCAGGTTTACCCCGCGGAGTCCGTCCGAGGTCAATAGGCAAAATGCATCTACAGGGGACGGGCTTTTGCATGTGTAACTTCATAATCTTTATTCAAGTGGGAGATAAGATTACTTGCCACCAGAATATTGCAAAATAGGCCAAAAATTGACTTTCCCACACATCCATAACCATACCCCAACTTTCATTTCCTTCTCAATGTCGGCCATACACTATGATTGTTCGTCCTGGAGCTCTGCTCCGATTCTTTCCATTAATCGTGATATCTTGTGTTATCTTGTATCATAGTTGGAATTCAGTGCGACCTACCCAAAGTATATACTCCTCCGCATATACAGCACATCCTCAAGCTGGAAGGTATTTTGAACAAGTATTTTCGGTAAATAAGCCGGCAGATTATGATTTTCCAGCTCTCAAACAACAATGCGAGGAGATGGAATGGCCAAAAAACGAGGTGTACTTAGATTGCAGTGGCATATTTGCGGGTTTGACAACAATCGTGTCTCAAGTAAAGGTCTGCTTGAAGATGGCCTTGGAGTCTGGCCATGGATTAATTCTACCATCGATTCACTATCGCGATAAAGATAACTTGCAAGAACTCAACCGTTTCAATGAAAAGGCATCCATGACTTATGGCGAATGGTTTGACGAAGTTCATTTACTCGAGCAGATGAATAAAGCTTGTCCACAGATGCGAATCATTAAGCCTCGTGAAATCGAGTCTGGTGAAGTTACTGTGCAACATCGTTGGCCAATAGAACTCTCAGCCAAAACTGCTCCAGGGCTTGCGCTGTTCAAGGGATATTTTTGGAAAGGAAGGGGTTTCAAAGATTTCTTTGACGCTCAATACACTCAATTAGAACAACTTTTCTTGTTAAATCCTGGCAACAAGCTTAATCATGGAGCTGGTATAATCGCCATAGAGATCAATCCTCAGTTCCTAATCTTCAGAATCACAGACGATGCAACTGGACAAGACCTTAAGTTATGGAATGAGCTGGGGTATCTCATCCGGTTTAGAGAACCTCCTCGGCGGGTTGTCGATCGACTTCTAACTCAAATAGATCGTCCTTTCTATGGAGTCCATTTCAGAGTAGAATCTGATCAAATATGGAGCTCCCTTGAAAGTCAACTCCAGAAAGATCTAGATGCTTTGGATCGCGCATGGCAGAAATATGGCAGTCCTAGCGAAGAAAAACCTTTGGTCTATTTGGCTTGCGGAGATCAAAATCAAGTGTTAAAATTCGTTGAGGCCGGGAAAGCCCGAGGTTGGAACGTCACACATAAGTGGAAACTGGCCGAGAAGGATACCAATACTTTGAAGACCATCAACAAACTGAGTTTTGATTTTCAGGGTGCTATTGATATGGGAGTCATGCTGAACAGCCACTTTTTCTTGGGAATCACTGGGAGCGCGTTCTCATCCTCTGTTGCGAACGCTCGTGATGCCACTGGAAGGTATCGAGGAAGTTCTTTCTCGCTCTCCGATGATGGAGGTGCAAGAACTCATCTTTTTAATGATGGGGAGTCAAATTACTATCCTTGTTGCCTTTAATAATGCCATTTTCGGATGAAGCAAGAGCAAATTCATATGTTTCAAGGTACTCGGAGAAGGCGCGTTTGTAATTTACTTGATTTTTTGATTCTTTATACCCCTAGAAATAAGCAAGAATGAATGGAAATGTATCGTAGAAACAAGTTCTTTTTGCTGCAACATACGCTGTATTTCGTAAAGGTTTCAATGTTTCCTCTGATTGTTCTAGCTCTAGTGACAAATTGACGCCAAGCCATTTCTTATTCCCTACTTCAAATTTATAATCTTACCCTTATCTCAATCAATTCGAATAGCATCACTTAACTTCAAAAGAATATGATGTCTAAACTCTTGTTATTGTGAGGCTAATCGTTTCGAAGAGATGATTATTCCGTGCCCGCAATAATTTGCCGAAATTCACCCCCTCATTCTCGTCAGAATGCTTACAGACGAGTGGTGCGTCTAGGTAAGCGAATTCTTAGTGTATATGATATCACCTATTTCACGATTGCTTAAATTCCACGTCAGACAGGATTTGAAAGAGAATTTAGTGTAAAGTAATTCTGATGGAACTTTATTTCTGCTCTGAGAATGCACCAGTGCAACGCAGCATTATCAAGAGAACTTTTGATGCGCTTAGTATCGCTTAGTATTAGGTGCTCGCAGAGTGAACCTTTACTAACTGTTACACTGATCTAGGCAACAAGAGAGATCACGCCCTTCCTATACTTGTTAACTCCTATGGCAACTGAATCTCCACCCACTTGCGCTTTTCCCACAAAACTTCACCCAGCAAGAAAATCCAGCTCCCGCAGAATACCACATTATGTATTATAAAGTTTATCCCTCATTACGCCTCAGAGCGAAGTTGATGAAATGAAAGAATAAGTTTCAAACCGTCCATAGCCAAAGTGTCTTCCGGACCCCCACACTAGTCGTACTCAATGGTTCGGAAAATTGATCAATGCTTGTGGTGATCTAATTGAAATCGCAGTCGTTGCATTCATAGTGACCGCAGCTATTGCAAGAGGTGGCTCCTGGTGCACCCGCAATGAGAGAAGTGTTCTGACCACATTTGCAACAGGTCATGATGGTTGCTTCATCAACAGCTGGGCCGCCGAACTCGCCGAGGCTGGTTGGATGGTTCATGCTGATATATTCGGCAAGAATTGGGGTGATTTGATCTTGAGAAACAACGAACTCGAGCTTCTGGTAGCACATGGCGGGTATCTTGTCAAGTGTTTCGACTTTTTGTTTCGCTGAAGGATGAAATTGACTGAGACGATTGAGACGTTGTTGGTATGGAGTGATTTGGTTGCTCAGGGGTCAATACAGAGCTGTAGGTTATCGAAGAATTAGATTTTGAATTTGAAGTGCTGTAAGATGAAAGAGGGATAGATGACGTGAAAAAGACTGATTAAGTAGCTAAAATTTTGCAATATCGTGGCATAGCATTCACAATTACAGAACGGCCGTACTGTAAATATTCACCAACACTGTTCCAGAAAAACACTGTATAAAATGAGAATACAATAATAGTACGGGAGATTGCGAATATAAATAGCATCGGGTTCTGATCACGCGTACTCCTTATGGAAGAAGCATCTAGCCAGTGCAGAGATGGCGAAATTGGACGGGTCAATATCCACTTCATGTTCACTCAAGAATACTTCTGCGAGTGAATTCTGGATGTGGCTCTCGAGCTCTCATATTTTTCTTCATTTTATGTTAAATTATGGGTTCCAGGCACCAGATCAAGATAAGAGTTGGAATACAATCTTTATTATATTCTATCACATCGTATCTAGTAGATGGTTCTAATGTGTAATAAGATTATATATGACTGGTATGAGAGTATAAACGCGCACGCATCATATAATGCCCATTTATATGACAAAGAAAAAGTCAGAGAAGACTCATTGAGAGAGTCTTTAATGGAATGGCTGCAGTGTACAAAATTTGATTCAAGGATTTTGAGTGTTCATATAGAGTGTATAGTCTACAACAAATGAGAAGTTGTATCTTGATTATGACGTATTTTTACTTTGCGTCATATGACTGTATTTGAACATTGTAACGTAGGATCATGCAGGTCCCAAATCATTACTCGAAGTATCTACTACAAGGATCTTTGTGAATATTGAGCAGAAATGTTTCTTAATATGATTTTCCCCGGGAATGAGTCGAAAATCTTTCTTTCAAAGTCGATATAGTTTTCGCTGTTGGCAGTTCTGAAGCAGAGCATACAGCATTTACAAGGACAACAAAAATCCACTTCAGTTAACAAACTTCACAATGACTCTCGATACCATACTCAAAAATAAGATGCGTGCTCGATCCATCTCCATGCTTTGGAAATGCTGCCGTTGTGAAGCGGCTCCTGAAGCCCTGCCAATTTATCTTTGCAATGCTCTCGTTGCAGAGAACAAAGCCATTTCAGGGGAACGGAGGTATCCAGAATTAATCTGTGGCAATACATCGTGCGTTATATGCTACAGACCAGAAACAAAATGCTCAAACCCAAATTGTGGGCACGAAAAATGCTACGGATGTCCTTCTCATGATGTCGATTTCAATACAAGAAACCATAATGTATCATTTGCAATCATGGGAGGCGAGCGATTCGCGCTTACTTTCTTAAAGGGCTATAATTGCCGATGGTAATGTACTGAAAGCAGTTTGCCAAACTTCAACGTGCTCGAGGGCCCAGAACCTTCATTTTGGGACGATGACTGGGAAAATAACACGTATAATACCGCTACCCAGGGTTGTTGCCAACCAATATCTTCGAAGCGAGGAATGGCACATCGAGGACGAGACAAACTCACAAACTGAGTTGAAGGATAACACTTTCGCCGATGCACAACTTCCCTTGTCTAGACGCAGCCCTATTTCATCAGACAGAGCCATCCAAGCCGCAAAAACAAATCTGAGACCGGCAAAGACTTCACAAAAGATTCTACCACAAGCTCCTGAGTGGACAGATATCGATAAGAATGTCATCAACAGTCTAGATAGCCTGGAAGATAACAGTAAGCTCACTTATACCCCTAGTAGCCGCCGAAATCTTATAGTTGCAGATAAAAAGATCTCGGGATCAGATAGAATGCAGGTCGGTAGCAATTCCACCATCGCAGAATTGAGCAGTCAAACAACTAGGTCAGATCAGTCTAAATGTTCTGAAGTCAAGGAATCAGAATTCACATCCATTGGGAACACACCGTCCGCTGTACCAGTCACCAGTGCAGATCTTCTCCCGTTATCCTCCTCCTCTCAGCCCATGGCTCTCGTGGAAACCGAATCTACAATCTGGAACGGACAAAGCCGCAAGAAACCAATCCGTGCAGAAGATTCATCTGATGTAGATGTTAGTACGAAAGAAGGTGCTACTTCAGTGGAAGTGAAAAGACCTCCATATTACATGAGTGAAACTACCGGTCAGACAGTAGGCCTTCCACTTCAGCTTTCAACCGCAAGACCTACTGAATTTGAATCTAGTGGAAGAAAGTTCTCATCATATTCGGTATCCGCAAAGCTCAGATTAATTAGACCGGCTTCCCCACGTGTATGAAATCCTATAAGAGCACTAAAGCTTCTAAGGCGTATGCATCGACAACATCCGGCTTACAACCCACCTCCAACTCCCCCACCCGATTCTCCAATCCCACCCCCGACCCCGCCTCCAGAACATCAGACAGGTCAGATAGTCGATCATACCCTTAGTGAAACATTACATAGGCCTGCAGTGATTCCGCAGAAAAGATCAGCATTCCCAGCGATCAGGCCCGCTAAGATTATACTTCGACAAAGAAAACTGTAGCTTTGTTTAAACCTATGTCGGCGCCACACAATTGCAGATTGAAGCATCAGGGACAAAATAGCATAGAAATTCTACGAGGTGGGTTGATACAGTGGGTATTTTGGACCCAGGAATCTTTTCCTTTCTCTTTCCTTTCTCTTTCCTTTCGCTTTCGTCAGTTTTCTCGAGTTTCATTTCTTTCTTTTCAATGCTTTGATGATTCAAAGCAAAGTTGTGCTACTCTGAGTTTTGAGATACGGTAATATGGATGACGGGGGTATCGTGGAATAAGGGCCTTTCGGAAGGCTTGGTGATATTTCCTTTGTTTCTTAGTTTTAAAGTCAATAGGTGCCTGAAATTTTACTACAAGTCAATGAGTACCACTCATTTCATGTCAATATGTAGTGAGTCTGCCTCAGTTGAGCCTAAAACAACCCGAAACCATTTTTTGTAGCAGCATTACTTGGCTTTGAATTCTCTTTCCAATGTGTTAAATTTCTATACTACTTTCTATCAAGAAATTTAAAAGGGCCTCGTATTAGTAAAGGAGTATCTAGATATGTTCACGAACTTCATACATCACATTCTACGATCGGTTGAACGCAATCATGATTGCAAATACGACAATGAAATGTATATTTCTCTTCGCCCATGTCATCCTCATCTATCTTCGTCCAAAGATGAGGATTATTCTTACAACACCCCATATAAGTTGCAATAATTCTATGCTTTTCGTTCTCGATCAGTTACTTGATATGTTTGGAGTAACTGGGGATCCAAGTTTCTGGTACTAAAAGTACCCCGTTGTAGCGACTGAGTCGATCTATTTTATTGGGGTAACAAAGCAGTTCGAAGAGCGCAGTACACTCGCGGCAAGAATGAACAAAATCCATTTTGAAATTGCTATTATTGGTTGAATGGTGAGTAAGATAGTCAGAAGAGTCTTTGGCAGGTCTCTGGGTGACCGATGGACCGTCGGAATGGATGATACATTCCTGTGTGTTCCCCGTACAGCCATGCTGAGAAGTGCACTTATAAATGAGATGACTACAGACGGGCTCATACACATTCATCGGCTTTTTGGGTTCTATCGTTCAACACACAAGCTGCTATTACTCATAGCTTTTATGTCCAATACCAATGCTTTCATTGATGCTTCTTCGAGTGATGAGGGTACCGAAAAGCTCTCGTCAAAGAAGAGCTTCGTATAAGGATCTCTCTTCCTAGAAGTCTTTTTGACAAAAGATCAATGAATGGTAAATGGTAAAGTAAAGTAAAGTAATTTGAAAAGATAGTACTCAGAAGTAATCCAAATGATGAATGCGCTCAAGTCTCCTGATACACATGAATCATTGTCCCAAAAATAGTGGGTGTCACCAATTCACTCTCACAAGATCATTCGTAAATTTGACTAGAATGAAAGCAATTCAAACAGTTGGCGGACCTGCACCGACGCAAGATATTTAGCAATTCTAACAAAATTTGACCCTCTCAAGAGAAGCAAATAATTCATTTCCTGATACCAGGCAAAGTGTTAGCTTATCGTGGCCATACGCATCAATTTGGCAGGAGAATACTCTTCTTAAACTATGGTGGCCATAAACATCTACCAACTTCCGAAGCCAACATTAAATCGATGAAGAACCTCATCTTCTCCACGCTCTTCTCCCGAAACTACAGATAATGCTGTGCGTCTTGGGTCAAATCATCGATACAAAATGTGTCTGCTAGTTATAGATCATTCCAATAGCGAATTTTCCAAAACCTCGACCGGAGGAATCTACCATATGAAGTTCACACTGCGGAAGAAGAGGGTCATTTTCAACCATCCAAATTTATTTATTACGACGACGAGGAAATACAGGTGCTGTACCTACACAAGCTGTTTTCAGAGGAATCACTACGACCTTGAAGTATCCTAGACTAGCGGAATGGTAGTTAAGGTAACTAGTATGTGTTGAAATCAATCTTGCCTTTTATCTCCACCCAGCATGAATCAACTATTCTCCATATATACACACATTCCAAACTATCTAATTCTTCATATCTCGGTCACAGAAATGACGAACACCCCTTATTCTCCAAAGTCCCATAAAAATTGCCCTCACAACAAGCCAGGACATATTCTCAAACACTGTAGCAGCTCAGATACAAGAACCCTTCCATAAACCTGGTCATGGTCATCCACACCCACACTGAGAATTATCTCATCATCCAGAAAACCCACACCTTTATCTCTTATATCCTCCTGTTCCCTGTTCCAAGCATACGCTATAGTCGTGGTATAGGTGAGCTTCGCCCAAAAACCACGACCTTCGGACAAAGCCTCTGGAAAATCATCCCAACTTTCGTCCGTCGTCCAGCCAGTGGTTGTTTCGTTTGCAAAGAGAATTGGATGTTGACTTATGGCCAGCATGCTAAAAGGAGGTGTTGCTGCCCACATTACAAAATATCTTTCGTAGCGGATCGGTAGATCCAAGACGTTTTTGTGTTTGCGATGAATTGCTGCAATAAAAACGGTATCTGGAGTCTCGGAGATACAATAGCTATTGGACCGAGTACAAAGAATTAGCTTCAGAGCGGGTGTGGCCTGATGCCAAGTAGCATTTGCCATGTATCTATTTAGAGCTATTTCCTCCGGTGTTGCATCAATAAGACAAGAGATCTCGTTCGGATCAGTCAAATTAGTTGTTGTGAAGCCGTTACCAATGAGTTTTGCAAAGGTCCGTTGTGAAGAAGTCAGCTCATAATGAATGTATGATGAGGATGGAGTTGGTGAAAATATAAACCAGTTCTTTTCGTATGATCTTCGGGTCTCTCGTGGATTGCGTGTCAACTCGGTCAGGACAGAATAAGACTTGAGTGGCCCTCCGAATCTTTTGGGTGAAGATGAGAATATTTCTTCCAGGTCAGGGTATACAGAACGAAGATCAATGGACCATAGTCCGATACAAGCATATCGCGATCTAGAGATTATTTAGTGAAGGATATTTGGGGAAATAAATATATAATCATACTGGGAAGATATCATCAGTATAGGCTCCCCTCTTCCGGAATAGAAGATCCTAGGATCATGAAAACCAGGTATATCGGCAAGTCCTTCCTGATTCCCCTGGCAACTTTCTGCTGGGGTTGGAGGAACAGTCACCTCAATAGGTGTATTTTCACATCTCATCCCTCCATTACTACCTAAAACTTCAATGTCATCATCAGTACAAGTTCTCTCTCGGAGGTGTCCACGATTTTCGATTTGTGGGTGACAAATATTTGCTTCACACAAAACATTGACCCGGTAGCCACGGTCCTTCAGATACACCATGCTCACAATCAAATACTGATTCTTTGCCCAATATGGCAGAGAGAAAATTGTTGGGTTCCAGAATATTCTTGACTCCGGAGATCCAAGTCTGGGTTTCATGGAAATATTGTAGAGTAGGTTAGGAAGCCTAAGATGATTCGTGAATTTGTTAACCGGGTCGGAGCAATGCGCAGTGAGTTGTAATAACGCATGCGGGACAGTAACTTTCGGAAGAGGCAGCTCATTCAGATTCCTACTACTCGAATATGCCCATGATTGGATTGTATTTTTCGAATAATTTCTCAATGGATGAGAGATTGGAATGCGCATGGGGGTGTTGTGTTTCTCGCGGTTATAGGCTTGGTGTCTATATTGAGAAGGGGAGAGGTTCGAGATAATAATAACAGCCCACAAAAGAATTGCGAGTGGTAAAATGAGTCTTCTCGCAAATTTTCTTGCCATTGCGTACAGATTGCAAAGCAGGAAGAGAAATGATTAAAAGAAGTATCTGTAGCTCACAGCTGGCAAATTCCAGTATTTCGCGCTGATCGAAACAATAAAACAGAAGATGAAGAATCAACCTAGATATTGAATTTCCTGAACTTACTCTGGTTGTCTTGGTAATATTGAGGTTGACCGTGTTTCCGAAATCTGGAAGGTACAAGTCTGATGAAAGGAGCCACGAAAATCTCTGGAAACGCTCCTGCCACCTTTGAAATCTTTGCTATATTCTGAAATCTGTCGCTGTGATGTAGTCGAGCAGGAACAAAATCTTTACATTTTGATCACTGTAATTTCTTTGGCCTTTGCTTTGCTACAATCTTGCTCATTTGCTCAGTTTTGATCGATTTTGACCAATTTTTTGCTCATAATGGTTTACATCTCCCCTCTATCAACTCCAACCGCCACTTCAACTGCAACGAATGAGACACCTCTTCGACCACCGACTAATAACACGACACCATGGTCAGAGATTTCAATGGAGAATTGGCGAAATGGAGTAGATTTCAGAAGCCCGCCACCAGCTTATGACGAAGAGGAGCTGTCGGAAACACCTCATCGATTTTACAAAGCCAACTTGGAGCATCTCTACAAGGCTATTTGGCTCACCGTATTGATAATGATTTGTTTCTGGTTTTGGTTGAGTCAACAACAGCAGCGAATACATTTCTATCAATACGACACAAAAATTTCTACAACAGAGCCACCACTAGAAGGACTTCGCTTCGTTGACGCTAGTCATCCTTACATACGTGTATGTCACCATCTTGATTTATAGAACAGATTCTAAAATAACGTAGTATGTGGGTCGTTGGTCTTCGACATTGGATGGCACGAGAAAAGATGGGTCATTCCCAGGTATACTCCCTCGCTATATCACCTCTTGTTTCTAATGAAGTTCTACTAGGCATTTATCTCGATATCGCCTTCAATAGAAGCAGCACCATCCTAATATCACTCCATAACAAAGATCAACAACCACATGTCAAAAGGACAAATGCTCGAAACAAAACAGCAGCGTCTGTATTCCTACCATTGTCAGACAATACAAGCGCGGAACCTATCTCTCTACTTGCCCGGGTCGATGATGAAGAATACGTGATACTTCCAAACGCAACGTCACTTGTGGCTATAAGAACGAAAGATCTCGATCCCCAATCACCCCACATTATTCGAATCATTGCACCAATGATCGGCAGGGATATAATAGAGACCTTTCAGTTTCTAGGGGTCTGGATAGATGAGAATGGACAACTGATTCCAGTTCAAAACCCGATGTCAACCACAAATCTACCATTTTCCGAAAGAGATGTAGAGAATGAAGAATTGGGGCTAACTATAAGTGCTGTGGACAGTGGCTTAAATGCTCCTCAGCGCAAGATGTTGGAGATCTTGACTGATCTACCTGGTTCTATGACAGGCCTAGACAGAAGAAAGCAGCGGGTAGCATATAATATCGCAAACGGAATACTAGGAGGAGTGATGGGGTGGGAATACTTGACTGGTGATATGTTTGGTAGTGATCATGTAACTATTGGAATGGATGGGATGTGCCTACTGCAAGACTGTATCGGTGGTAGGGGCAGTCCAGCAGGACTGGCAGACGTCTTCTTTCAAAGGTACGTCTGGAGGTCTTCTTGAGTTTTTTGATTGTCCGGTTTTATTTTAGACCCTCTAATGCTTGCAGTGGACCACTTGGCTCTGGGCAATATGCGCAACCATGGATCTTCCAATCCTATGTCCCGGATGTAATGGTAATTGTTTCACTTTTCACTTCAAATATAAGCAGCTAACATGTTTAGATTCTCAATATCGGCAATGCTGACTGGGAGTCGTTCCGAATATACAATGAAGATTACAATATGACAACATGGGAACTGAGTGTCCTTTTTGAGGAGACCTACGTTTCCTTAATCAAGGCAATCAGAACATTGGCATATCCCAAATACTCCGGGACAATGGCTGAGGTTTCACAATACGATTATCCACAATACCGAGCAGTCGACATCCCGATATTTGTGATGAGACCTTTCCGCGGACAGCTTGAACAAGCGACGCATTCTGTAGTGGATCGATTACAATTCGAAGGAGACAAATCAATTTTCTGGCTTGATACTTCAGGCTGGCTTAATACCGATGTAAATTTTGAGGGACAATCAGAAGATCAAGACTTTTTTCTCGATGGTAAGAACAATCTCCGTTGTCTAAGTGAACTCCATTACTATAAGTCGCTGCTAACAATGAACAGAGGAGAGTCCACGGAAAGAATGGCGCCTCACGGAGAAGGGAAACCAACGAGTTGCAATCTTGCTCCATATGCATGTCTGCAGATATCTTGCACAAGAAGTCAATAAATGTGCATTTTTAGCACCAGAAGCATATCAAGGTGGCAACTTGGATCCAGTTGCGATGCATTTCGATCAATACATGAGAGACGAGAAAGAGAGGAGGCTGAAAAAGCTATTCTGGGTATCCCCAGAGGATGAAGGAAAACTCCAAGTCAGATGAACGCAACGATAAAGATATGAAAAATGAAGAGCTTCGCAAACTGACATCGATACATAATCTATATCTCATAATTAGTTTTGCAATGAATATATTTACCATTCATTCGAGTATTGGTGTGTTATATTTATATCGAAATTGAAGTGACGTAGAATTTGAGCTTGAGGTTTCGGTGGAAAAGGTTGTGCTATTCACAACCAGTGATCTATCCCTACTTAGATTTAAGCCAATATTGGAGTGATTGATCGATCATATACATGAGAAACCTCTTCATTATTGTATCATATAAGAGTGAGTATCGAGGCCGTTCAGCAGATTAAAAATTACATGCCCAACATAACTCTCATTTCAGCTAGGGTGAAATAAAATCCTCTCGTACAACCACAATCGAAACAGATCTACTTTTTTACCATTTGAATCTCAAGATAGATTGTATGCCACCAGAACTGAAAGGATGTGATAGCCAGAGACTTCATGTATTCTAGGCCAATCTTGCCGAGTGATTGGCATGTCATTTGGCGGCGACGCTCACAGGGATAAAAATGGAAGGTGTGACTTTAGTGGATTGATATATAATCTAAATCCAGATTATTCATAATTCTACACCCCTTCTATGCTTACAAGAACGATACCTTCAACGCAAGCGAGTTTTCAGTTCAACTTTTTCGGAAAGATTCCGAAAAGCAAGAATCATTCACAGGACTGGGATCAGCGATTTTGTCGAAAAGCGTTAAAGCTTCTTGATGTAGATCTGAATCCAGGCCAGAAAATTCTAAAGTGCCAGAGATCAAAGTTTGCAGCCTTTGACAAGAATCGTGGGCTCTTTTGTTGCCCATTTAGGACTGGCAAAGTCGAACACAATATTCTTCGGGCATTAAATTCGACTGACGAGAACAGATTCCCTATTTAGTATTCATAAGCTGTTTTAACCATCAAAACTTGGTTATATCTGAACAAGTGTCACTCTGCAAACCAAAGAGAGCATTTTTGCGTGATTAGTACTCGCAGATCTACCACTTTCATCCTATCTAAGAGAAAAGCTATTCCATTTCTATTGTGGTGGTCTGAAATTTCTTAGCGGCTCGCAGTACCAAATATAGCCGGTCGGCACTTGTGTCAAAAGTTTGAATTGAGACTAACAACTGACAGATTGACGACCAAGGAACCAATTGCACGATGCTTGACTTGGCGTCTTACTTGATTTGATAGGTTGTATGCGCTATAGTTACAAATGGTACACAAATTACTAATATTTTTTTTGAATACAACATCACTTCTACCTTTGTAAGGGGTTTGTATGATCATTGTAGTCACTAGAAGTATTTTGGATTATATGTACGATGCCTTGATTTGATGAAGATTGATTGAAGCTATGAATTCTATTAAAGGTGGATCTTGGTTAGATATATCTGAATAATAGGATGAAGCAAGGTTGGAGCGACTGACGGCTAGGGAGCATCGTGGGCCACTAAAGGGATTATGGAAAGTGAAGATGATGGCTTCTGTATAGGAGTATGAACTACAATGGTAAATAACAGCGACATATACCTCTTCATCACTAAGATCTGCTGAAAAGGATGAGGTAAATGTTAGTAAAAGTTTGCAGATCACAATGTTAATCACGACACTGTCGTCGCCGAAATTATACCAAGTCTGGTATTATCTCACAGACTAGATAATGGTGACTTGACGAGGGAAAGACACTGGAGGTTAGTAGAAATTGGCAGACATCAAGGCTTATTATGACACTTTCGTCGCAGAATCATACCAGATCTGTTATTTTCTAAGGCTAGATAGTAGTGATCAACCGTCGATAGTCCCCAGAGTCGATGATCAAGGTCTTTTGGTAACTATATCTACCTAGGTAGTATGTAGATAATCCAGATTTGGAAACTCCCATGCAACTCGATGGAACTATTATTCATGGTCTATTGAGATAAATTTGCTGGTGGTATATCATGATATTGTGACGTCAAGATTGAAAGCAATAGAAGGTTAAGCATTGAGTGAGGAAAAGAGCCGTGAAGTGTAAATTTTCCGAATGTATGAATCTTAAAATCTCAAAATCTCACTTCCAGGTGTAACATGTGCATATATTCTGTGCTCAATACGTAGCCAAACAATGGAAGTTATTAATTCTGAGCCATCTGACGTTCTCATCTATGTCAATCTGTTGATATATCTCAACATCTTGTTTGAACAATATGTAATATGATTGGATGATTTGACGAAGTGAGTGACCTCGCTACTCCTTTCTTTCCGTGTATCCGGATGTTATCGTAATGTGTTAAGCTCTAATTTTGAGTTCAAATTGATATACTTTGGAGCCTCTACGCAAGTGATAAACTTAGTCCATGACATTGAGTTTCCTCTTCATGACATGAACATCCTTCTTTCCTATCTGATACTAATAATAATGTTCGAAGTCACCACAATGTATGATTTATACAACAAGTATCCAAGCCAAGTGACCTACGATTAACATGATCGCCAATTTGGAATTTTCACAATATGTAATTCCCTCAAAATCAACGAATCTAGACTCAGACTGATCTTTAGGTACAATTTTAGTGCGTATATTCTCAAGCATATCGAGTTGATGACGTTACTCTTATTGCTCTCGTTGCTCTCGCTACTCTGGCTACAAAGAAACAGAAGTTTGGCTTCGATTCATGGCAATCGTCATTGTCTATAACCGTGTTGGGTCTGCTTATTATAGCGTAGGCTTGGCAATCCTATATATGTGTGTTTGTCTGCTTCGAATCTCTATTTCCCTGAACTCCAGACACTCTTCTACTCTCCTTTTCCTGCATTCGCCTTCCCACCTCAAACTACTATCAATCAAACTCAGACACAGACAGGTATTTCTCAAGCTCCATCACTCACTTGCTGCCCATGAAGCTAACCTTTGTGAATCATTGCTTTAGATCAAGTCACTCTCGAGTCTGAATCATGGTTTCACTTAAGAAAATTATTGCCGCTGTCTTAAGCGTCTGTGTATCAGCCGCTATCGCCGGCAGCACAATCCCCCGCAACACAGTTCGCAACACCATCGAATTCGTAGCCTGCGACAATGAAGACAGAATCATCTCCTTTACATCCCACGTCCAATGCGAGGATATTGAGGACATTCAACACAAGGGTGGAGAGAACTTCACTATTGAAATCCCTTTGAACTGGGGAGGTACCGTCATGGCTAAGATGCATGGTGCTGTGCACCCTATCCACCGTATCCAAGCCGAGTTTCAATGGCAAGGATTCGAAGGCAAGACCCACTACGATGCCAGCGCAATCACCAACCAGACCGATAACTCTGGTATCCGTTTCGTTTACCCAGCTGGTCAAGGCGATGTCTACGAAGCACGAAGTGGATGCACCGTTTACCCTTGCGACAATGCCTATCTTCAGCCTGACGACGTGCAAACCAAGGTCACCCGCCAAACCGATATGCTTATCGAGATTGGTACCTGTAACTAAGGGTGAGTTGCCAGCTGATTCTCATCGCATATGTCCCTCACTAACTTGCTGTAGGCTTCCGGTCGAAGATCTGATGGCATTCGCAGGCGTTTTCGTCTCGGCATCCTTTGATCGCCGTTTTCGGTAAATCTGGAGCATGCTGCCATTTCGGAAGACTTCTTTAGTGTCAATGGGCAAGAGCCTGGGGGTTTTGAAGCTCGAGGGTATACCCCGAGATCTGATCCAAAGGAAATTCGGTGGGGGTCTTGGAATTTGTTGGGCTGTCTCGTGGATAATTTCGAACATGTATGATTATTAAATATGCTGCCTGGTAAAGATGCATATGTAGAAGAATAAATCACACATCAAAAAAACATAAGAAGTGATAAAATTAAAAATGATTGGTTGAAATGTCTGAATCAAGAACTAACAAGCCCGTACGATCCATGTATCATCTAGAGGAACAGGAAATTTTGGTTCCTTTTTTCTTGATGGCCCACCAGAATATACGATCAAGAATAACATTCATACCCTAGCCAATCTTACCTTCTAGATAGCGTCGTCCACAACGCGAATGGGTCGACGGAATGAGCATAAATGGAGACATAATAAGATGTCAGTACTTCAACCTCTTCTAAGAACCATAATGGTGTAGTTTCCATTTATCGAAGCACAAAGCCCGGTAGAAAAGCGGGCTGCAAGAAATTTTCATGGGAATTTGCCTAGAGGCATCCCACGGATGATGAAACACAATGTAGACTGAGGATACCACTACTTTGGAAACCCGTCACTTTTTTGTCAATGTCCAGAAGATGTTACTGAGTGATCATACAAAGTCATCGGCACCTTGGAATATCCCCCCAAAGCATGTTCTCATTCCAGTCACTGCTGCACTAGATGCTCTATCCTTTCGATCTCAAGATCTTTCGGGTTGGGTCCAAAACATCAGTTGACGTTCGCGACTTTGTGGTCTTGGCTTTGCTTCAGCAGTGATTCAAAAACTCGCACTACCTGTATTGTATGCCAAAGTTCGCAATGTTTGGATCTCGCTCGCAACCCAGTACACCTAAGCAAATCCCCATACACTTAATACCTATCCACGTCTGTATTGCTTACCGTCGGCCCTGATTTCACGATGATCTTGTTCAACCTCATATGTTTGCTACCTTCCTCGTGGTCAAATAGATCCATCATAGATATACCGTCCACACGCCAACAATACGTTGGCCGGAGGAGACTTTACTTCCACGAGTTTCGTAGCGGCTCTAGATTCTTTGGTCCAACAACACTAACAATTGATATCAAGATGGTTGAAGATGTGTATAACAGATGTATCATCATGTACTTTTGAGAAATGGAATAATAGGATATGTAAAATATTGGCTGGAGACTGTAGCGGAGTCGTTTCTACCAACACTTGACAGATATTGAACATTCGGAATAATTCCCCTCCTTTTACCGATATCAACGATCAGCCAGAAATGGCAAGTACATCCATATAGTTTCCGAGATTTTTCCGGTTCATAATTCTGGGGATTGGTGGGTGATGAGGATTTACACCGGAGAAATCAACAGTCGAACCTCGATTTATTAATATTAGATTCTGATTTGGGCAAAGAATCTTACGACATTTTTGACAGTTGTGAGATAGGTCGTATCAGAGCTTTCTACTAAGCCTACCGTGGTTGAATTGACTATTGTAATACTTTTCCACTTATCCATATCTTCCAACGTTCGTGTATCAATCAGATAGAGTTCCATAACAAACACTAATAATCTTGACAAAGTGGAGTGAATGACTGGTTGTTGCTCGCCGATGTGCAAGCTTTATCTGCTCCACCAGAGCTGATCTGGATCAACTCAAGTTTCTGATACGTTATGAACTCGATATCTTAAACAGCATACCAGTAGATTATCTTTCTTTATAGATAAGCAGAAGCTGAATTTGATCTCAATGCTTTCAACATATATTTGATTTTATCTTTTAGAGAAAAAGAAATGTTTGTTACCTACTCCAGCTATAGGTAGGTATGTCAAGCACGGAGGGAGTTAATTAATTAATACACCCGACGCACCAACTTCGGCTCGCTTTCAAGAGGCTGGTGTGTGGCTGAAATGACCAAGGTGGCTAGTATTGATGTAAGCGAGTTGGGGTGAGAAATTGGAGAGAAACTGGTGATGATGTAGTTGCGGCTAGAGCTTCCCTCGGCTTTCCAAAGACAAAATTTGCTTCTGTTCTCTTCTGCTGGAAATACTACAAAATATCAGTCGATTCATTCATTCATTGACTTAAAAGGCGGTTTTATAATTCAATGATATAGATTTAAAGACTCAATTATATTTATTCATTTCCATTATTCTTGATGCCAAGTTACCTACCTATCCTCCATCCTCCAAATACCAGTTCGTTCTAGACCTTGGCTCATAACCTGAGCACGCGACCTTCTACAAGACCCTCGACCAACAAGATTGATAAGAATCAAATCACTCTTGTGTTGTCCTCGAATACATCCACACGATAGCCATTTGAGACATCAATCAGCATGAAAAAGGCGAGATTTCCCAGCGGGATGGAGCGTCGAAAGTCCTCCACTCCTCACTACCATACCTTCCCCACCCCACCACCCAAGTCTCGCGGCAGACCTCAAGTCGCATCAACTATATCATCTGGTGGCGATGGATCTGCGAATTCGAATTCGAATGAAGGGGAGCCCGAAGATGAACAACATCAATCTCCTCTTCCAATAAAACAACTCGCTGTATTGGCAGTCATCGCGCTCGCCGAACAAACCGCCTTGAATTCGATATCTCCATACCTACCCCAAATGACGTCGAAATTTCCAGAAGTCGATCCAAGTCAAATAGGTTTATACGTCGGAACAATAGCGTCGAGTTTTGCATTTGCGCAATTTACAACCAACTTTTTCTGGGGCTGGTTATCTGATAGGATAGGGAGGAAGCCGGTGGTGATGCTTGGGACTCTTTTGACATCAGCATGTTTTGTTGCTTTTGGGTTCTGCAGGACATTATGGCAGGCAGTATTGGTACAAGCGCTGATGGGTATGGTCAACGGAAATCAGGGTGTAATAAGTACATGTTTAGGAGAGATTACAGATCGCAGCAATCAGAGTAAGGCATTTGTCTATCTGCCAGTCATTTATGGAATTGGTGGCATAACAGGACCGGCCTTGGGTGGATTGTTAATCTTCGAAGAGAATCCATTTAACAAGGGACACCCAAATCCTTATCCATATTTACTACCGAATCTATTTGCGGCATCAATATTATTACTCGACTTGGTATTGACGGGATTTTTTCTGGAAGAAAGTCTAGAAGAGGCAAAGAATCTCCCTCCTTTGAAGCATCGAATGAAGAGCCTCTTCACGTGGATGTGGCAATTCACAGGAGGAGCTCGACATCCAACCTATACAAGAACCCCCTCTCAGCGTGCCCTGCTTCATGATTCTGATGCATCGGACGACGACGATTCTGAAGCTGAATCACTCCTCTCAATGGGTGACTTCTTCCAGTCAACGAACGAAGCTCACTTGTCCTACAAGGAAGTCCTAAACCGCGACACTGTAATACTTCTTGGTACTTATCTTATCTTTCAACTCTCGAATATTTCCTTCAACTCTCTCTATCCTATCTTTGCATCGGCTCCCGAGCGTGCTGGACGAGCGCTCTCTCCTTCTGAAATCGGTCTTTCACTCTCTTTTGCAGGAATAGTTACAATTGTCTTCCAGATCGGAATTTTTGGTAAACTCAAAGAAAAGATGGGAAATAAAGCAACTTATAGATCAGGATTGTTCCTCTTCTTTATTTCCATGATGCTCATGCCATGGATTGGATACAAAGATTCTCCTCCACCTTTCGGCATCGGAAATGGAAAATTATGGCTATGGGTTGAGCTTGGGTTCGTCTTGTTACTAAAAACGGTAGCTGCAGTGGGAGGACTAACAAGTGCTCTGTTACTCATTACAAATTCCGCGCCTAATCATGGTGTTCTTGGTACATTGAATGGCCTTGCACAAACCCTAAGTGCAGCCGGAAGAGCAGCGGGCCCCTTCTTGAGTGGAGGGTTATTTACTTTAGGAACAAAGATTAAGAATGGGGGATTTCTCACCTGGGGTGTTTTTAGTGGGATTGCTTTGGTAGGATTCGTGTTCAGCTGGGGAATCCGGGGAAAAGATTTGGAGAGCGAGGACTGGAGTGATGAGAGTAGTGATGATGAGAGCGACAGTGGAAGTGGAGGGGATATAGAGGCTGGGCAATCATCGTGATGAGCTTGAGAGGTTGATAGATCAGATTCTCGGTATTATATTGTAACAGATACTTGATAGTTTGAGTTGTTTGTGTTGACGGGAATAGGATGTACATTTTTCATCTTGGTATAGGGTAATCATTGGGTAGTAAAGGTGTTTGGGCGCATAGAGAGAAAAGGGGAGAATAGCGAGATTAGACTTTTACATGGAGAAGTAGAATATACATGAGCAGTATGCGTATATATATTATGGACTTAGAAGCTTTTGTAGCTATTACAATTTATCTCAACAAGCATTTCCATGATCATACTATCAACCTCAATGGAAGTTTCGTGCACGTGACAATTTATCCAATACTAAAAACATCCACCTTACGTCCAACCCATTTCACATAACGTGATATTGAAACTAACTCGAATTCCACCAAACACCATGGAGTTTTTTCAAAAATCAATTTCATCATGTCTTTCCTCGCCCTCCTCATCTCTATTTTTATCCTTCTCCTTTCTATATCTCTCCTCCGTCTCCGTCCAAAATGGTGGGGAAACGGGCTCGAGCGAGTGCGTTTCAGACAGATTCCAATCAATGCGCTATCAATATCAAGTCCCCCCTCGAACTTCTCGATGCTACCAACTCAAGTACTCAAAATATCTCTTATAAGACCTATTTCTACGATGTCTTTTTTCCTGAATCACCTTAAATCACACACGATCGTTACCTTACCCGTGCCTGAGAAGAAATTTACAGGGAAAATAATTATTGTTACTGGGAGTAATAGTGGATTAGGACTGGAGGCTGCGAAGTGGTTTGTATGTATTTGCTTCGATCTCTAGAAAGACTGATATGCATATTGGGTGTATGAATGTTAATGAAGTAAAAGGTCCGTCTCGATGCTCAAAAAGTCATCCTCGCCGTGCGCTCCCTCTCAAAAGGTGAAGCTGCGCGTCAATCCATCATAGACAGTACCTCCTGCTCTCCAGACATCCTCGAAGTATGGAATCTCGATCTATGTTCTCAATCTTCTGTTAAAGAATTTGCGCATCGAGCAAATGCGCTCCCGAGACTTGATATCTTGGTCTCGAATGCTGGAATCTATGTTTTTGAATTTAAAATCGTGGAGGGAAATGAAGAGACGATTTGTGTGAATGTAGTTAATACTTTCTTATTGGCATTGCTTCTGTTGCCGAAATTGAGGGAGACAAGTATAAAGCATGATACAAAGGGGGTAATGACGTTCACGGGAAGTTTCGTGCATCATCTCACTACTTTCCCGGAACGCCGAGCAGGGAATGTATTTGAAGAGTTGAGAGTGGAAGAGAGAGCTGATATGAGAGATCGATATAATGTAAGTAAACTGATCTCTCTACTATTTTCCCGAGAACTTGCGTCTGGTATTCGCGAATCGGAGATGCGGGGGGAGAGAGGAGATGTCGTTGTGAATATTGTTAATCCAGGGTTGGTGGATACGGAGATTATGAGGCATGCGACGGGAGCTACGAAACATTTGGTTAGGGGAGCGATGAAATTGATGGCGAGGAGTGTGGAAGAGGGGAGTAGGACGTTGGTGCATGCTGCTGGGGCAGAGGAGGAAACAAATGGGATGTATTTGGATGATTGCAAAATTGGGAAGTCAGTACCCCTTCTATCTTGGTGTTTTTGTTTGTTTGTCTGAGACTAACGAGAAATCAGGGTGTCATCATGGACAACATCCCTCGACGGAATAGCAACCCAAAAAGATATTTGGATGGAGTTGTCGCATGAATTGGAGAAAATAGAACCGGGAATTATGGAGAATGTATGAGAAGTCCAAATCGAAAATTAATGCTGCTTTTTATTCTCGTTTCTCGTACCTTTTCGTTGAGGATGAGAGTATTGATGATATAATTAATACCGATGTGGAGATAACCTCGCTAGGCGAGGTTGCCTCTTCTTTGACGAACGCAGTTTTGATATTTCGTCTTTTTCTTAGATATGCAACAAAACTCCTGGAGAGCGATGTGATTGGTCAATGAAAATCAGACGAGTGGGAGGAGATTCCGCCCGCTCATCAATGATGCTCTTCTTATAATTCAAAACCTGAAAATTGGAGCATAGCAAATTTAAAAGATATAGGTATATCTGCTGACGCTTCAAGACTAGATATCGCTAGAGTAAGATGATCTGGGAAGTTCCTGATAATTCAAGTCCTCTCGGACAACAATGGAGATTGCTGATTCGTTATATGTAAACCCTTCTGTACGCAACACCTAATCACAAGCCTAACTTTCCACGCTGGGTATTTCCATTCATTCAATCATAGGAAGAGCTATACAGCTCGCTCTCAAAGCTACTTCCATATCATTCTAGGTCCCCGAGACTATCATCCCGCTCTTTCCCAACACAAACACGAAAGTTCAACAAGGCGAAATCTCCATACTCCCCCTTTTTCTCTCAAACCCTTGGATCTCCGGGCTCGTAGTCCCCCACTTCATACTCGTCGATTCCTTCGCAGGCATCTCCTTCGGCTGCAAAAAAGAACCCTCCATCTCAACCGTTTCATGATGACCACCCAATTCCATTTCCCCCGGCGAATCCTCCGCCATCAATTCCGTCGTCTCGTGATATCCACCTTGAGGCAACTCTGCAATCTGAGGGTGCGTATCAATTGGCTTTCGTTCCGGTTTCTTTGGAGGCTTAAAGAAATAGCCATGTCGTCTATATCTCTGCAAAAGTAGTCCGCAGGGTATGCATAAGACGACTGTTACTACTAGAATTACTATGCGAGTGATGTGGGTGGATGAAGCCGAGGGTGTTGTATTTGTATTTGTACTTGCAGACGACCTGGTAGGTGTACTAGTTGCAGTACCGGTAGGCGTTGTGATTGTCACCAATTTCGTTGTTGTTCCATAGTTTATTTCAATGACCGTTGGAGATGCATCATCATTTTGCGCTGTTTTGGTCTTCAGTTAGCGACAGACTTCATAATATTTTTCAGATCATGAAGACCAAACAGCTTACCAAAAACGCGAGAAAATAGCCATATCAGCCCCAGTAAACGTGATATCATATTCTCGAAATAAAGGAGAGCTTAAATCAATGCAAGAACAAGAAAAGAGGCGAAAAAGCTTAAGTTCATGAATTGAGGGGGTGCTACTGGGGTGCCTTGCTGCGCCTTGCCGTGCCGTAGGTACATATTTCTGTAGCATTTTCTGCAGCTCTTGTTTCAAACATTGTGATAAGTGATTCAGATAGGGGAAACTAATTGGAGAATTGAATAGCTGCAATAGCTGTGGGCCTAGACCTGCCAATCATCGAAAGAGGAATTTTACCCAACTGTTGGTGTCGATGTCACTCATCAGGGGTTGGGGTTGCTGAATTGGAAAGAATTTGGACGGCCATTTAGGTGGCCAAGTTGATTTCAAGATTTCATTTATGCTTTGCTGCTCTCCAATTTTTCATTCGCTCGGCTCTTGATGCAATGGCTTTGTTAGTTGCATGCATCGTCTTCCTCGCTTCCAATTCGCGAAATAATTGTCAGCCTAGCTCATGCACATCGTTCCACGAACTTGGCATCTCTGATGTAGTCTTTGACGTCTTTTGTTCCAATATTTAGTGATATAGGCCGTCTTTAACAGATGTATGCTCATTGTTCCTTTGGCCGATTGAAGTGACGGAAGCAAAATGTTATAATAGTTATGGATTGGGTTCAATTCAGAAACGATTTGCACACGCTTGGTGAAGTATGTAATTGATTCAGTGCAGTCTGTGTGTTCCATGTTCGAGGAAATTATCACTAAATAGAGCGATATGATTATAATTATTTGAGTATCTTCCAAATGACAAGTAGCTCAAGGAGGATAGGTCGAATTGATAGTTGCTAGACAACGTATGCTATAGATCTCGAGATGGTTAGACTCGACAATGAAGTTGAGTAACGAACTGATGGCTGTGGCAATGATATACAAACTTTGAGATAATATAGGATTGGGAAAGACGCTTATATTAATCGACGACAGATTTCAAGATTTCAATCTGTTCATCTCTAGGATCATTGAGAAATATACAGTAGTAGTAATAATCATGCTATTATGGATGCTTAGGGCTGCTAGAATTCCAGCCAGTAATTTGTGCTCGTCTTGATGATCTTGTTAAACAAGGTAATCAGATGCTCTTGAAACCTTTGCATTCCATCAAGTGAAGCCTTAATTTCAAGATATTTGAGACGATTCTCACTGAACCCACAATTCTCGCTCAAGAGGATATGATAATTGCTTCTGCCATGGTTCTTATTATCCACTGTGAACTAAAGGTACAATGATGTTTTTGTTTCATCCTAAAGCTCAATGCTCTGTTAAAAGTAAAATGCGGAGCCAAGAACATTGGAGGCGGCGTTGGCCATAAATAGCCTGCCATCTAACAAAATAAGACCTGTGAAAAGTATCACATAGATATTGAACACTGCGAGCGAAAACAAACAAGCAAGATCAGACGTCGTGAGAAAAATGGTACGCGTGCATTTTATTGAAAAGACCTTAATGCTTTTTGAACACTTTTGTCAAACAACGCCGTCTCTTTGCATCACTCAGCTCGAGCTAAACGCATTATCACAGGACTAGAAACACGAATCTGAAGTCTTATGTACCTAGGGGGCAGGATAAAGGCTATTCCGGTCAAAGAAGATTGATTCAAACTTATGACATAAACTGGCTTTTGACACCTGTTTGGTGTTCTTTTGTAAATCTTCCCCTGAAGTTAACAGGTCGGCACTGACTAAATGCATTCCATTCGGAGGTATGTACTAAGGGATGTTTGCGAATCGTGGTCACACTTTCCTGTGCTTTTGACGATGCTAATTGTAACACCCGTTTGACCCTCCTCTTCGTAGTGAGTTCTGATGACAAGGTTGCCCAGGTATTTTTTGGTAAGACAAGGAAGGTTTGTCTTTCAAAGTGGCTCGTGTAGAGGGAGGCTGGTGAAACACGTGATGCAAATGCACACTCGCCACAGTTAACCTAAGATGTGTGCTCTTGACTAAACTCACGTTATTGTATATCAACATATAGCTTCAATCGATCATGCTCATATACATTATATACATATATGCATATTCAGGTCATCGAGGGAGAGGCCGAAAGACCTATTGCCCGCATCCTTAAATCTACTTCTTCGCTGGCCTCACCATCCATATGAACCCTTCTCCTTTTCGATCACCGAACCTTTCTGGTATTTTTGTTTCGCAATGTTTAACGTATTCGAATCCCTCGGATTCATATAGTGGTCGGCCAGCTACGGATGATTCTACTATGGCCTGCAATTGAACTCACGTTAGCTACAGTTGTCGACAAGAGCGGGGTCCGGTCGATGCTCAGATCGACAGATTCTACATACCGCATATCCAAGTTCATCAGCGATTGCAGTTCCCCATTTGACCAAGAGACGACCTGCTCCCCGACGTTGATAAGCAGGGTCAACAGCAAGAATGTCCAATGCTATAATCATGGGTCAGCCAAAACACAAACAGCAACTCGGGACTCTTACAAACTAAATGGCCTTCATATTCTTTAATGGCCGCCCGACGAGTGATCAAGAAGTCTCGGTTCAAATGCTGAGCCCACTCCTTCTCCTCCGCAGTTTCCCAAAAATCGCCATCTAAATCTTTTTCGGGTGGGATCACACCTTTCCAGATATTCCACTTGGCTTTTGCAATGATAGCGCCTGTGTCGGTATCCACGACTTTAAGAAATTTCGTGTGGGGGTCTTTGTTTTTAATATCCCGAAAGCGGTTTCCACCACTAATTCGACCAGCCTCAGTATCATGATTTGGATACACTGCCTCAATCATGGGGTGTCTAGTTCCAAACGCCTGGCAAAAGATCTCAAAGACCCGATGCATATCATCATCATTACATTCCTCAACTTTGAGAACCATTGTGACGCTATGAGGATTTTCTGTTGATGTCTGATTCTGAAAATACTTGGTTGACTTGCGTACGTTTCCTCTCGGGTTTCGACTCATATATGCCAAGATTGATAAGATGACAAAGCGTATCAAGAGTGGAGAGGCGTATTACTCCGTAGTCCACCGGATATCGGAATCGGATATAACCTTAATACGGGCTTACGCATAGTGATTTACCCCCACCATGACAGCGATAGAACGTCTAACCGAGCAAACCACCCAGTAAGTATCTCCTGATATATATCATGGCTCAGAATAACAAACTTTTTCATTTGGGGCATATCTGCAAATGAAAAACTCCCTCTCCTAGAGCAGCTACAGCCCAGTCCTTGGTTATGTCTCCTCAAAAGGAGAGCTCTCGTTAGCTATAAAGGTATGCTTAATTCGCATTCTTAGCCCTTCTGTCGTCACTATTAAATTCTCTTCAATATTTCTGCTTTGGTCCGTCAATGTATTGCTTTCTGGCTTTCTTTGGACTCTCTGTCTTTGCGGCCATTCTCTGAGTTCGCCAGGGAAAGATTTGGTGGTTTCCTACCAAGCAGACGATGAGGGATGTCAACCCCAAGTTTTCAATACCCACATCCATGTGATCTTACACGAATTGTGTATGGAGGGCAAAATTGTAGAATTCGAGACACCTCAAATACAGTTGATGCATCATCTATTTGGATACTAGACCATTCCGTGAAGACATTCACGTCATTACTTTGAGAGAAGCAGAGTTGAGATGATAAACGTTACTCAATTCTTCGGTTGAGAGCCTCAGTTTTTGCAATCCTCTGTTGATATGCTGAGATAAAAATAGTCTTTCTCAGTCGTTGTCTCCAATGATTGGTTCCTGCTTGATATTGATAAACCAGAGAATAGTGAATGCTGCCTGTGTTCGTTGCCTCAAAGGCGCATTCACACTCAACGAATTGAATGGGTGAATCATGAAAAAGTAGATAGCCGCTCACATTTTTTTGGCTCTTCGGTTTACAGTATATAACCTGTCTAACAAATCCACACCTTGCTTTTTGTCACAGCGTGTTGGATATCAGAGGTGTTAATATGTCTCACAAGTATATCGTTTTACCAGCAGCATTAACAATACTTCTCCTTTTACTTACAGGGATTTTCATCGACATAGGTAAAGAAGAGAGCTTTTTGTTCGACTTCCCTATCATTTCCCTCGATACGACCAAGCTGAAAGATGATATCTTTCAGAGCAATAACTACATTCTGCCCATCACCGATGTATTAAATTTATATTTTTGAACTCACTGTGAAGGAAATTATGTTTCCACACGTAATATAAGCCCTAGGTTGAAGAATATATCCTGCTCTGAACCTTCATCTGGTGGTATGTTCCATTCGTCTACAAATTCTTAATGGATGAAGGAAATTTCTAACATCCTCAAGTCAAATTTCTTCCCGTCAACATTATCCATCTCCAACTCATCAAACCCAACTCCTCGGTCCAAATTCAACTTCCAGACAACAACTTTGGGCATCAACTTGGCGAAATCCAGAATGCTTTCAAGAAGTCGTACCATGCGGAACTTCATGCAGCACTCGCCATATATGCTACTACAATCTGCCTAGAAGGCATTATGTTGATCATAGCTTTTATATCGTTCTTGGGATTTGATGCTTTTTGGATTTTCGGGGGCTTCTCTGTCGTATGTGTTATGTCTTTTCTTTTTCCTCGGCTTGAGTCACCAATCTTGAACAACAATTCGCGTCATGTCGCATGATTATATGCAGAAAATGGACACTGACGGATGCAATAGCTAACGACAACTTTCATCTCGATTGGAAACAGCATAATGATGGCCCTTCAATACCAAGCAGTTACGGCAATCAATAAATATGGTGAAGATGTTGGCATTTTGGGGTATCGCGGAACGGGGCTACTGGTATTAATTTGGTTTACCTTTGGAGTAGCTTCTGTTGCTTCGGCTGCTTGGTTATGGGGTGCGTGGATGATCAGAAGGTCTAATGACGGTAGTGACACTTCGGATGATGGGGGTGTGTACATGAATTGCAGCAGAGACCCAGCGGAAGTTGAGATTGGCGAGCCGGTCATTTTGGCTATGAGAGGAGGTAAAGCGGTAGATGTTCATGAAGAAGGAACAAGCATGGCGCATGGGATCGATTATGTTAGAGAGAGCCAGATTTGACTTGCTATCTAAGCTGGGGTTTTGAAGTTTAATGGGAGACATATATACAGTTTGTCCGGTCCGTATCTCGACACAAGTCAGACGAGTAAGGAAACCTCATAGTACAATAGTTGCGAAGCAATATCGTTCATGTCATTCAGAGAAGATACATAATACACGCCGATCTTTTAGGTATCAAAAATTGGCTTGATTTCGCTCTTGGCGCTCTCTTCAAGTTGATTTAAACCCTTCCCTCTGCTCGGCGTCAAAAATACTGATCGTTGAATTTTGCGTCGAGGTCTCACTTTACTCTTACTCGCAGATCATCCGATCAATTTATCGATGCAGATATGTCCTCATCATGTATCTTTAGTCTCAAATTTATCAAACTACAACCTTAAAATAAAAACCAATAGTAAATTTTCAAAGTACATCTCAACGTTCAGGAACGCTCATGTCACTTCATCTCTTGATAATGCAGCAACCTCCTTTACACTCGAGTCAAGATCTGTATTCCTAGCAATACGCAATATGAAGAGGTCCAGGTCTCAGTGGCTCACCGGAGATGACTCGTCGTCGCTCCCAAACGTCGACTCGTTACCACAAAGCAAGTTTAGATGATCTAGGGAGGTATCACGGATTCAAGACGTTGTATGGAAGCGAAATAACTTAGAGTAATCTTTTGAAATTCTAGCCAACTTATGCCCTGTGACCCTTGTACGCAACTCAAATAAACCACTCTCCTAACGCCTGAAATCTAAGCTCCTCGAACCCTACATTTTTATGGGGAGATGCAATAGCATACCATGATACGCCTATCAAGATAATCTTTCTCTCGATAGCCTTTCTCTCTTAACCAAAACTACTCACTATCTATCCGAACTAGAAGAAGCTCCCGTAGAATCCCATCTATGCCACTTTCAACGGATGGTGTAGCAGCGGCGCTCATTGCAATTTGGACATATCAGATATGCCATCGCCCACATGGCAAGGAGATTTTCAAGCGGCGCAATAGTAGAGAACCCAAGCATCAACCAAGACCTATGCATTGGGATACACAACTCATCAGTGTACTGAAACTGATCTCTAAGGCCTACTAAAGCGGTTACGAAAACGACGTTCGTAACCATGTGCATGGAAGCTTGAATGATGCCTGAATGTTTGAGATTAGCACAAATAATGGAGAGGATAAAGACATATCTACTCACCATGTACATGTACAATCTCATGTCTGATTGAAATTCCACTTTGTTGGAAGGTTTACTACGTTCCAAAGTATCAAAGCCTACCCAGAAAACCGTGGCACCAGTTATACAGATGAGGATATATAGAACAAAGATCGCGGTGATGTTCGTGTATAGGCTTTTGTCAAGATAAGAATCTATAAAAGTTAGTAGAGTATAAGGTAACAGGTTCAGGAACCTACCGAGCCATTTAAGACGCTTCAAAACACCCTCCAGCAAATCTTCTCCAAAATCCTTGAGGATCATCGGTTCTCCCTCTATATGAATGATCATTATATGTATTTTCACAACAACTGTTTTGAGACTTACCATAGTCTAGGCAAATTTTCTCAATTACAAGATTCTGACTGTCCGTAGTATTATAATTGCTTTTACAGAAATTTGCAAAATAAAAGTCATACTGATCATAAGCGGATATTGGAGAGCCTGCAGTTAGTTTTAGATCCCTCGTATCTCATGATATAACTGGCTTAAACCTTAATCCCAGGATCATTATAAGTATAATTGTGATATTGGCCAAGATGGATGGTATCCCAAACAATGTTGAATTTCTCTGACACCGGGGCTGGGGTCTCATCGTGACGGTATGCTTTCGTTTTGTCGGGGTTGCCTTGAATTTTTGAAGGTGTAATATTCTTGAGTTATATAACTCACTCATACAGTTTCAGTCTTATGTGTTGAATCGGATCACATGTGCTAATCTAAATCCATGGTTTGAATAATCAACCGGGTGATTGATATTTGGATCTAATGCAGAATATCTGTCTGATAGATTTACTGTACTGGGCCGGAACGGCAAGTATCTATGATATATTACTTTCATAATCCATTAATCTAGACGAGCTAGCTGTGCTGAACCTATTAGGCCGTATCAGCCGTATCCCACGATATTTCCAATAACCTTTCTAGGACTTGTGATACTATAATCGAATTGGCACGTCAAGAATTTTCTTCATAATTCAGTACATCATGTATGTAAATATCATACGACATACAACATACAGTGCGAAGGTCCGAAAGGCAGTCTAGGCTTCTCATATAGATTTTCAATTTTATAGCGTAGAAGCGACTGGTCGGAGTAATATTCGGACTGATCATGAAGTCTGAATTTTGAACTCAAATTCGCTTGGGTGTCCTGCCTACAATTCAGGCTATGAAAGAACTAAAAGTTCTTTCCATTTACAGGATCCATTGAATGATATAGAATCGAGATACACTTGTAATTCACAAACTTGACACGCCATCGTTCTTTAGAAGTCAACCATATCGAATTATCAGTGTTGTGACTTCCAGGAGATGTGTATTTAGGTTGCTATACTAAATAAAGTTGTCTAATGGCTCCTGAATCTAAACCGACCGTAAACGATAATACGCTACATTGATACCCGTGAACCTATGCCTTGGTTGCAAGGGCGAAGTATCCCACATGTTGACGGCTATTCAACATAAATCCGGTCACCTGAATGGAAAGAGATGCTGTGTGTTGACTACCACACATGCAAGTTATTTGAGACCATCAGCCAATATCCTCTTACCTAAACAAGTCGAAATACAGCAATTCAAATCATACCCAAACCGAACACCAGCCACTGTGGCTCAGTGAAGTCGTTGTTGCTTGCACGTCTACGAAACGAATCAAAAGTGACATTCAGAGGTAGTGCATCTGCTGTTCTTGGCCTCAGCCACGTTTCCTCAAAAATTCGACAATGTACTGTCATTATTTTAAGGGGCCTTTTGATCAGGATTTGTGCGAAAGAAACACCCTTGGGTACTTCATTTTAGGTGAGTGACTTTGATGACGGCAGTCAATGGTAAACGGGAAATGCAAGACTAAATGAAGATAGTGAATCTCTCTTGCAGATACAAGACTTTAAATAGGTCCTCGTACCTTCCCATCCCTACTATCCAGCTTCCTTTCTTTTCAAGCCTAACATTATACCGAGAAAGAAATTGTATGTATCATTCGTAACCGAGATGTCAAGACACTCTCCAGTATTAGGAATGGGCAAAGGAGAAAGCACTACTATGACTGCACAAGCCAGTCTTGCGTTTCGAAGGTGATGGTTTGGAATCGTATGATGATGTATATGTTTAGTGACGTATTATGACTATTTCGTGGGGGCTCAAGTCTTGACATCTCTATAAGTAGATCGTTTAATCCCGTATTCACAATCCAGAAGTAATGTATGAAGTCCCTAATCATTTGTGTGATATTCAAGTCCAAACAGTTTTCACACATGTTATGCAAATGAATCAAAGCCAATGGAAGAACAACGAGTTTAATAAATTCCCCAACATCTTGAACGTCCCAAAGTTTGAAGAATCTCAAGCCAAACTATTTTTAAAATGCTTAAACACACTGCTCATTGCCGTTGACTATAAAATCCCAAAACCATAAACTTGAGCTAAATCCTATGAAACATCCACCCAACTTCTAACGTGAGATTAGCAGGTATCGAAACCAGGTATTATACACTGCTTTGCTAATTCTATAATTATAAGCTTCAACCTAGGCCACGGCCGTACTCTGTATATATTGGAGGTTGAGGTGCTCGGTGTTGCGTTACGTATGCACCTGAAGGTTCAAGTGGAGGTCGCGCTAATCTCGTGCCAGTAGGTATGAACATTTGCCTCGAGGCCGGTTCCTCTCTCGAAATAGGACTGGATTGCTCTCGCCTAATACCGTAGACCGGGATCTGTGATCGTTCAGCCTCCTCTTCACGATCAGATTGAATTGAATCTCCGTCATCTCGACGATATCGACGTGTATCCTCACCGTTTATTGGGATATCCGAAAACGCTTGAATCGCTCTCTCATTCTTAATTGTCCCCACGATCAGGATTTCCCTACTCACGAGACTGAAGAGCACAGCCGTGAACCCTAACCCAATGATGCTAGTACTGACATTTACAGTGATTTCGTCTTTACTAACAGACTGAATCTGCCACCGATAATCGATCAAGATCCATGGGCAGGCGATTGCAGCCGCAAGCAAGGTAAAGAAGGACATCTAGATGCATTCCATGAGAACATATCTGCCAAAAAAACGACAGGAAAAGGGAAGGATGTACATACAAAAGCCATCGCATTCTCGATTTTGGGGTGATGTAGATCATTCAAATGAACCCTTATGCCGAAGTAGCCATGGGCGAGATGAGCGAGGCCACTTATAAAAAATAATGCGAAGATAATTTTGAGGTTTGAAAATCCTGCGGGTAAATATAGTTTAGTGAACGATCAATGTGAAAACACCGAATATCAACCCCAACAATGGGTGTTACCAGCAATGGAAGCATCATCAGAAAGAACCGCCGGTAAATACCCTAAAAGTGTCAACAGCTTCAACGTAAACGGATCGAGTATTTAGGACTTACCATGACAGCCGTCGTTGATCCCATTAATCTTAGACCGGCAAACTTTAAAGAAATAAACTTTATATAAATCAAACTCCTCAGAAGGGGCATATAACTGTAGGAGCTGGCTTGGCTCAGATAGAGTTCCCACAACGAGAATAGTTATGATGAACGCCACAGCCAAAGCGACGAGGAATATTTGAAAGTACTTCGGATGTGCCTTGACCTTCTCTGTGAATCTCCTATGAAACTTCATTGCGATAAATATTTGATAAATGGTTTGTTTGCTTGTCGTGGTATGTTGTTCTCGAGGTTTGGGTATCCTGTGTTGTAATAGTTGAGAAGTTGACAAGTTAGAAATGACCTTCTTCGACTTTTGTATGGCCCAGTGGGAAATCCAAGACTCATAATACATTTACTTGACTTCGATGAGTAATATTTAGTCACTTGAAGTTGATTCTATCAACTCTGATTCTCTACTACGTGCGATTCACTGGAAACGCACAAGCATGTGCCGCTCAAAAATGGAGAAAGTCATAATTCTATATCTTCTCAACTATAAATTGGAATAATGCTGACTACCATGGCCATTCATCAACTTCTCCTCCTCATTCCACACGGTCAGCGCTGCAGGAGCCCGTCTTACCAGAGCAAGGACGTTTGTTATGAATGCATACTCCTTAATGTAACGTGGCGAAATGGTCAGGATGAAGGTTATGACGCCTGGGCAGCTGGGGATAGGGTATGGAGCATTTTGATCATTATGATCATTAACGGATGTAACTTGGTGTCAATAGATATGGTGTCCTATGTAGGGAAACTTCATTTCAAAATCTTCAATATAATTCGAGATAAAAATATATACCACGGTGCTTACTATTATGAAAACCACTCGTCGAGTCCCAGACTCCCAGTACTACTGGAGTAAGTTTGCCAATTCAGAAAACAATCACACCACTTGATAAAATACCAAGGAAACCAAACATCAGGAGAAAAGCAAATCTCAAGCGAGGACTATTTTAAGAACGATGAATCAAAAACGCCACCTCAATTCCTCAATATTCTCCCTGCATAAGCCACTGAGACAACAGCACAAAAGCAAAAAGATAAAGATAGGAAGGAGCCAGATAAACCATTTCAAACCCTCAATCCGCACAAAATCACCACTAGGGTTTGCGATCTTTCTCCATCATCTCTCGAAGATGTTGTTCAATTTCCTGTCGGGAACACACGGCGTACCATGGAAATTTATATTTCTATGCGTCTCAGCGTTGGTTATGATTCATTACATGTTGGTAGATATTCAGCCTAATGATGAGGTGATACCAAAGACATCAAAGGTAGTTGAAGGAACAGGTATAATTCTAAGCCCGACGCCTTCGAAACATGCAGGCTCTGCAGGGACTTTCGATGAATTCAAGGCAATGCTCGGTATCTTTGGTGGAACAGAAGCATCGAATTCGAAAGACACGAGCCTCTCAGAGGATACAACGAGTTTAGGAGCCTTGGGACCCGGTCATAAGTTGAAGAAACCATTCCTCGGATCTAAGCAGGACACTCGAAATGATGAATATGTCTCGGTGTGCATGGCAGTTAAAGATCAGCAAAAAGACTTACCCGAATTCTTCACTCACCATTACTATCATCTTGGGATCAAAAGATTCTACATCATGGACGATGGTTCTGACCCACCTCTTTCGGAGATGGAAGATTTGGGTATACCTCGAGAGCATGTAACATTTCAATACTTCAATAAATCAGAACATACCTACTACATGCAAGAACACGTTTACAAACTTTGTGTCGAAAAATACCGGAGCAACCACACTTGGATGGCCTTTATAGACGCCGACGAATATCTGGAGATGACTGGAAAAGAAAACTTGAACGAGTTCCTCGAATCTTATGAGGAAGACGAACACGTCGGTGCAGTATATGTGTCTTGGATGACACATTCCTCTGCTGGCCTACTAAGCAGACCCAAGTCTGTGCGGCAGGCCTACATTGATTGTATATGGGACGGGGAAGGACATAATGTGCTAGGTAAAACCATTGCCAAACTGTCACTTTATGTTGGTCCAAACACCGTCCATCAGGTCCGATGTAAAGACGGAGCGATCGTTGTTGATGAAAACGGGATCAAGGCGCCTGTAAGACGATATTCGCCCACGAGAAATCGAATAGCACTGCATCATTATGCGCTGAAGAGTCGAGAGGAATATCAAGAGAAAGTTGATCGAGGAAATGCTATGAGTACTCCGAAAAATTGGGGATTTTGGGACAGCGTTGAAGGTATGGCAGGTATAGAATGTCTTTCCATGACAGAATATTATCCATGAAGAAGAATCATCTAGGATGAGCTTTGGAAGCATTCGAAATGTGTATTGGTAATTTTGCGATCGACAAAAGACTTGAACTTAATACAGATCCGTATTTCCCAATTTAAAGTGCGTCCATTGTAGTTGGTTGATCTCCTTGTCCTATGGTGTTGTTTTAGAGTTGGTTGACGGTAGTCCCAAGTCATTAATCGGGTGCCAGCTGGAATTTCATGATCTTCATTCACTCCTCTGATATGATCTGTCCAGTGTGTTCGAATTTTCTCAATACATACTGGTGAGTACAAATTCCATAAGTAGATCAGACCATATATTGCTATTTCCTGTATCAGAACAATATCCCGGAGACTTGGACTTCCTGATGGAGCAGTCTCTCACACAACAAAGCGTCGAGTCTAGAACAGGCGATGGGATTTTCCGGTCATGAAAAGTCTCAATGATAGAAACACTACATTCCATGCTTGCATCGTGAAAGTCCAGCTCTCTGAAGACTGTTTCAAGACTCTCTGATTCCTTGGTCTTGACGAAGAGTGTAGTAATCACCTTAGGTGCAACCAGGAATTATATCTGACTGGTAGGTAGTTTTTGTCAATCGGCCATTCTTCTTTTGGTCGATATCGACACACACAATGCGCAGAATCACGGTTCGCATGATGATGAAGCTGTGGACAGTTAATGGTGCAGATCTTGAGCACATTTCATGAGTTTTCAATGCCGCCTTTGGATGCTTCAGCTGTCTAGGGATAAGCTTTGAGGACGAAGATGTGGAAGTTGCTAAGGGATGAGATAAGAAATGATTTAAAGCTTTAAAAGCGGCAACAGACTGAGTGAGTTTTGGTAACTTTTAAACTCAATTTAGTTAGTCTGAGCGTGTTTGAGCACTTTATTTATCCACCTTGGCACCTTTTCACCACCACCTTCTGAACTGGTTAAAACAACGATGAATAATAATTTGAGCAAGATAGAGCAAAAAGAGTAAAAAAGAGGTAGGGAGGTAGGGAAACAAGGTAAATATGCAAAGAGCCACGAAATCTTCTCCATTGCGGGCCATAATTCTTTTGAAATAACTTTGGAAAGTCTTTTGATATCTCTCAATACATGCTCAATGATTGTTTGACACTCACTTGACTATTCACTTCAAACAACAGCCCAGTATCAAACTCAACTCAACCTAGCCTTGACGACCTCACTCACCTGGGCACTCAAAGCAACTTGATCCTCCCTCATCTTCATCTGATCTCCCAATATCCATCAGACTGGACATACTGAAACCTTCGCAACAGAATCGTCTATTCGGAATATATCCCTAGGTAGTACTAGGTATTCAGAGCCTCATACCTTTTCTCCCCCGGATTTTCATGCAAAGGAATCTAGAAACATACACTTCCAACTGCCTCAGATCCACTTGTTTGCAAATATCTACCTCATAACTTCTCATCGTTCTTACCTCAACTATATTAAGGAGTTTCTGTCCTCTCTTCCTTAACATCATCATTCAATCCACTCAAGTTACTACTACACTAATCCATTAATACTCATTTGCATCAAACGATCCGCCGGCGGTTCATACAACATCACTACAAATACCCATACCTTTATTTTCTCAATCAAACTTCTACTATCACCCAATCAAACTCTCTATCAACTTTCAGTCAAAATGGATATGAAAACTTCAGACATGGATATGTCCACCATGTCCACCATGTCCACCATGTCCAATACAACCACAATGGATATGTCTATGATGTCAATGACCTTCTTCATCTCCAAAACCACCGCCCTTTACTCTACCATGTGGACTCCAACAACCGATGCCGGCTATGCAGGAACCTGTATCTTTCTCGTTCTCCTCGCTACACTCTTCCGCGGACTGCTCGCCGTCAAAGCCTGGAAAGAAAGCGCATGGCTTGCCGAAGAAACCAATCGTCGCTACGTTACCGTTGCTGGAAAGGGTCCCAAATCCGAGCGTATCAGCATAGACAGCGATTCGAAGAATATGACCCTTAGTGAGAATGGTGTTGAGGAGAATGTAATGGTTGTTAAGACACGTTCTATGGGTGTTAGACCATGGAGATTGACTGTCGACCCTGTGCGAGCGGTTATGGATACTATTATTGCTGGTGTTGGATGGTTACTGTAAGTTTTTCTTGACATAATCCTTGATTTCTATTGAATATGGACTAATTGGGAAATAGTATGCTCGCAATTATGACTATGAATCTTGGATATTTCCTATCTGTCTTGGGTGGTACATTCCTTGGAAGTTTGGCATTAGGTCGTTATGTCATTGCTTTTGAGCACTAGACATATCAAATAATAAACAAACAACCTATATATGTACTGCGGCAGGCAAGCAGCTTTATAGGATTTAATTTAATGATTATGATCATGGGATAGGGATGGAGAGTTCGAGAGGAGTTTAGGATGGCAAAGCGCACATCATTTCAAATAGAGAAATGACTGGTGTTTTGACTTAAGGGGAGGAATTTGGGTATTATGACTCGTTAATGAAGCATGATTGTTAAATTACCTGATCGATCGATTACGATGTGATAATTCTTTGTCTGGATTTGGAATTTTTGAAAGGGGAGTTGGGGATTAAAAAGATGGCATAAGTATTGCTTATTAGCATGAGCATCAGCATGAGCATTAGCATGGGAGAAGGGCCATTGGAAGATGAAGACGAGGAAAGGGCCTGTATAGAGTCATACAGGTTATATAAATATCAAGAAAGAAGAAAATCACATCAAAATAAACTCTATTCCCATCTCGCGGCGATGACAAACATGAATGAATATCTCACAATCCACCCCAATCAAACCCAACCCACCATGTAGAATAAACCCGCATTCAAACTCCAAATAACCACCCTCCCACCCTAATTTTTGAATGTTCAGCAAAATCATATCATTTCTTTCAT